AAAACTCGTCACTACAGATAAAAAATTAATAATTTTGTAGGAAAAAATGAATGGAATTTCTTGTAGTATTTAATGGTATTTTACTATTTAATTGTTAATAATTATTTTTCAATCTAATGAAAGAAATTTTTATTGTATACCCTGAAGAAGTCACGAATTCCAAACCGAATTTATTACAAAAAAAAAAAAATCCAAAAATTTAAATTAATAATCTAATCATTGATAATAGTGAAATTAAATAAAAAAATTATGATCAATACAATAAACATATTATTTTTAATTCAAAGATATTTGTTACTTTAAATTTTTTTTTTTAATAATTTCAATCAACTAAAAGTTTAAAAACCTTTATTCGGAATTTTATTTTTTAGTAATTTTCAACTCAATTAAAAATTTTATCAGTTTTTATGAAATTCACTTTAAATTTATTTTGTGTAAGGGAAGTAAGTTTCTATGTACCCGCTTCAACACTCCTAAATTTACAAATCGCAAATTCGTGGCGCAATTGTCTCTTCAGCTCAAAGCGAGTGAATCACGCGCGAAGACCTAATAGGGTTTATCAGCAGCTCTCGCGCCAGATGACGGCTGGCCGTCGAGGAAGTGGAAAACGCGAGCAAACGCATCATTAACCGTCAAAGCGACATGTTTGCATTCATTTGCACTGTAGCGGACTTGTGCAAACTTGGTTATTGCAATCAAATTATGTCGCTTGACAAAGAAGGAAATTTGAACGGCTCCAAACAAAATGGAAAATATAAGTTGTCACACAAAAAATGGAAAAAATATCAAATTGCAAGATTTTTTTTTTTAATTCTCACAAGAAACTCAAATTCTAGAAATTATGGAGATAAGCCCAATAATGTTTATTTCTGAAGCAGATAATTATTTTTTCCATACATTTTGCTGCGAGTAGCGATTGTCAGTTTGAATTTCCTTTGTGAAAAGCCGTGTGCGTCACTCATCATTGCAATACTTTTTCTAGTGCTAACCGTTTTAGGGCTCACTATTTTTTCTTTCCATCTCTAAAAGAACTCGCACGCTTCTTCTCTGCTTGTCGAGTGTCTGTCATTTTTATTTCTTTACGGGCCGCCGACACATTGCCCTTTTTCTATTCTCAGCTGAGCAAATATAAAATAACCGCTAAATTATGATCAAAGACAAAAATAATACCACAGTGGCCTTGATTGATCTTGGCCAACGACGGTGCCGTCGAAAGAAAAACATTTTGTTCAACAAGTCACATCAGCGACGTACGTACTTGCTCTTGCATAAATATTAAATAATATCTTTCTGCCGCGGGATCCCTTCACCGCACACATATATGAACTTATTTTTTTCCACTGTGCAATTGTGTCACTAACTAAGTGGATTATTGTCTATCCCACAGATACCGAGCGAACGTGTAGAAAGGTTTCTTTTGCTTTATTGTCAGGTAACGAGTTTGCTTGCATCATATCAGCAGCTACAGCAGCCATCGGAAAATCCTCCAATTGTGTGATAAAATGCACTGCAGATTTCAGGATCCTTTGTGGCATGCAAAGTTTTCCTAAAGAGCAATTCAATGCAATATTGAACTTTGAAATGGTTGAAAAACATTGTCAGAAAAAAACTTGTATCACTGATCCCAATAACTGATTTATAGAAGATTTTTTTAAATCAAATTTTCTACGAAAAAATGAAGTACCTCTGATCAATGCTAATTTATCTGGGGACATTTTTGAGTGTGTGTAATTAATCTTCAAGTTTTTCTAAATTCCAATTGAATTTAGTGCGCGTAGAAAAACGAAACAAAAACACAAGTCGGCCTGAGGCATGGACAGGCACAATAATTAGCGCAAGTGAAAGTCTCTTTTGCTCCAGTTCGGCGCAGCCTCTTCGCATTGTTCCTTCGTCTTCGGCGGTTTCTCCTCAAACGGCAAAGCAGTGAGAAAGTTCCGAGCGATTAATTCCGCAGCGCGATTTGCATAATTATTGTCAGTCCGCTCGGAGCGAGCGAGGGACATTGTGGAACGGGCGGAGGAATTCCGCGGCCTTGGTCATGCGACTGTTTGCCGAGCACCACGCCCAGATGGCAGCATGCGACGACGAAACACCTGCTCGCCCGTGAGAGACCGACCAACCGACCGACGACTCCCACGGAGCAATTAAATGCCCTATTACGGACGCCGGGTCACGGAACCGAGCGGGCGACTTGACAACGATATGGGTCGCAATTCGGGGGCAAAAGTTTCAGAGCCGGCGCATAATTAAAACGATCGGCACGTGCAGCGCGACCGGCGACATTCTCATGCAAATTCGGAGCTGCTGTTGCGTGGGTCGCGCATTAGCCAAATTAGCGGCCGACATATTTCCGTCGAGCCATCTTGGACTTCCGAATCCAAGTTGCCTCATTTCAAAACCTCTCATACTCGGAGTCGTTTAATGTTCATAATTTTCTTTACTATCTTGCGCACAAAACCACATCCTGCTCTCAACGGAGAAAAATTTTTTGCGCCTCTTCATAATTTTAAATTAAAAACGGAAATTCAGAAATAACTTTCTCTAATTAAGGAAGTACTGTAAGTTTTTATTGCAATTATTAATTAATAATTATTAATAATAAAACCAGATGCATTCCAATTTTTTACTGTATTGTAATTATTTGTTCTTCTCCGTGGATACAAAAAATAAATATGTTTAAAATGAGAAGAGTTTGCGGGTTTGAAACTAGCAGATGTCTGATAAAACGCCCCATATCAAAAGAGACTCGGCCGCCGCGGTAACACCCCAAATTCATAAGAAGAAGAATAAAATTTATGCACCCTTACAAACAGTGTGGGCCTGAAGCTATATGAAAATAATTAAATGTTGTTTACAAATAAGTATAATTTAAAACTGTAATTTCACATATTATATTTTAATATATACCGCTCAAACAAGTGGATAAAATGGCTACATTATAAAAGGGCGGCGCCGATGCACAGAAGTGAGAAACTGCACCTGTGGTTGCACCAGCAGAACGTCAATTCCCTCATGCCCTTTTTAATAAATGCACCGACGAGCGTCATTCGATTGGCGCAAGCGAAAGCAAATTCTCTGAATTGCATGGTGGCTAAATCTCAGTGGAAAATTATGGCCGCGATCTTTAGCCATGTGTGCCGCGGAAAATAATGAAAGTTTGAATAGACAAAGCACATTAATTATTTTGATTTCAAAATAATATATTATGCATATTATTATACATTATCACTTTGTTGTTAGGCGAATATTTCAGTATGGTTGAAATTTATAAATAATTTTTGAGCTCAATATTAATTGGCAAATCTAAACACGGCTGGTGATTTCAACACCACCTATTTTTGATTGGTCACACTTGCATGGCTTTACACGACGAAGAAATGGTTTCATAATATTGGATTGGCACAGGCGGCACATTCATAAATATAAAAATTCAAAAGAATTTAAAAAATTTATGAGAAATATTTTAAAAATAACTTTTTTCATTCTAGCTATTGGCATTGGCAACTTCCGGCAGTTTTTGGTATGTCCGCTGATTAAAAAAAAATAGATGGCCATTTTGTTCAAATTTTCCAGGAAATAGTTTTCATCAACAACATTTCAAAAAGGCGATAAAATCTCGTGATCTCTCTCAGAAAGCAATGGCACAGAAACTGCTAAATAATTAATCGCAGTAATTAGCTTTGTGGGGTCGTCAGATCCAAATGCCGTGGCGTGCACTTTGCCAACCGCATTTTCCCCCTCAACACAAAAAGGGCACATACACGCGGGTATGGCGTAGGCATCGTCATGTGCAGTAATAACAATAAAACCAACATGAATCGATCCGAGCCGGTGAGTGACGTCCGCCGTCTTTCCTAACGTGGCGTGCGTCGCCGAATTAAAATTTGACCGAAATTATTTAACGCGAAAAATGTGAAGGTGCATGAAGAGCAGACGAGCCGGTGAAAAAATGATCTCTGCAGGAGATGGAGGAGAGGTCTTTGTCCTGAGAGCAAACCAGCCAACGAGCGCGAGAAGCCGCAAAGCAGCCTCAGCGTGGATGACTCATTCACCTGAACCCCCTTCCTTCATTTCACCTTCCTTTTTATAATGTTCTCTCGCCAACAAGCCAGCCAGCCAGCTTGAGCAACAACCTGCGCCTCTATCTATCGGCCGTCACGGCTAATATTAGAAAATTATCTTCTAAGTGACAAAAAACGATGAAAAACATTTGCAAAAATAGACTTCAATTGAAAATTGAGAAAATTTATATAAATATCATGTAAAATTCCAACATTTTAATCAAAGAAATAAATTTACATTATTTAATTTAAATGTTAACTGTTTAAAAAAAAAAAAAAATTGGTAAAAAATCATCAAATCTAATGAATCTAACAAATATATTGGGCGTTTTTTTTACACTAGTGTAAATAAATAAAAGCTCTTTGCTTGTTTAGCTTTAATTTCATAAGACTGATTGTTCCCCAGATTCAATTAATATACATTATTCTTCCACTGTGCTTTAGTTGTTTAACTTGAGTTCTAATTTGGCCAAACAGACAGTTGCTTACAACTTGTTAGTGTGTCTAGAGCGCTTGTGCATTTTGAGCGGTTCAGCAGAATGGTATCAAAACAAACACGAGTACTCGTAAGGTTGTACAACCTATTTTCAAAGCAATCAAGCAAGCCCAATCGCCCCTAATTAATCCATAACCGTGCAGGCATTCTCAACTCAAATTACATACTGTTTGCGTAAAAAAGAAAAAAATGACAGGTGCATCTGTCGCCTGCAGTTCCGGTCTGATTGCTACTGATCAACACGGTTCCAATACAAAAGAAAAATCGCGCTCGATTCTTGAAAAGTTAAGAATAAAACGGTCACGGCAAAGAGTCGATAAGAGGCCACGAAAAACAGGACTTTGCCCGAGACGGAGTCAAAACAAACAAACAATGATCAAGCCATTTCTTAGCGCACCGGCGACCCAAAAATTAAATAGCATTTTGAAAAACTGGACACATACCTTGGTTGCTGAAGAGTTGCTGACATGGTCGGCAGGGAGCGACTCAGGAACGGTTTGCAGGGTGGTTCTCATGCTTGTGGACATGGTTCCGTGAATTTTCGAAAGTACATAAACTCAAACTGCTGCAGCGGGGGTCAAAAGTCTGTGCAAAAGTGGTCGGAGAACTGGATGGGGCTAGCTGCGGAGCCGCCTGGCCGCTATGCTAGCACGCATCGGACACCTCGTCGGCACCCGCGGGACGAATCGGCTCGCGCTGGCCTGAAAAAAAGAGGGACTTCAGTGGAGGCAAAGCTTAAGAAAATTATCTTCAATTTTGATTAATGAATCAATCAATTATTAATAAATATTGCATTAGTTGTGGTCAATAAATTTTCATTAGTTAACATGAATAATTTGATGCATTATTTACTAACTGTATATTAAAAAACAAATACTGTTTGATAAAAAATTATTTCCTTTGGAAAATTTACTTTCGTTTTGATCAATGTTTGTACTCATCAATTATTTAACAATGTTACATTATTTATAGTCACCAAATGATAACCAATTAATTATATGTTAATATGACATTAATTTTTAATCATTGATGACTGCTAACTAATTAATAATTTAATTTTCTAAGATTTGGCATTATATTTTGCTTTGTGGGAGAAGAGACTCGAGAGAGCGGAACAGGCGCTCGAAAGAATCGGGCCGAAAGGCAACCAGTTTGATCCGCTGACAGTCGGCACTTCGGCGCCGCCGGTTTTGTCCGGGACGTTCGCACGGTGCCGTATGGTCAACCCTGCAGCTGGGGCGACCGTTCGGGCGAAGGAAGAAGTGAAGAACGGATCGGCCGGGCGAGGCCGACACGGGACGTCAGCTGAGACGGAACTTTTGCGGGCCCTTTGAGGGCGCTGGCCGCCCCATCGGCGACCGGTTGGCCGTCGTACGAAGGCCCCCGTAATCGTTGCATCAACTGGTTTCAAAACTCACCCATGAAAGAGGCGCGGTTGGTGGAAATTCGGTCAAAGAACGTGACACAACCACCCTAAAACACTCATCACCGAGAGCAGTCCGTTCCAAGATGGCGGCATAGAGCAGTACATTTTCGGGTCGCGAGTGCGCAGGTTTGCGGCTGCCTCACGTTCTGATTGGCCGGCGTCGCTGACGTCACCACCGGCCGTCGGAGAACGGCCTTGTGTACCTTGCACACCTTTGAGAGGTCACTGTGTGGACTGCTTCGGCAGGGCGTACAAACCCGTACTGCCAAACCTTTTATTGTCACCTTAATTGGACATTAATGGTCTGCGCGCCGAACGCACGCCCCCTCCTGAGTTGTGACACTATATACCTTGAATAAATTTCCCACAGCGGCCTGCCAAATTATTTTAACAAGGCATAATATGTGTAGATCGTTTCCTTTTTAGTGTTTAAATAAAAATAAATAATGTTTTCCGAGTCAAGTAATTGGAGAAAGATTCAAAATTTATTATTATCCAAGAAGATAACAATTTTTAAATATTGTAGATTAATCTTCTCTTGCAGATTTCCTTTGTAGGTATCGAACGTAAGCAGCATCAAATGCAGCCCCAACAGTCCTCTTTTCCCAAATGTTTATTTTTGGCTTTACTGGTTCTATAGGTTTCTTGTCCTCATCTTTCTTTGTTTTGTCCACAGTTTCCTCAACTTTCTCTTTCCCATCTTTGACAGGTTTCACTTTGCCTTCTGATTTTTTCTTAGCATCAACCTCGGAATCACTTTCACTGCTGCTGCTACCACTACTGGAGCTGCTGCTACCAGAACTGCTTGATTTAGAACCTGGCGCAGCAGACTTCTCAGCTTCCGCCTCATTTTCCGACTTGGAAGATCCACTACTAGATGAGTCTTTCCTTGCTCGGTATTTGCGCTTCTCCTTTGTGCGCTCCTCCTTCTTGACAGGCTCGTCTACTTCTGCCTCGGGTTTGCTTTCCTCCTCCTCTTCTGGCTCTTTCTTGATCTCCTTTGCAGAAAATGTATCTTTGTACATTTTCCTGTAAAACCCACTTAGGTCCTTTTGCTTTGTTACATCAGTGATAGCTAAAAACATATCATAATTAGATTTTTTTTAACGTGAATCTTTTTACTGGTAAAAAATACCTTCAATTGCATCCTCAAGTCTTTCCTTTTCCTCCTGCTTTTTAAATTCCTCTAGCTTAGCTCTGTAGGCTGATGTGACGAACTCTTCTTTATCTTTGAACTGCTCTCCTTCTTCTTCTCGTTCCCGCTGAACCTCCCTTTCCACCCTCCTTTCATTTTCCATTTTCCTCTTTTCAGCAGTTTTCAAAAGATTTTCAATGTATTTTGGCTGAAAATATTTAGATATTAGTGAGAGTTTTACACATTTTGTACATTTTACCTTTTTAGAAACGTCCTTCTTTTTGGCAACAGTTTCTGCTTTTTCCTGCTCCATATTTTCGTAAACTTCGTCATACTGAAAAACTGTTGGATCCTCCTCGAGCGCCCTTTTCAGCTGCTGCTGTGTAGCTCTCTTCTGAGTGCTTTTTTCACTGGCTTTCTAAAAACATATTCAACCATAGCAAAGAATATGTATGCGAATTTTGAAAACCTTTAAAGTTTATCAATTGATATTTACCAAAATAGCCTGACCAACTTTTTTGCTCTCGGGCTCCGAATCGTCACTTTCTTCATCAAAACAAGAGAGGCGAGGTTTTAAGGTTCCTGACGGTTCTGCAGGCTCGGACTTTTTCTTGGGCACAGTCAGACCGTACCTAGGGATGAAAAAATCAGAATTAATATTACGCTTATTTAAATAAATAAACTTAGGGTCTAGGAAAATCTGAAGTAGGAAAAGGTTAGGTTATTATAATATCATAATATTTAAAATTTAAATTCAGTGTAATTTTAAATAAGATCGAATTATTGAAAAACTCGATTGAAAGAATCTAAAATTTTTAAGATCATAATAAAATTTAATCATAATTCAAATTTTTTAAAGAAATTGCTTGAAGAAATCATTAAATTACAAGCAAAATACGAAAACCTACTTCTTTTGAAATGATGACATTCTGCCAGCGGCCGCACAAGAGGATCAAGTCGTCGTTTTTGAAAACCTTTGAAAATTTTCTAACGTTCGAATTGAAAAGCGAGAAGTTGCTCTAATACAAAAATTACCAGTGCAAGACAATGCACTATATATAATGCAACCAAAATATTCAATGAAAATAGAGAAAATTAATGAATAAAGGACTGGAATCGTCGGCAACTTGGAACAGCGGACAGTGGCAAAATCCAAAACAAAACATACAGGGCTGCAGCTGCATTGCATATAGGCCATACCAGGGCCATACTTGTTGGCCATACAGGCGATTTATAGCACTGTTCTGCCCTCTATTGACAAAATGTATAACTTTCTTCCACATACAATTGAAGGCGGTAAAGGAGCGTGCAAAAATATTAATTAATTATAATTTACCTAAAAAGGTATATAATTGGATAATTGCATTTGTCAATATTGTGAATTTTTGGTTGGTTTTATAATACGAACATTACAAATTTTATACGAAAAAAATAATCTTAAAAATAAAAACCAATCAAAAATTGTATTTCAACAAATTAAATATTTTCACTTCATTGTGTTAAATTTTCAAATTAATACTTCCTAATGTTTCAAAAACATACATGCTATTGCTCAGATTAAAATTTTATTTATTTAATAAAAACCTAACCAATAGTACGTTTTAATGGTAAATATTGATCTTAATAAAAATGAAATGTGTACAAGGAAAGTTCTTAAAAAAAGCATTCAGTCTCCAAGGAAGCAGAGCTGGAAGGAATACGAGGGGTCTTTGTTGACCATCACGTCAACGGAGTCCAACCACTCCTCAATTTCAGCTGTTGTCAAAGATCCTTCCGAGTTTTCCCTCTTCATCTTCCGCTTCTCGAACCACTTGCTCTCTCCAATAGGTCTGATCTCCTCCCTATGGTCAGCCTTGCTGGGCACCACGCAGCAGTCGCCGCCTCCAGAGGACTGCATCACGATCGTCCTCGAACTGTTTGGCTGTTGCGTCCACCGGTCGGGGCCGTCTGTTATTTCCATCACGAGACACTCAGCAGGCTGCAGAGCAGGCATCAATTCTTTTCCACGTCGAAAGCAATCCCGTCTGCAAAAAGAAAGTAATAAATTACAAATAATTTCCAAACTCTAGTTATTAAAGAAGTTTTGAAGTACATAAGGCGGTTGATGGCAAGACCAAAGAGATGCCAGCCTGACTTGAACAAGATTGACATAATTCTTTGTGTAGTTGCTTGAAATAACAAAGAAAACGAAAAATCGAACAGGCAGTTATGAGGTCAAACGTTTCAAGAATTAAAAAAAAAAATTAAATTTATTTTTATTGTTGCTAGAAAAATTTGTTATCAATTGCAACACAAAGAAAGCTTTCAGAATTTATGTATTGTTAATTTTTATTTTTCATTTTGTATACGTTTATATAATTTGAAAGGCCAGTTTGAATGGAAACTGCTCTATTTGTTTTAATTACTAACGATACTAATTTAATATTTTTCTTACTTCTATATGTGTGTTTAAATTATCCTTATTTCTAACTTTTTATTATTATTTCTTTAAATTTTTTAACATAAATCATGTTCCGAAAAATCATTTTTATGATAATTAATGATAAGCAAATTTGTAAAAAAAAAATTGGCACAATTATATTGATATAGAAGAAAATCACACAACGATAAGAAGAAGTTATCTCTATATCTGCCCCACACATTCGATGCACACGTGAGGTCGGCGCATTAATTTGTTTTTCTCATTCTCGCGCTTGTTGCCGGAGCTCATATGTTCAGAGGATCGCCGGCTTTTGCACACTGTCTTCAAGTTTATTTTCATCAGAATGGGAGTTAACGAGGATTTCGACTCGATGTTGAATGAAATCGGTGGCTGCGGACTATATCAGATTAGACAAAATTTGCTTGTCGGCCTCGCGATTGCTTTCAGTGCAGTGAGCACCATTGGTTTTGTTTTCACAGCAGCTAGAGTTCCTCACAGGTACCAAATTTTTTAAAGACTTGAGGGCATTTAATTAACAATCATGCTTAAAAAGATGTCAAGTCGAGGTTTGTGGTGATCAGGGAGAGATGTCGTCGCCCTTTTTACCCGAGTGGCTGCATGAGGCGGTACCAATTGAGCCAAGCGGAGAACCTGCGTTATGCGTCATTTACCAAAATCTCAATATTTCCACAAATTCGTGCAGTTTTGACCAGAGAAGTGAAAAAAGATGCTCTTCCTGGGTTTACAAAAGCCGCGAGAGGACTATCCAAACAGAAGTAATTTATTCTAATATTTTTACAGACGTCAAAATTTTGGATTTTAGTTTTCCTTGACGTGTCCAGAAAATGAATGGAAACTCGCTATGGTCGGCACACTTCACAACATAGGAAACATGATTGGTCTACCAATATCAGGATTTCTTTCCGATCGGTTTGAAAGTAAAAATTTGAAATTAATCACGCTGTAAAGATTTTGCAGGTATGGCAGAAAATCAGCGCTTGTATTTTCTCTCATTGCAAACAGTATATTTGGCTTACTGAAGTCTACAGCTAATAGTTTTGAAATTTTTTTAATCCTGGAAACAGTGGAACCAATTTTTGGAGGAAATATTTATGGCATCAGTTTTATTCTGGGTAGCTAACAGAATTTTTCTTGCTCAAAAAATCCTTTAAAAAAAATGCAGCTCTTGAACTTGTCACTCCAAAGAAAAGAGTTTTGGGTTGTATGGTGATTGCTGTCGCGTTTGCTTTTGGGAGTGCATTGGTCGGTGCTGTAGCATGGGTTCTGCAAGATTGGCGCACTTTTCTGTGGGTGACAAATGGACCAGCACTGCTTTTTATTTCCTACATATGGTATAAATTATTAAATAAAAAATTAACAAAATTTGGAATAAAAAAGAAAATAATTTAAGGTTGTTGCCAGAATCTGTGAGGTGGTTGCTGGCCAGAGGAAAACTGGGAGACGCGAAAAAAGTTGTCCAATTTGCAGCGAAATTGAATAGAGCCGAGCTGGGAGAGGAGCGAATGAAAGACTGGGAGAACGACCAAATTGACCGAGTGGTAAAAAAAGGATTTTCTTGCAAATTTAGTGGAAGCACTACGGCTTGTTCAAGTACACAGAAGAAGCCGAAAAAGACGATTCATTATGGCCAGCTTTGCGGAAAGTCACAAAGAGTAGGATTTTGCTTGCTAGGCTAGCGGTGTGCTCCGTATGCTGGTGAGCATATATTAAAGTGATGAAAAACAATTAATTTAATTGCATATTATGTTTGATTAAAAAGGGCTTCTGCAAATCTTGTGTTCTTTGGAATGTCTCTCAACTCCGTGTCGCTAGCAGGAACAGACAACAAGTACCTGAACTTTATTTTATCAAGTGTTGTTGAGGCTCCATCGTATCTGATAACCTGGCTGTGCATGAATCGACTTGGCCGCCGGAAAGCTCAACTTTTAACGTTTGTTGCAAGCGGTATAACTTGCTTCGCCATTACATTCTTGCCCAAAAGTAAGTTATAAATAAAATTATTTGCACAAACTTTTACTTTAACGACATCAAAAAAAAAAAAATTACAACAAATTATTGAATTGATTATAATTTTAATGGCATGCTCTGCTTAATTTTTAATTGAATTTGTTTTTATTTTAGATGGAAAAATAATTAGATTAATATTGTATCTTGTGGGAAAATTTGCAATCACTTGCGCCTTCGACACAGCACTTGTGTTCACGGCTGAAATTTTCCCAACCAATCTTCGCAACTCTTTGCTTGGCTTGTGCTCTATGATGGGCCGCGTTGGTTCAGTTGTGGCCCCACAAACACCACTCATGGTATGACATTTCTATGAAGACATTGTAAAATATTTTAATGCTTGTAATTAATTCCAGGCGCAGTATTATAATATTTCACCCCTTACTCTTTTTGGTACTGTGGCCCTGATCGCAGGTACGCTGGCCCTTTTCCTGCCCGAAAGCAAGGGCCTCCCACTGCCAGCATCGGTCAAAGAGGCCGAGGATTTGTCACGGCAACGACAAAATCAAAAAGCATCTCACAATAATGACCTTGAGGCTACCACTGCCTTGAATAAATTGGCACTGATGGACAACTAAATTTGCAATCAATAGGTCAAGCAAACAATCCATTATATTAAAATTGATTTATATTCATAAATATGCTGCGAATATTTCTGACGATAGATGCATTTTGATTTGACATAAATCGCTTACTTTGATAAAATTTACTAGATAATAATAATAATAATAAATAACGAACATCTTTTAAGGAAAGGTTTTTATTAAGATGCCTCACCATCTTAAAAAATTATAAAAGAAAAAATATCAAATTCTCATACACCAGTAAAAAAAGAGCGCACTTGCTCTTTTTGTACCATCAGCATATATGTCATCAGCACTTGTTACAAAATATTGACGCTCAAATCAAATTTATGCATTTGTAGCGCACTACAAGGCAGTGTGACCATATTAAACGGTCATCAGTCATCTACTGCTTACCATTCAACAACCATTTAAAATTTTAACACCTCGTGACCGCAAGCTTCGACTTATCTAACGGCCAGCAGCAACACAAAAAGTGGTATTATTCAAGTGACAAACTTACTTTATTTCAATAACTGAAGAATTCGCTTAACGTTGATTAGATCTTGTATTTGATAGCAACGCACAAGTAAACAAACAAGGCCAAGTTCAAGTGAGCCTATGAATTTAACAATAATTAAAAGGACAATTTTTTTTATTCTTCCTCATTTTCTATGATCTAGTTTGAAAATCAATGAAAATCAATATAGAGTAATAATTAATTAGATAAATATTATAATTTAAAAAAAAAATCTAGTTTATCAAGTGCAAAGAAAAGAATTTGTATGATATGGTGTTAATTCAGAAGCAAAAGATAAAATTTTATCATCCATACTTGCATCAATTAGCGTATAAATCTCAAGATTGGTTGCTCCAATTGATTAGTTCAACCGACTTGCCGCCGAGTTTGCGAGCGAGCGATCTAATAGGGTTCAGTAGCATTTACAGCCAGAGTTATTCTGATCTCGAAATGGGAGTCAACGAAGAATTTGACTCTATACTTCTTGAGATCGGAGCATGCGGACTCTACCAGATCAGACAATACGTGCTCATCGGTTTTGCGATAGCGTTTAGTGCTGCGAGTGCAATCGGATTTGTTTTTACCGCAGCCATAGTTCCTCACAGGTAATTCCAGTGTTCTTTTAAAATTTTAATGAAAGGTCAAATCTATAACAGATGCCTCGTCCAAGCATGTGGAGATGTGAGCGAAGCGTCAGCATTTTTGCCGCCTTGGCTGAGCGACGCGGTCCCATTCAATTCAAACGGAAATCCCGAGTCGTGTTTAATATACAAAAATTTGACAGCAGATACATGTAGTTTTGATTCTAATATTGAAGAAAGGTGCTCCTCGTGGGTATTTGATGGGCCTGAGAGAACCATTCAAACTGAAGTAAATCATGGAATTAATTGTGTAGCTAAAAATAAAGATAATTATTCCAGTTCTCTTTGATGTGCCATGAAAACGAGTGGAAACTTGCTTTAGTGGGAACTTTGAACAGTCTGGGTGTTTTGATTGGCCTTCCAATTTCTGGATTCATTTCAGACAGGTAAATTAAGGCTTCTTTTATGAAAAAATATGTCACTTATATTGTTATTTCTTATTATAAAAATGTTAAAATTTTAGATATGGACGTAAAACGGCACTGGTTATTGCACTCACATCAGCCAGTATTTTCGGATTGTTAAAAACACTTGCCACAAGTTACATAATGTTTATTGTACTGGAAACGATTGAGCCAATCTTCGGCGGAAACATTTATGGAATAAGCTTTATCTTGGGTAATTAATACAAATTATTTAACTAATATTAGTTAATTAATCACGAAACAGCTCTTGAAATGGTAACGCCAAAAAGGAGAGTTTTGGGGAACATGGTGATTGTTTTTTCCTATGCGCTTGGCAATGCCTTAATTGGAGCGATTGCATGGGGTCTCAGAGAGTGGCGTCTAATTTTGTGGGTCACAAATGGTCCGGCGCTGCTTTTCGTTGCTTATATTTGGTAAACTGCCGTAAATCAAAACTATTCAATTATATGAACGTGGACCGTCAGGCTGGTGCCAGAATCGGTGCGATGGCTCATGTCAAGGGGCAGACTGGGTGACGCCAAGAAAGTGGTCCAGTTTGCGGCCAAGCTAAACAGAACAGAACTGAGCGAGGACCGGATGAAAGATTGGGAAAATGGGCAGATCGATCGTGTGGTAAATTTACGTCTAGCTCCATAGAAAATGCAGTGAAAAAATTAATTATCAATTTTTTAAGGATATTGATGACAAGGACAAAGGCGATTCTTTATGGTCTTCCCTTCGGCAAGTCACTAAAAGCGGGACACTTCTCATCAGACTTGCACTGTGCTCTTTTTGCTGGTAAATAAAGTTAATTGGTGCAAAATTTAAAATTGGATATAATTAAAAAATAATGATAATACATAATTGTTTTTTTACAATTTTAGGGCGTCAGTAACTTTGGTCTATTACGGACTGTCTTTAAATTCCGTATCGCTGGCCGGGACGGACAACCAGTACCTGAACTTTATTCTTACTAGCTTAATCGAAGCACCGTCGTATGTCATCACTTGGCAGTGCATGAATCGGCTAGGTCGTCGCAAAACCTTGTGCATCATGTTCGTCGCTAGCGGCATTGCCTGTTTTGTCAACCCATTTGTACCTGACAGTGAGTTATTTATGCAATAAACTAATTACTGATTCATAAACGACACGTGAAGTTGCAGCCAAGAAAACAAAGCAAAAGAAAAAACAGTGTGTGTTATGTATATTTGGGTTGCTAAAAAGTATTATTTTGTGTGTGCTCATTTAAATTGGTGATTAAACTTGCTCTCTCTAAACAGAATTAAAAATAAAATTGTTTTTTAAAGTACATTTTCGTTTCTAGGTGCGGGAGCGGCACGGCTGCCATTGTATCTGTTTGGCAAATTTGCAATTACTGGCGCCTTTGACACGGTCTACGTGTTCACCGCTGAGATTTTCCCAACAAAACTCCGTAATTCGCTGCTCGGCGCGTGCTCTATGGTGGGCCGCATCGGCTCCATGCTGGCACCGCAAACACCACTCTTGGTGCGAAACTAAATTTAAAAACAAGTCTCATGATTTATAACTCGTGATTTCTTTTGTATTTTTAAACAGTCGCAATTCTCCAAGTTTTTACCGCTCGCACTCTTTGGCGTTGTGGCACTGATAGCAGGGATTCTGGGCCTTTTCCTACCAGAAACCAAAGGCCTTGCATTGCCTGTTTCCGTCAAAGAGGCTGAAGAACTTTCGAGACGGAAAAAGAATAAGAAAAATGAAGACACAGACGCAACCACTGCCATGAATGACTGGCGTCGCAGAGATTCTGTTTGCTAATAATTGATTTTTATTATGCATTAAAATTAGCAATTTTAACATAAGACGAAAAAATAAAATATAATATTAAATTGAGTTTGCTTAAAAAAAGGTGGATTAAATGGATTTTTTCATTTTTAATTAATTACGGCGTCAAGAAGGAACCAAGAAATATTTTAAATTACAGCACCATTTTCTTAACATTGTTGTGCTTGAAACATTTGCACATGAAGCCAATATTAAAAAAAAAAATATGAAGATTACATAATTACTTAATTTACATTAAGATCAGAACTCTCAAAATTAAAATTAGTCCTAACAGTAATCCATTATATTATTCAATAGCTTGAAAATGTGATTGTTTTTATCTTATATTTTATATAGTTTAATGTTTTTAATAAATATATTTAAATTCTATGTATAAAAATTTACATTCTAAACCTTATCAGATGAGACAAAAGAAAAGCTATCACATAAATAAACCGCAGACAATATTAATATCAGCATTCCTGTCTATCACATCACTTTATTAACGGGACAACAGAGTACGATTAGCATACCTCAGAGGATTTAAGAAAGAGAAAAAACGTTATCAACTTACACCTTTCTACTCAGCACACATTATTCGCTGACGGGATGTAGTTTTCGTGCGTGAAAACAAGTTTTGCTTAGCAGGTTCAGCAAAATATAACATCTGCCCCGATTGTGAGAGGTCCTTAGTCAGTTTACTTTAGCATGGGCGTCAATGAGGATTTCGACCTGATGCTCCAAGAGATAGGAGCATGCGGCTTTTACCAAATTCGTCAATACGTGCTCATTGGTTTTGCCATTGCCTTTAGTGCAGTGAGTTTGGTTGGATTTGTGTTCACTGCCGGCGTTGTGCCTCATAGGTAAATTAGCCACATTTTTATTTTCTTAATTTTAAAATGTTTACTTTTAATGGGTCAAGATGCTTAATACCACAGTGTGGAGATGATGGAGAGACGTCGCTGTTTTCACCTCCGTGGCTGCAGGAGGCAGTTCCATTTAAATCAAACGGAGAACCCGAGTTTTGTTTGATGTACAAAAATTTAAATTCATCCATGAACGCATGTTTGTTTAATCAGACCCTACAAGAGAGATGCTCTTCATGGGTCTTAGATGGGCCAGAGCGAACCATTCAAACAGAAGTAATATTGAATTTTTTTTAAATTATTATTTTAAATAATTTTTTAAATGATCAAGTTTTCTTTGATGTGCCCAGAAAACGAATGGAAACTTGCTCTTGTGGGAACGTTACACGGATTAGGAGCAATGATTGGACTGCCGATATGTGGCCTTATCTCAGACAGGTCTAAATTTATATTCAAAACTGATGCTGTTTAGTCTTTCACTGTGAATACTTTTGTTTTTAAATTATAGATATGGACGAAAAACTGCACTTGTTGTTGTCCTTGTTTTGTCAAGCCTGCTAGGATTACTTAAAACAGTGGCCTTTAATTACGAACTGTTACTTGTTATCGAAACATTAGAATCCATCTTTGGAGGCAATATTTACGCAACTGGTTTTATTTTAGGTAAAAATTTAGCAGGCCAATACTATTTTTCTTCAGATAAAGATATTAAAAAAAAAATTAAATTGACAATTCGTTACTGCAGGGTTGGAAATGGTCACTCCGAACAAAAGAGTAATGGGCTACATGGTAATTGTGTTAGCATTTGGCTTAGGAAATGCCTTTCTCGGACTGATTGCATGGGGCGTCAAGGACTGGAAGATTATTTTGTGGGTCACAAATGGACCGGCTCTGCTCTTCATCACCTACATTTGGTAAATAAAAACCAGTCCTCCACTCGATCACATTAATGCGTTGTCTTTGTAGGCTGCTGCCCGAATCAGTGAGATGGTTAATGTCAAGGGGTAGGTTAGGGGATGCAAAAAAGGTAATCCAAAGCGCTGCCAAACTCAACAGGGCCCAACTAAGCAACGACCGAATGAAAGATTGGGAGAATGGACAAATTGATCGAGTGGTAAATTTGAAATGAAAATGTGATTTAAAAAAATAATTAAATAATAAAGGGCGCCGACGAGGAGGACAAGGGTGACTCGCTATGGCCATCATTACGACAGGTTGCCACAAGTAGGATTTTGGTAGCAAGGCTTGCAGTTTTTTCATTTTGCTGGTAAAAAGTAATTTTTTTTAATTATATATTTTTTTAAATTATATTATCAAAGGGTTGCCGCAGACTTGGTTTATGACGGTTTGGCTCTGAACTCAGTCACTTTGGGTGGAACGGACAACAAATACTTGAATTTTATTCTAACAAGTATGGTCGACGCGCCGTCATATCTGATCACCTGGCAGTGCATGAATCGACTAGGTCGTCGCAAAACCTTGTGCATCATGTTCTTCGCGAGCGCCATTGCTTGCTTAGTCAACCCATTTATACCCGATAGTAAGTATAAGAATTCATTATTAATTTCACTCACGCACGCTTGAATAAAATTTAAACCGCAGCGTTGTCTGTATTGTCGCGGTGGCGAGGTTGCATAACTTGCAAGCAGTGCCCAAAGTTTGCAGATTAATTTATTTATACAAATAAATATATTTTTGTGATGTGTCATGCGTCCAAATGAAAAAATTATACTTTAAAATTTAAAAATTGCGCCTACAACATGCAGTGTTCCCAGGCGGTCACCCATCCAAGTACTGACTGCACTCAACATTACTTAACTTTGGTGAAAAAATTAGCTTATTTTTAACACACAAGCTTATTTCGATGCAGCAATAAATTTATATTTTTTCACTAAATTTTGAAATTGTACCGTACTATATAAATATAATTTTCAAACTGTACAATAATAAAGTAAATGACAATTATTATTGTTGTTTATTTGTCCAAATTGTTACATCACAATTTTTTTCAATGGTTTTAAAGATGCTGAGGCGGCACGGCTATCCTTTTATCTCTTGGGGAAATTTGCAATCACCAGTGCGTATGATACAGTTTACGTGTTTACTGCTGAAGTATTCCCTACAAAGCTCCGTAATTCACTGCTCGGCACGTGCTCAATGGTAGGTCGTATTGGCTCCATGCTGGCACCGCAAACACCACTCTTGGTACGTACAATTCCTTTTAAAACAATTAGCCCCGAGTCGCGTGAGCTTCTTAGGTAATCACGCGATGTTTTGTTTTTGCAGACACAATTCTCCAAGTTTTTGCCTCTCGCTCTTTTTGGCGTTGTGTCCCTGATTGCGGGGACTCTGGCACTTTTCCTACCCGAGACGAAAGGCCGTCCGCTGCCTGTGTCAATGAAAGAGGCCGAAGAGCTCTCAAAGAAGCACAATATGGCAAGCAGTGACCAAGATGATCGGTCCGAAAATCTTGCAATTATAGGGGCGCAACCCGCCACAAATGCTGCAGCGGAAACTGTCAGATGAAAATTTCAAAATAATTTATAAATATTTCAACTTTATATTTACGAATAGCTCCTGCGCTGCTGGCACAGTTCCATTTTTTTGCAAAATGTTAACTCAACAATTTAAATAGGCCATTTCGCGCAGATTCCTCAACAATTCATTCTCTCTGCAGTGCTATTTGGGTCAAACGTCTGAGGGCATTCCGAAAACAACCCTATGCAAACTGCGCAAAATGACATGCAGAAATTCGACTTAGGTTAGCAAACTTTGGTAATTGGCAACAGTAAAAGATCCGTGGCGTAGGAGGGAAAATTGCCGCGCTTCTTTTTCAATCAAACGCAATTTTAAGTAGTGCTCCTCGACGGCCACACACAATCAAATATAATAATCATATTGGCTCTGCGTGCCGCCGCCGCTGAATGAAGCCATACACACTCTCAAACCGATAATAAAATAAAACGCACACTGCACAAGAAGAACGAGAGATTGATAATTCTGTCGCCCTTGAGTAACCCCCGAGACTCTCTTGTTGCCTTTGCCCGCCTTAACTCTTGAGAGAGGTAAACGGGCAGTGAAGCACGAAAATGGTGAATTTGATATAAAATATGTGTTATTGTAATAAATTGACCGGTCAGCGCTGATATATTCTGCGTTTGATCTATTCAAAAACGGCTTCAGGTAAAATACTGTATTTTCTTTTATAAATTATTAGAAATGGCCAATTATGTATATATTTTAATTATATCAACAATGCAAACAAGGTTCAGCGATTTTCTAATTTCAATTTTCAGGTCTAATTACTTAGAAGGCACAGAAGTCAATATTATATCTCACGTAAATTTGTAAAAAAAAAAAAAATCAACTCAAATTAATCTAACAAACAAAATGGATTTGTAAGAATTGACCCCTCGTCTGGCGTATTATCTAACGGAGCTGAAAAACTTGAATTTTTCTATAATTTGGCATCGGCTGTGTCTTTGACCCTTTTTATGATAGCTTTATCATTTTTGTCACTGCCCGCTAATTGTCACATTATGACACCATCGCCGCGCGCGCGATACTCCACTCTCTCGGCAGCGGCGTGTTCAATAACAAGCCCGGAATAAAACCGGGGCGGCTTTCACGCTTACTAAGTGCAAATTGACCATTGTGGGCGCGCTTTGCGATCCCCACACAGTCCTGCCAGTCCTCCTCCACTGACAGCGCCGCGCAATTACGCGCTAAGAAGGGCCTTCCTCTGCACTCTGGCAGTCATTCCCTCAAGTGCTGTGAGTGTTGTGTTGTGAGAACCTCAAATGCAAAGGATTAGCAACGACCGGTGGTGATTTTTGTCATTGAATTAGCCATGGTGGTCACCAGCAAGAGCGAGCAGTTGGACTCGATTTTCGCCGAGCTCGGCGACTTTGGCAGGTACCAGGTCAAGCAATATGCCTTCCTCAGCCTGCCGGTCATGTTTAGCGCGGCATTCACCATCAGCTATGTCTTCACCGCGGGTCAAGTGCCGCATAGGTAAGATAACAAAAGCAACATACTGTGATGTTTTATTAATAAATAAATAAATAATAATAATAATAATATATAAAAAAAAATTAATAAAAAAACTTTCACTTTTTGTAGATTATGATAAAAGTTATTACCAGATTAAAATTAATTGTGAAACAAAAATTGGTACAAGAAAACTAGATACAATAAGATAAAAATGAAATATACATTATAATGATTCAATATAAACAAATTTAAATTGGAAAATGTTAAGAAATTTTATTAAATCGATTTTTTATGAACGTGGCAAAGTTGTTATAAAAAGAAATACAGGAATCAATGTATAAGAACTTCAGGAAAATTATTTTGAAAAAAATTCAGCATTAAAAAAGTACAAACTTGGTGAAATAATTTGTTTTTGCAGACATATTATCTTCAAAGGGCGCAGTACGTGATAGTACTATCGCAAGCAAAAGTTATTTTTTTTGCAGCTAAATTTTTTAGAAAACAACATACAGTGTGAATGACCTGATATATGAAATATACAACAGTTCAGGTTGTACAAAATTTCCGTACTGTCAAAGTTATCAAAGTCACGAGTAGAATGATTAATAATGACAGACGTATAATTAGCATATTGTTTTCCTCGCCTTATTGCCACATTGAGCTAGCAGTAATTAAGCGCCTATAATAGAGCACACATTCAAAGTATCAAAACCAGCTGCTACATACAAAGTGATTAGTGCGCAATGATTGCTTTGCCATGATTTAACCATTAATCATTGTAGACAGAAATAAACCAAATTTAAAGGGAAAACTTTCTATGTCAATATATTCAGAGATTTTTTGAATTCAAACACATTCAAATTTTCGCTTTTAAATTAAATAATTTAAATTTTCAGATGCCTTGTACCCGAGTGTGGCGACTCGTTAAACGCTGATAGCTCAAATTTTCAACCACCCTGGCTGCGAGAGGCAGTGCCCTTTGAAGTAGCCTCCAACGCCCCCAGCGCCTGCCTCGCCTACAACCACCTCGATAATGCAACAGACACGTGCAATTTTGATAAATCGGCAACGCACGAGTGCTCCGAATGGATTTTCAAAGGACCGGAGAACACGATTCAAAGCGAAGTGAGAAAATTTAAATGAAATAGTAAACAGTGTGGCTATCCCCAGTAAGTGATAATGTTGTTAATAATAAAGCTTGCACTTAACTCCCGCTGTTTTATATAAACGCGACCTTGGCAAAGTAATGTGTGTTTGTTTTTAATTTACGCAAAGTGCGGGTAAATAAAGTATTCCCTTTTTGTGCTATTTTAAGTCATATAAGACATAGGAACTATGTTATTTTACCTTTCTAAAAGTTTTTTTACTCTTTTGAATTTATAAATTTATTAACTGTTTTGTGAGATGAAAAAAAAAAACAATTGATTAAACTGTTTTATTTTTGGAAAATTTCAGTTCAATCTAGCATGTTCGAATGACATGTGGCGACTGGCGTTTGTGGGCACCCTGAACAATATAGGTCGCTTGGTTGGACTCCCTCTCCATGGTTATGTTTCAGACAGGTATGTCTTTACTTTATCTTTTAAATTCCCATAATTTTATAAAATCCGTCCCATTTAGATACGGCAGAAAAGCTGCACTGATATTCACAATGCTGGGTTCTGGTATATTTGGTGTTTTGCGATCTTTATCGTGGAATTACGAGTCTTTCCTCGCATTTGAGTTCCTCGAGGCCGCCTTCTCAGGAGGCATTTATGCCATTGCCTTCATTCTAGGTTGGTATTTACCAATTGTCTGTGTGTCATCCGATTGACCTCCCCTCTGTTATGTGAGGTTACGAATGAATATCCATTGAATTATGCTGCCGGTGTCCGATTATGGTCGAAAGCAGTCTCATGCCATAACAATTGTTTAATGTGGCCATCAACATTATTTTCACTTCATTGTTAACTCCTGTGAATTTAATTCCTTTAAAATTCTTTGGATTTATTATCATTATTCATTATCGCACCTGAAGACACAACGCTTCTTGTATTTTTTGGAGATTTTGATTATCTATAATTTTTTTCATAGGCATGGAGCTAGTTGGACCAAGTAAAAGAGTATTGGGAGGAGCGGTTATTGTTTGGGCTTATGCTCTCGGACAAGTTTTATATGCTCTGATTGCGTGGGCACTAGGGGACTGGCGCCAAATCCTCCTCGCATCATATTCACCAGCTTTGCTTTTCGTGTTTTATATTTGGTATTTATTTTAAATTTGGCTATAATCATATTGAATGTAAATGAAAAATTATTAGGTTGATCCCTGAATCTGTGAGATGGCTGATGTCTCATGGAAAATTCAGGGATGCTCGAAACGTTATCAAAAGTGCAGCAGCAACAAACCGGGTTCGACTCAGTGAGCCTTTATTGGGAGATATGGAAAAGTGGCAAGATGGTTCAAAGGTAAGAAAATAAGCTAAATAAATAAACACTTCATTTTCACGGATGGTAATTTTTAAAGGAAACAATTACTGGAGAAGAAGAACAGGGTGATTCATTGTGGTCTGCGATGTGTCAGGTGTTTACTTCTAAGGTTTTAGTTTTGCGACTTGCAAACTGCTATTTGTGCTGGTATGATTGAAGTTGATTTTCCATTTTTTTTTTTTTTTGCCAAAAATTATTGTTATTCTCTAGTTTATGTATTTAATAAAATACAAAAATTTTGAATTTTGCATCCAACTACTGAAAAATGAAAATATTTAATTTTTCAGAATATCCACGAATATATTTCAAAAAATTTTCTTTTCAAAGGGTCACCAATAATCTGGTCTATTACGGACTATCGCTGAACGCAGTGTCACTGGCAGGCACTGAAAACCAATACCTCAACTTCATTCTCGTAAGCATCGTTGAAGCACCCTCGTACATTTTCGCCTGGCAAGGGATGACCCGATTTGGCCGCAGGAAAACTTTGTGCGCGGCGCTGATTATCAGCGGCATCTCCTGTTTCACAAGCCCTTTTGTGCCGGAAGGTATAGTGACAACAGCAGCCTCAATTAGCAGATCAAATAAAGGGGAAACCCATCCGTTTGTCCGCAGAAAGCAAGTGGATCAGACTGCCGCTCTACTTGACTGGAAAATTTGCTATCACAGCAGCTTTTGACACCCTCTATATATTCACGGCGGAAATTTTCCCTACCAAATTGAGAACCAGTCTGCTCGCCTCGTGCTCCATGGTGGGACGGCTCGGTGCAATGTTAGCCCCTCAGACCCCCCTACTTGTAAGAAATTTTTATTTTAATAATTTGAAAAATCTAATTTTGAAGCTTTAGGCAAAAATTTCGCCTTACTTGCCGCTGGAGATATTTGGAGCGTCAGCCCTCATTTCTGGAATGCTAGCCCTGCTTTTCCCCGAGACACTTGGCAAGTCCTTGCCCGACTCAGTTGATGAGGCCAAGAATTTGAAGTCAGAGGAAGCAAAAGTCGAAAAAAACAGTAAACGAGTGGTGCCAAAAGTCATCCTCACCACTTCGGACGACGACAAAATGTGAAAATTTTAAAAAGCATTTTACCTCAAGTATTATATTTATAAATAAGCTCCAATTTTTAAGTCTGTGTGTACCAAATCTAGCATAACTTATTATTAAAAATCATGTGTGTATTGCAAGCCATTCCAAAAGTTAACACTTTTAATGCAAAGAGGAGCTTTAAGGGAATAAAATTTATTTTTACACTTAGGATAGCGGAGGTAAAAATTTATTATTATGCTTAAAAATAAATACATCATCCTTAAATGCATCTATAGCAAAAATACATTTTGCTCACAAGTAGAGTCGAAATAATAAATCTGGAGGAAACATTTCGGAGCGCCACGATTTTCAGCGGCGCCTGAGGAGTGGCGGCGAACAGGTCAAATATCATTGGTATTGATTGTGTGAGGAAGACGAGCTGCCCGACGCAGCCATCTCGTCCAGCCTATCGGAGAGGTAGTGCAACTGCGTCGAGAGTTGCGAGATTTGTTTGAGCATGGCCTCGTCTCTGCGTGCCATCAAGAGCGGAGCCTCTTCCTCAAGGCGATCCACCTGCAAGCGGATTGGATTTCTTTGTTAAAATCCGCTCTCAAGTTGACACACGCAACGGGCGGTGGAAAAGTTATGCAACCGGGTGCGCGCCACGCACCAACAGGTGGTCTAGCTCATAGGGGTTACACACAAGTCTTTTCGCATGCTCGCGCACCCCCTCCTCTACGTCAAGTCTATTAATATTAAACTAACAACGGGCTTTATCGAGAACGACGGCGAGCTCGGAAATTTTTGCGCTTACCCTCTTTTTCATGCGCTCTTTGTACAGTTTGATATTTTCTAGCGTCTCGCTTAAAAGCGGCCGTTCAGTCTCTTTTGCAGCAACTGCTAAAAATTTTTTTGTAATAAAAATTCTATGAAATATAAAATTTGCTTACAAGTTTGATGAAAATTAGTCACCTCCAGCTGGAGTTGGCTGAGAAAATTTTAAATGAGCTCGGAAAATCGATAAAGGGCAAAAAATACTCATGTTCCTCGCATTGCTGGTCTACAATTTTCCTCAATGGGATCAACGCACCGTCGGCACTGCGCAGCTTGAACACTTTTTTAAGCGCCTCTGAGGCGGGAATGTCGAGTGATTTGGCAAGATTTCGTTTTAAGTCATCCAGTTCCTCAGCGTCTTCGACTTCTAAACTTTTCAGCACCGGCTCGTTTTCTGCCGGCCAACCAGTGAGAGAGAGACAGAGATGAGAGATTGAGAAGAGACTTGGATCGATAGGGAAATCGTGCCTCACCTCCAATGTCAGTTCTTTTGATTTTGAGGGCGACGACCACCATTTCCGAGCCGAGCAGCCCCGATTTTGGCTTTGGACTGTCAGGTGTGCGCTGCTGCTGGGCCGAGTGCGTCTGTACGTTTGTGTTTATCAACACAGAATCTAACCGAGAGGTGCTGCTGTTTACTCTGGGTCGCGGTGACGCACAAAAAGCATGCGTCGAATGAATCTAGCTGCCGACCTCCCGCCGAGTGGAATAAAATGTGGCCGCTTGCGATGATGGTGCTCACTCACTTATGGTCTCTGCAAGCACTTTTGCGCAAAAGCAGACTCTTGTCCTCAAATTGTTTCATTTACCTCTGCTGTCTGCTGTCTTCCGCTGAGAAAAATCAATTTGCCGTCGGTAGCATGCAGTAGGGAAACCTCGTGCATATTTTTTGCAATGAATGCACTAAACATATGCACAAGCGGATTAACTTATTTGAACAAAATATTGGCCAAAATTGAAAAGCAAAATATAAAATTTTAAAATAACATAAAATGGAAAAGACAAAAGCAGTTAACTTTAAACTTGAAATTTTTCTTAATTCTTCAATTTTTATTTAAATAATATTAATGAACCAAAGTTCTGAGTTTTATCACATAATATGTACTTTTAATTTGGTAATGCAAATTATTTAATAATATATTTTTATTAAGAAATGAAATTCTAAAATATCATTCAGACTGATATTTATTTTAAATCTAGAAATATTATTTTTGTTGTGACAATATTTGTAATCCAAATTTTTGAAAGCTTTCAAAAATTAATTTTCATGGCAGCTGATAAAATTGGAGCAATAATTGATATGGCCGAAGTACAAGCTGAGCAGACAGAGGCAACGCGTTGTTCACACTCTCGGGGCCAGGTGTTTTTCGTCTGTCATCCTGCCTGCCCCTGCGAGTTAGACCAAAATGCAAGCAGCAGCCGCCACACGATTAATGTGAGCGGGTGGGTGCGTTATGCCGTGAGCCAGCGAAAGCAAAGCGCTGCAGGCAGCTGTGTATTTTTATATCGTGGCGGGGTTATTTCCCTCGCTGCTGGGTGGATTTTTCCTCAGCACGCGCGTCACTCAGCCGCACACACGTACTTGCGGCCAAATGCGTATGGATTTTCGCACTTCATCCCTTTTATTGCAACACACTGACGGCTCCCCCAAAAAACAATCAGAAAATGTTCATAAAAGTGAATAGCGAGCCGGTGGAGTTTCGGAAAATTGATCCACAGGCTCCCCTGGTGCTTTGCTCCAAAGCATGCATTTCTCTGTGATTGATTGCGCTGGGAAAAGAAAAACGAAATTGGTTTTCATTGGAAACAAAAAAGATATAAAATGAAGCTGAAATTGAGCTTTTCAGGAGTGTCGTTAATAAAAAATTTAATGGAAAAACTTAACACTGATAAGATTGACTGTTTAAAGTTTAAAATATGAAACACGATTTTTCAATCTCTGCTGTTTTTTTCTCTAAAAAATCATATTATATTTTGAAATTGCTTGTGACATTAAATTCAGAATCTGAATGTATTGAACTTTTAAAACGAATAAAAAATAAAATTTAATTTTATTATTTCTATTCCAAAGTTATAAAATTTTTTTTACCTAAATAAATTTCCTCGTCCCTTTTCTTCAGTAGAAAATATTTAAACATTAATTCAAAATATTAAGATGAATTTATATTGCGTGAACGTACCACCATTTTATTAGTTTCAGTATATTTTACTTGTTCCTAATTTTACATGTTTGGTAAATTTTGAAAGAAATTCACAATTTAATGATATTTGGATTCGTTTATTAATTTCCTTCCTCATTCTTTGCAAATTTGTGAAACTCCCAACACTCATTCATCGCAAAGCACGACGCTCTCCGAGTTCAAGTACGCACATCGCAATGTCGTAATTAAGGGGGTAGTTTGCCAGTTCGCTCGCTCGGAGCAAAAAAGGAGGTTTGTGTGTTTTATTGTGCGCACATTGTGCAGTGCTGCTTGTGTGACAGGGGTAAAAGTAAAGACTGGTAGTTCACTCCGCGGGAGAGGACGCGAAGGGGAAGGTAAAGAGGGGCACATCTCTTTTTATTCACAAGAGTGGTGTGTTCAGTGCATCTGGTCGCTCGACTCGACGGTCGGTCGCTGGGAAGCCTTACAGAAGTGGAGTCGCGGCGGAAAGCGTAGCAGCACCACCACGTCCGACCCCGTCGTCGCTCCAGACCGAAATTCCGTTTCCGCCCTGCATTGAGGTACTTATTTTGTTTTTTAAATTTCCACCCCATCCGTAGAGCGATTAGGATTTGAGTGCGAAATTTCGCGGTACGCCGGGAAAGTTTTCCAACGATCGCGCGCCGATTTTGATTTTCACCCGTGTGCACATCTGGTGCGTGTGCGTTCAGTGCAGCAAAGTATCAGCCAGCGAGAGAAGCTCAAGAACGCCAGAAATAAACAGTTTCTATTTTTATATATGGACCGGGAGTGACTACCCTATAGTCTCAGCAGAGACTCTGAAGTTGATCTATAAAACCGCGGCAGTTGGAAAAAGGCCTATATAATTTCCAGGATCGATTTCCCTTTCAATCTGTTTGACTATTTTTCTTAAGTAAAATATTTAAGAGAAAACTGAAAAAAGATATTGAGCCAATTTTCCTATAAGCCCTCAAATATATATATTTTTTAAATACATTTTTTTAAATTAAGCTTTTAATTTTGCAACACACAGCTTTTGATTTTATCTTCTTTAAGCCAGCCAAAAATTGAAAATATATTTTGATCAAACAAATCATCAGCTTTTATCACCTTTTCATGCGAAATGGGAATCGGAGCGGCTGTATTTGCGATCAGCCAGAGCAGAAGATAAACTGCTGAAAATTCAATCTATCCCGTAAACTTGGGTCGGAATTTGTGCTTGTTGTTAGCAAACAAACTCTCTCGCTCCGTCGAGCGGCGATCACGTGGGATTGATTTTCCTTTTCCTGCCTATTTTACCTGCCTGCCTGCATGCTTGTGGCATGCTTCTTTTCAAAGGAACAATATGATCAAGTAACCAACAAGCGAAATGAATAGGCCCTGACGGTCTCTCTTTTTCCGTTCCTCTACCTCCCCCCCGATAAACAACTAGAGAGCCAAGCTGCCCCTGAGCGGTATGCAATGCGATGACATGAACTGCGTCTTTATTTTTTGTGGACAAATGTGCTGGTTGATAAAAAAAATAATAAAACGAAGCTTTTGGTCTACTGGTGTTCAGCACACGTCATTTATATTATGTAGTTGAACGCTCTCGTCTACTTCAAGGGTGAACAAAAAATATTTTCTTTAGATGAATGAGACCAATTTGTCTATGAAAATGGTTCCTTGCATGAGATTTATAACTAGAATGAAATAAAAACCGGCGTTGATAGCTTAATAAAAATTGTAAAACGAAGCATTGATAAAAAAATAATAATAAAATATGGTGATTTGAATTTAAAGTCGGCTTTTCCTTGATTGGTTTTGTAAGTTGTTTAATAAACAATATCTTGCTCATTGAGGAAAAGCCGACATTAAATTATAATCGTGAAACATGAATCAACCCTCAATCGTGAAATTTAATACAAAGCTAAAATAATTTAATGTTGCGTGATCCTAATTATTGTACAAGCGTTACATATGCAGAAATAATATGTATATTAGAATTTCTTGTGTTTATATTTTTTGAAAAAATTTAGGAATATAACTATTAATAAATCTGAATTTTCAGTTCAAACTATGGCCACTGCGATGGGACGAAGGGCACATTTAGGCATGTCAATTGTGTGTGGCAGTTGCAAGCAGAGATTTCACTCTGTGATCGACCTTCAAAGGCATAGGTCTTTCTCCCTGTGCACAGAAGCAGGTAACATTTTACTGTTGTCCATAGGCAATTTTTTAATTATTAAGGCGAAATTATAAAGAAATTAGTTTGAATTTAAAAAAAAATTAAATTTACTCTTTTCTATTATAATATGATGAAAAATATAAATTTTAATGATCTCTAAATTATGTAATAAAAATGAAATATTAAATTTTTGATAAATTATAAATTTTAAGTGCATTAAATAAATTTTTCTAATTATAATTAATGTGCAATTACTATTTTGTAGAGAGATATGGATGTCCGCACTGCATTCTGGACTTTGAGGTGCGTGAGGTTTTGCGAGACCACATGAAAACGCACGAGGTGCCCATGCAGATCCCCCAGCCCATCAGGCAGCTCCCTTCGCCTGTCGATAAACCGGCAGCTGCAGCTAATCAGGAAAAACAGCCCTCGCCAACAAAGCCTGGTATACCCCAAAGCGCTTAGCAAGGAAAAAAATACTAATTTTTTCAAAAGCTGCAGCAAAGAAAATTGGCTTTACTAAAATCCGCTTTGAGGACTGCAAGAGGTGCGACGAGTGCTCTTGTATTTACCTTTACGAAAAGGACTACGAGAAACACATGCGCAACTTCCACAGGAGAAAAGAACTTCGAAAGAGCAAAAAGTAAAATTTATAATCTTCTTCCCACATATTTATTAATATTTAATTTAGGTTGAAAAAGGGGTGTCGATCTTGTTGCAACCAATGCAACTGCAAGGATGATCATACAGCACCAGTCACCGTTGAGACCGAAAGAGGGAACAAGAACCTCTTTCACTTCAATATCAAAGCAAGTTTTTATTTTTTTATTTTTTACAAAAACAATTAAATTCGAACTTAAAAAAATTCTGGATAAATTTTAATAATTTTTATTCAAAATTAAAAATAGTATGAAATTAATAAAATAACATTTTAAATCAACTGCATGATTGAAATTTAAGTTAACCTTTTTTAATTCTAAATGTAAAAAAATTTAAGTGCAATTTTCTTGCAACATGTAAAACTCTAGTTTTTGTGATTTTCACAGGACCGCTGGAGCAAAGTGGTTTCAAAAAGCATTATGGATGTTTGCAATGAGCCACAGCTTGACGAGGAAATGATTGTCGTCAAGGAAGAGCCTCAAGGCGAAATTGACCTGACCCATCTTCTCAGCCAGGTTGAGGTCAAAATTAAAACCGAAGTGGAAGACTTCTTTGAGCAAAACCTCCTACCAGTGCCTTTGTCACAAATCAAGACTGAACCCTTTGAGCTGTAAAGAATTTTTATGTTTCAAAATCAAATTCTCAATTTCAGTCTTGGTAAACAAACAACATTCGCAATTATTTAAATTTTCCATTCGAGCGTGTGAGACTTGTCAAATTCATGCGTGTAAAACTTGTTGTTTTATCCTTGGAACAGCGTGTGAATTCATTTGTGCCATAGTACACAGATACATAATTATTTGATTGTGTTTGCTCTTGATTTGTGTAATAAGATAATGAAGTGTCACGAATATTAGTTTTTTCAATGGAGAGCTTAAACTTAATTTAGCATCGCATGATTGCCATTTTCAATGGACAAGTACTTAATTTTACTATAAAAAACTAGTTTTCTCTTTCTCCATAGTTGGAACACTAGTCATCAAGTGCAGAACATTAAAAGAAAAGTTGCTCTCTATATATTAAGTAGTGAATGAGCGAGATTGCTGATTTTAATTTATTGACAAGTGGCCGAGTGAAAAAAATCTGCCAATTCAGAGAGGTTGTGGTAAATATACTGTTACTTTCTCATCTCTCTTACCAAAAACTGTGTTCACCTGATTAAAATTTGTTTAAAACCAATCTTGGTAATTTATTTCCTAAATATTTCCCTTTGAAATAACACTTTTGTTGTGTTTTGCAGTGTGGCAAATATTGAAAAGCGGTCTAAATCGGTCAGCAGCTCAAGAGGAAGCAATAATCATTGAGCAAATTAAAATATAATTTGTTGCAATCTATCTACATTTAGGAAAACTGAGAAAATAAGACATAAACCAGACACTTACTTTTGCAGGATAACGGCTCATCAAGCAGGTTGAAATCAAACCTCACAACTCACAATCAAAGAAAAGCCCTGAAAAAATATAGAATAAATATATTCAAAACTTGCAAACTAAAATAAAAACCTGGTGTGAAAAAATATATATTTTGCATTGATTTATAAAAAAGGATAAATAATATTAAAACAAATTTGGATAGATAAAATAAAGAAATTAAAGAAAAATAATACAGGTCTGCATTGAGTTTCGGCCTCCAAGAAAAAGATTAATTATTCATATTTACGTATGTAATACTTTGTGATGGTATTTTTAATACTAGTTAATATTTGTAATACTTTCTTTTTCCACACTTTGAAATTTAAAGTTTTTTCGGTGCTTTTATTATAACTTTATTATGAATTATGATAACCAGTAAAAATATAAATACATAACGATAAATAATAAATAATAGCATTATATGTATAAAGAAATTATTATACCAGTCTACAGCGTCCAACTTATGCAACTATTGGTGCAGAGGGATGTGGAAAATGCAGTGGCAAAACACAATTAAGGGAATATAAAAGCGGAAATCAACGCGGAAATGTTACTAAAATGCGTGGTGTGTGTAGAGAAGAAAAAAATATACACATAGGTATTCGACAGTTCGCAGATATGCTGCATTCTGCATTCAAGAGATGATCAAAAGAACAACTAAAACATCGATTGATACGTTTCGCACTGTTTTGTTTTGTCAATTTGGCCTCCGATAGAAGATAGATAGAAGAGGGACTTTCGAACTCCGATTCATCTTGCAAGTCGTCCCCCCTTTATTTGCAAGTTGACTTGCTTTGCTTTTGCTTGCGACTTGTGTTTGTTTGTAGTTTGTACGTAAATTGCTATTGCTAAGTAATTGAATCCCGATTGGCCGATGTGCCGGTCACGTGGTAGCGATCACGTGGTGTAGCGACTGACGACGGAAACAAGGAGCTTGGACTTTGGACAGAATAGGAATTGTAGATGTAGAACCATGGGATACGAAGAAAGGCGGAGCCCCCCCATACCCGCAATGTTAAACTGGTACAGGTACAATGTAATCAAATCAAATGGGAGCTGGTACCTAAGCCCCGCCCTTATTCGTATCCCATAGTTCTACTATATCTAGGACAGAAAGTGGAAAAACAGCAGTGCCACAGCAGGCAGACACAATCAAAACAAATATTTTTGTGCACAATTTACCATTAAATTGCTAAAAGCTGATCAAAATATCCGGAAATTTCAATTAAAACATTTAAAACTGTTGTAAGTGATCGTGCCATTTATTTTATTTGAAGTTTTTGCGAGAAAATTATTTGATTTATTCTTTGCAGTTTTTAATTATTTGTTTATAATTGCAGAAAATGAAAATTGTGCGATGGGCCGCAAAAGTAGGCTCGTGGCAGCCCACTGAGGTCGAGTGGACGAAAGCCGCCTCTTTGATCCAACTCGAAGAAAAAGAAAGAATTGGCAAGTTTTATTTCAAGAGGGATGCGAAATCTTCAATGCTTGGTCGCCTTTTGATAAGAAAATTTCTCTCTCAAGCAACTGGCCTCTCGTGAACAGAGCAATTAACGATCATTATTTAAAAGAAGTTAATTATTCAAATTGACAGGAACACTGAAATATTCATCGAGAGGGATAAAAATGGCAAACCAGTTTACCCCTGTGACCCTTCTGTGATCTTCAATGTGTCTCACCAAGGTGACTTTGCGGTTTTGGCTGGAGTTGCTGGATGTCTACCTGGCCAAATGCTTGGTGTGGATATTATGAAACTTGAATACACTGGTGGCAAAAGCTTGAGCGAATTCTTCAGGATCATGACTCGGAACTTTTCACCTAAAGTATTTTTTTTTTTATTATAAAAATTTGTAAAAAAAGTAATATTTTTTGTTTTTGTAGGAATGGCTGTTAATTAAAAATCAACAAGAGGAAAGTATCCAGCTGAAGGAATTTTGTCGCCACTGGAGTTTAAAGGAGAGCTACGTGAAAGCCACCGGTACAGGCATCACCGTGAATTTGCAAAACCTCAGCTTTGCCACATCTTCTCGAATTGGTTCCACCAGCAGTTCTTTGACTGATACGATACTTTATGAAAGTGAAGTTCCTTTGAACGATTGGACTTTTGAGGAATCCATGCTTGACGAGAAGCATTGTGTATCTCTTTGTAGAAATTTTAATGTTAACAATGTGGAAAATTTCCAAACTTTGCAAATTGATGAACTGATGGTTGACTTGGAACCATTGAATGCTCCCGACGTTAATTACACTGCTAATTTTATGTCAAAAGATGAAAAGCCTTAAACTATTGTTAGTTAAAAATTTATTTCTTTTTATTCAAATGCTGTCGCCATTTTTATTTTTCTGGTTTTCAATTTTTGAAAAACCTTTTACCAGGTCACTGAGAAGTGTTTGAATTTCAACAATTAAAAAATTAGGCAATTCCTAAATTTTGTTATTGACTGTTTTGCTTAAAAAAATAGATTGATTGTCATTATAAAAATTCATTTCTTTTTGACCAACAAGCTTTTTATTTATAACGTAACATCACTTGACTGTCTTTGCAAATGTTTCAAATAAATTTCCTGCAGTGATTGAGATGATAAGGTAATCTAGTTTAATTGCATTTTTATTTATCTACATATGGCCTCTTTTAAACATGTACAGCTGGCAAGTCAAAATGTACACAATCTGCCTCCTTACTCTCCGTTCTACTGAATTTAGGTGAGGACAAGAACAGCTCTCGGAGCCAAAGAAACCAATCATTCCGAATCTACATAAACAACATTAAATGGCGTTGTTGCATAACAGAAAAGAAATTAAATTCTCTCAAAGAGGATTTTGACAGGAATTCAATTAGAAAAGAAATTCAGTTTGTTCATATAGGATTCACTGCTGCTGGCGACTCATTAGACACCCAGTAGCTTCTTGACCGTGCGGACCACATCCGAGGGCTGTGGCAGGGCAGCAATCTCGAGGCTCTTGGTGTAGGGCATAGGGACGTCGGCTCCGGTGATCCGAACGGCCGGGGCGTCCAGGTGGAAAAAGACCTCACTCTCCATGACTCTGGCGCAGATTTCAGCTCCAATGCCACACTGTGGCCAACCCTGCTCCACTGTGATCAGACGGTGCGTCTTGACAACCGACTTGAGCACCGTATCCATGTCGAGAGGCCTCAGGGACCGCAGGTTGATGACCTCGCACTCGATGCCTTCCCCAGCAAGCAGCTTGGACGCCTCCAGACACGTGTCCACGGACTTTGAGTGAGAAACTAGGGTAATGTGCTTGCCCTGCCTTTCGACCTTTGCCTTGCCGATGGGCAGGACGAATTCGTTGGACAGCGCCTCGTCCGACATGTCGAACGCCGTACCGTAGAGGATTTCGTTCTCCAGACAGATCACGGGGTCGGGGTCTCGGATGGCAGCTTTCAACAGGCCCTTTGCGTCCTCAGCACTGTAGGGAGAGATGACCTTGAGGCCCGGACAGTGGCTGTACCACGCGCCAAAGCACTGCGAATGCTGGGCGGCGACTCCGGCAGCGGCGCCGTTCGGCCCTCGGAACACGATGGGCACGTTGATCTCGCCGGCTGACATGTAGAAGGTTTTGCCCGCCGAGTTGATCACCTGATCGATGGCCTGCATGCTAAAGTTGAAGGTCATGAATTCGCAGACGGGTCGCAGACCGTTCATGGCAGCGCCGACGGCGATGCCGGCGAAGCCCATTTCTGTGATCGGCGTGTCGATGACTCGTTTGTCGCCGTACTTCTTCCAGAGTCCGCGGCTAACTTTGTACGCGCCGTCATACATGGCCACTTCCTCGCCCAGAATGAACACTCGTTCGTCTCGTTCCATCTCCTCGTCCAGCGCAGAGTTGAGCGCATCCCTCACGTTCATCTGCTGGGCGGCCAGGACGCGCCCTGTTGAGAAGCATCGTCGCGAAAGCAATTTCGAGGCAACCTTTAACATCTTTTTTGATGTTGATAGAGCTGCCATTTTTCTCGCAAGGTCACACAGAAAAGACAGTTTCTGACAAGGAGGTTTCTGATTTCGGACGGGGGCGGCTCTGCCAAAAAAACTCGAATTACAGTTCGCGCATCGTCCTCCAGAGAGCGCCGTCGTGAAGGAGAGGCGAAGCACATGATAACAAAATAATGTGAATATTAGGAATCGCATGAAAATAAATGCATAAATATCGGTCAAAAAGCGCTTCCGCTGCTTGATTAGATAAAAGCAGAAAACATAAGTTGTTCCTGCACTGAACCAGCCATCAACGACGTGTAAGGTGAGTGTAACTTTCGCACAATTAACCTTTATTTTCGGCTTGGCAGAAGAGTCTCTACTCCAATATGGCCGTCTCAAGGACTCAGTGCGAAATTGTCTTTGCTTTGAATGAAAAGCTGCATTCATTCCGTTTTCCGACACAATTTATTCTCTTTTGAGTGCAATATTAGAAATGCTGATTCAATATTCTTTCATTGTAGATCAATCACCTCGCCAAATCCTGTCAGGTGAAACTGAATTTACATAGACCACAATGTTATTATCCCCACCTTCGTTCCCAGGAATGTTTGTAAATAACATAGTAACACTCTACACATCCATAGTAAATTTTAGTCGGATCATAGCTTCTTCATTTTGTTAATAACACTAATTTTTACTTTGTTCAGGGCCTCAATTCCTTCTGTTTATCCTATTTTATTTTGTACGACGTTTTTAAATTGGTAATAACTAAATTCCTATCATTTTCATCTTACTTAATATTATTTTTTATTTTTTCCAAATGAACACTTGGCTAATTGAAATATTCTGTTATTCTAGCATGTCTAGCTCATTTGTAGCAGACACTTCGGAGCAAAAGCAGGATGGCTCTGTTGTGATTGTACTGAACGAAGATGGTACAGTCTCACTTGATGAGCAGACACTGCAAAAGCTACTTGGTTAGTCTGTGAATTTGAAATATTGGCTTTTTAATAATTAAATTTTTTTTAATTTAGCGGCTAAAACTCTTCAGCAGCAAGTGAGCGTGGTGCGTATGAATCAAAGTGGGGAAGGTGGCGAAATGATGAGTACACCCATCACACTGGACGACGTTGTTGTCTCCGACGAAGGCCAACCAGAGGTCAATCTGACCGTCGAAGGCTTCTATCCCAGTGCTGTTGCAACAGATACCACACCCTCATCAGCCGACCCTATGAATCCATTTATGCAAATGGACCCCGAGCAGCTAGAAAAACTGGAGAATGCTCTGCAGTCCGAGCAGGCAAAGCAAATTCTTGGCGAAGGTGTCAGCGCCATGCTAGGTATAACTTAACCGTCATATTTTATTCAAATTAATCTGACTATGAATTTAGACATGTTAACAGCCAAGGAGGAAAAGACTGAAGAGTCCAGCAAGAAAGCAACAAGTATTCAGCTGGACCATTGTTACACGGGAAGTTCCAAAAGTGGTGCTGCAGAGGTTTCGGCTGAGGAGACTGAGAGTGACGAAGAAGAGCTGGAGAGAAAAAGGAGGTCCCAGAGAGGAAAGGTAAATTTAAACAACTATTTATTGCATAATAATATAATATGCGTAAATTAAAAAAATCTGAATTTCAAAAATTGTATGTTAAGGGTCGAGCAACTAGAGGAGGTAAAACTGTTCCAGTGAGTCCTGCGAAGACAAGGACAACCCCTCCTGCAGCAACTCGAAAATCAGCCCGAGCTCAAGCAGCTGCTCCTGCACCTCCTCCTGAAAGCACCCCTCCTGCAGAGTTGACAAAATTGGGCCAGTCGCCAGCCAAAACTCTGCTGAGAACTTCCAAAGTGTCCCCTGTAAAGAAAGAGCCAGTGGTGGTTCCCGAGAGAAAAACGTATCCCCAGAGGACAAATAGGAAGCCACCTGCGCATCTGGCGGATGCTTATGGGCCTGGTATATTCTCATCCCCTGATACGCCAAAGAAAACAGTTGAAGTTGCAAAGAAGGAGCCAGTCTTGGACCTCGTGCCCAAAGTGGAGGAAATCCCCAGTTTGAATTTGGACATAATTCCCATCAACTCGGCCCAGGCACTGCTTGAACCCGAGGCCATTGAAGAACTGCAAGCTGTTCTGAGTGATCTTGGTCCAGAAATACTGAAGCCTTTGGAGGAAGCTAAGGTTAGATTTGTATATGCTTTGAATTAATTAGAGGAGAAATCAAGCAATGTTATCAAAAACACAGGATGTGGTTTTCTGATCACGTTTTCCTGCTTTAGAAGGATTTTTTTAGTATTGTCATGAAACTAACGGTTTATAGGCTGAAATGGATGAAGCTCTCATGGAAGAGGCTGAAGAGCAGAAAGTAAAAGCAGAGGCCATTGCTGCCAGAAGGAGGAGCTCCTCTAGTAAGGCATCTGTAACGGCTGACGATGAAGCTGGGTCACCATCAAAGAGTGGGCGTCCCCCTAGAAAGGCAGGCCTTAGCAGAGTAACTTCTGAAGCTATTAAAGATATTCAGGCGCCTAGTGATGAAGAAGACTCCGGGGATGAGGAAGGTGACGAAGAATGGGACTCTGAGGATGATCCGGACAAGCTATGGTGTATTTGTCGAAAACCGCACAACAATCGGTTTATGATATGCTGCGACAAGTGTGAAGACTGGTTCCATGGAAAGTGCGTTGGAATAACTAAGGCTATGGGTAATTAATTATATTTTACTGTCCATCAATTGCTTAATCTTTTTAATTTTCAGGCAAACAAATGGAACTGGAGGGCAAAGAATGGACATGTCCAAAGTGCAAAAAGTTACTCAAGCAAAATGAAATTCCAACCAAAATTGGTGAAGATAACGAAAAGAAAATTGAAGTTAGCAGTCCGGCTAAAGCAAGAAGAAGCTCCTCAACGTCTTCAGCAGCATCAACAGCAACAGTTAAAAAGAGTCCTAAACCAGCTCAGCCAGCTGATAAACCAGAAAAATCACAAGTTGGATCAAAACTTATTTCCAAAAGACCAGAGGTTGTTAAATTCATTTTTAGCTTGATTTTTTTTAACAGCTGTATATTGCAAATTATAGGCAAAGAAGCTAACTCCGTTGGTTATTGAACCAACCTCGCTTTCTCAAGCAGCCACACCAGTTAAGAAAGTGTCCTGCTTAGTTTGTAAAAAGCCAGCACGTACATCCAGTATTTACTGCAGCGATGATTGCATCTTAATCCACGCTCAAGATTCGTTAACGTTACTGAAAAAGGAGAAAGTATTAACGCCTTTGACTGCAAAGGTATTAAAAATTGCCTTTTTTTTATTTGCATTTTCTGACGCTGTCTATGTAGGCCGAAGATCCTTCAAAAAGTGCTCCCTCCGAAAATTCGCAAGCAGACACATCTGAAAATAGAGTGTTGATGTTTGAGCAGAAAACTGGAAGAATTTTGGCAGGAACAAATGCTCCCACAGAATCTAACTTAAAAACTTGGTTGAAGGAACACCCAACGTACCAAGTCTGCAAGCCTAATCTGGTTGCCAATATTAGGTAATAATTTTTTACACAAATCTTTTATAATCTGAGAAAAACCAAAATAGGCAAAAACTTCAAAAATTAACTGGTGACAAGCAGCAAATTTACATCAAACCACAACATCCTAAAGTTGAGCTCAATGATGTGCCCATACTAGGGTTACCAATGAGAACTCCCAAAACACCACAAACTCCCATCAGCAGGACTATTGTCATACCCTCTCAACGTCTTCCTTTAACAGGTATTGAAAAACAAATGTTTCAAAATTAAAAAAATAACCAATTTTAATTTCAGGAAAATCTCCCTCTCCCACAATCAAGACTGTTATGAAAGCGGATGCCAAAGGCACTGCTTCAACCCTACCTGCAGCTGGTACAAAGCAACCTACAGTTAAAACTGTTACCAAAATCCAGAGTGCTGGAGTTAAGTCTATCGCACCCAAAATTGCCAACAAAGAGCAAAGCAGCTCTTCAGCAAAGGTTTCAACTGAATCGTCTCCTGCAAAGAAGCAAGCAAGTGTCGAAGCAACAAGACTAAGTGTTCGCAATTCTTTGCAAGACGTTTTCAAAGCTCGAATGGTAGAGTGCAAAGATTTGAAAGTGAGTGAAAATGAGCTGAAAGGAATAGCCACGTCTATTGAAGAGGAATTGTATGCTTACTTTAAAGATACTGGAGCAAAATACAAAGCAAAGTTTAGGTAAAAGCATTAGGGTCCAATAAACATTTTGCTCACAGTTCTTATTCATTCTTCTCAGGAGTATTCATTTTAACGTGAAAGATCCCAAGAATCTTACCCTCTTCAAGAAGATAATAACTGGTGAATACATACCTCATCAGCTTGTACGTTTGAGCTCTGAAGATCTGGCCTCAAAGGAGCTTGCTGAGTGGAGGGAGCAGGAAGAAAAACATGTATGATTTCAACATTCTTTTAAAATTGTAGAAAATTATTGTTTTTGTTTGCAGCAAATAGAGATGATAAAGAAAACAGAGATGGACCTTCTGCAGCAAAATGTCACTTACATCAAAACTCACAAAGGAGAGCAAATGATTGAAACTGAGGATTCACTCAAATTGCAGAGTAAGAATTATTTATTTGTCACAATATTCTTTATTTCCTATGATTTACCATTTTTAGCTGATGCTGTTGAAGCAGAAACTGCAGTCGAGCCCATTCCTGATTCGTCCACAGCCGAGGAGGTTCCTAACATGCGGCCACCCTCTTCGTCATCATCTCATGGTCGCAGTAAAAGTTCTTCGAGCAAAGACAAAGAGCGAAGTACTAGTAGTCACAAACATCACCACAAATCTAGTAAGAGCAGCCGACATCACGACAGTAAAAAGCACTCTAGCAGCCACAAGTCGTCATCTCACAGCAAAGAAAAGTCTCACTCCAAAGACTCAAAAGATTCCAGCAAGGAAAAGGATGCAAAAACCAAGAGCGATTCTCACTCTAAGAGCAGCAGTAATAGTCGAAGGCACTCACGACATGGCAGCTCTGACCATAAAACTCGCGATTCCGAAGAGAAGTCGTCAAGGAGTAGCTCGTCACTCAGCAAGACGTCGGATTCTAAATCTATCAGTAAAGACAAAGTAACACCTGTAGTGGAGGAGCTGTCTGAAAGCGCAAAGGAAATAATGGAGAAGTTGGAAAAGATAAAATCTGGAACATTGACACCTGCAGTGATCCCTCCTGAAGAAGAGACACTCTCAGACAGAGAACCCAGCTCTACTGTCAACATCAAGTGAGCCTAAGCAATATAGCAATTAAAATTTTTACGATCGAAATTTCCTTTTTAGGACTCCAGAAAGTGTTGTTGATGAAGGCCACCCTCCCATTTGGAAGGGTTTGGTCACCTCGCAGGATGTCTCAAATTTCAAAATATCTATATACGAGGTAAAAATCATTTAAGTTAATTTTTAAATAATTTTTGAACTTGCATAATTTAGGTTTCTGGGTCGGCTCAAAATTTTGGGAGCGATTTTCCCAAAGAATGTGACATTGTTGGAAGGATTGCTGCTGACACTGTTGAGGATTACATAACAAAAGTCAAGAAAGTGGGAACAAAGGTGAAATATTGAATCATGCAATGCTTGTATATAAAACAAATAAATATTATTTTACAGGATATTATGGTGGTTAAATTGATGGCAACTAGTCCTGAAGATAAACAAAGTTACATTACATACTACAATTATCTGCTCAATCGGAACAGGTGAATCTATGCTGATGCAGTTCTATTTTCTAACATTAATTTTTTGGTTTTTTAGATTTGGTGTTGTCGGCAAAAAAGGTTCCAAAATAAAAGACTTCTACATCTTTCCCTTGCCAAGCAAGTCACCAGTGCCACAGTTTCTGCTTCCTTTTGACGGCCCTGGATTAGATGAAAACAGGCCCAATCTTCTCTTAGGGGTTGTAGTGCAAATGTATCGAAAACGCGCTGCAGACAGTGGTGCATCTGCTGGACCCAGCAAAATTTCCAAGAGCAGCTCCAAATTTGATGATCGTAGCTACACTCCACCTTTGCCAGACTCGGAAAAATCTGCAGTCAGCAGCAATTCAGTGGAGCCGTATTCGCCAACTCAGGCCAAAATTAAGAAGGTGAAAGTCACCCCGACTGAGGAAGACGAGCCGTACAGTCCAACTGGAGGGCTCAACAGTCCTGATGACATTGAAATGCCCCTTGCCAGCGAGCTTGAGGAGCTTAACAGAAAAATCGAGGAAGAAAAGTTGAGGATTGAAACAATCAGCAGTGAGCTTGTCTGCACAAAGAGCACAGGTCCTTTTGGAGAGCCTGTACAGGTATTTACTTGGTTTTGAAAAAAAAAATGGAAAATGGAGACATAATTTCCTTTTATAGGTTGCTACTTTTTTGTCGAATATAACTTCAGATCTGGTTTCTTCTCAGCCAAGTGCAATCCCTGGCCTATCCGAGACCATTGTCGAGTCATCTGGGGTCACTTTGAAAGGCTCTTTAGCAATGGACAAGGGAGACGATGATAGTGAAGCTTACAGTCCATCTCGATCTTTTACCCCTCCTCCTCAGGCGCAGTCAATTCCATTCTTCAATGATACATCAACCATCTCCCTACCTTCAAATTTACAAGTTTGCATAATCAAAATAACAATGTTTTTATAACATAACAAATCAATCCATTTTAGGAAATCCTGGCCAGTATTACTAAGAAACCATCTGTACCAGAAGCTTTATCCATGGGTCTTGCTTTAGACTGCGACCCCATTGTCCGGGAATATGCTGACGAGACTTTGGAGGAGCCGGTAACACCACCTTTGGATTCAACAACCAAAGCCCTGATGGAAATTGAGCAGTTTGAAAGTGACATGAAGAACTACGCACTATCTCAGTCATGTGCTGAACAGCCGAGAGACCCCAGACAGAAGCAGACACAGAAGACGGAAAAGCAGTCGGCCCTGAGCAAGATGAGCGAGGCTGATTTGATAGCAAAGGCCAACGAGATGTTGATGGAGCAGGAAATCGCTGCGATGCCTGCCAAACCCCCGCAAGCCATACCCTTTGTCCCACCTCCACAAACAGGGTTCCCACAAATGCATGTGCCGCCCCCAATGCCTCCGATGGTGCCCTCTGTCTTTGACATTCCTCCGCCACCTCCAGGCATAGACTTCAAGGACCAGGACATGAGGCAGCTGCAGCAGCCCCCGTCTTCCTCATCAAACGAGAGGAAAGGAATATCATTCAAAGTGACCAAAAAGCCAAACTTGCCAAGATGGGACAGGAAACGGCAAGACGACTGGGACACAGACAGCAGCGGTACTTCATATAGCAAGCGGGGACGCTTGTCGCCTCTCCCAAAGTAGGATGGGTGGTATCGTGAATTGGAGACGTTCGATTTAATCTGCATCATTTTGTCACATAATGTGGTTGTATTTTACTATAGATAGCGATTGTCCACAATTTAACTGCATTATTTGATGCCTCTCCATTCCTTTAGTTGCATTTAATTGCTTTATGCGGTTTTGTTTGAGACACATATGTAATTGTTTTTTCTTTCTGGTCTCTGATGACCAGCATTTGAATTGTCGTATGTTTGTAAATTTTTGTACCTTATTATTTTGGCACAAAATGTGTGTAACAGTCAGAAAATCTACAATTTTGTCACTGTCATTTTGGGCACTGTACGTATATGTAAAATGGAACATGAAAAACGTGCTTTTTGAGAGTATGTGCAAATATGGAAGGTAACTGAGGAATAGGCCTCTCTCAAATCTTTGCATTAATTTTTGTTAAAGGTATCAAAAACTATCTTGCTAATACCACAATAAAAAATTCATAGAAATTATGTTAGAATCAAATGAATGTTTTTCTTTTGCAGTACAAAATATTGCTCAAAATTTATCATCAAGATAGTTTACATAGTTGATCTAATTAAATTAACAAACTGTATTCAAAATTCACAACCTTTATCTATATTAATTATTTGTGTACATCAAGCCGTATCTGCATTTTAAGACATTAGCGAATCCCGCCCTCGCCAAAACAGTTTTATAGCACACCAGTAAAAAGGATGTCTCTTTACAGGTAGCTGAACACATTCGCCAATAACTCATTGTCAGCCAAACTTGGCTTCCTTTCCAATCGTTTCATTGGATATTTATTAAAGCGTTGCCAACGGCACCTCATTTTTTATGAATGGTATTTAAAAAGCGGTGGGGGTTTGGGATCAAATGGTGTATTAGCAAGTAGGCAGAAGATGCGGCAGCGGCATGACTTTGTATGCAAGTGCCAAGCAACAACAAAAAATCTTGTTTAACCTGTGCTGCAGCTAGGTTGTGGCAGCCAATCAGTGTCGGCAAAGCACCTGAGCCGGCCAATGGGAGCTAGGAATCAGCGCTATCGGTGGCGGATTGACTAACTGCACAAATTAGTTCTTCTGTAAATTCCTTTGCCCTCCTCCTCCTCTCAAACAGCAAGCAAGCAAGCCAGCGCATCCAGCGCATATTTTCGCCGCGGCTCCAGTTCACCTTGTGTTTACGCGTGAGAACGGAAGTACCTGGCGTGCCTATTGTTTTGCTGGGCCAGAAAATTTCGGCCCCTATATTGGTCGGCCGCTGATTATGCAGCAGGCGAAGGAAAGCGCCGTCTTAAGTGCACCTGTCTCCTACTGGTGAGCGTCCTTTTCGTCCCTGAGAAGAATGGACCTGAAGGAATGGACCTGAGTGCATTCCTGCCGTCTTACTCACTGCCTTAACCGTCTGTGGCACCTGATAAGTGACCTCGACCCCTTTTGTTGTCACCACCGGTGCCCAGACGCACCTGCAGCTATAAATTCCCGTCCCGCGCAGGGAAGATGTGACGAGAGATGAGAGGCAGTGGACCGAGGCTTGGGTTTTAATTGAGCTGTTCATCATGTTGCTGCCTGAAAAACAGTGAAAAAAAACGAGACGTCATGGGGTTCTGTTCGAAGACGCGATTTCTCCAAATAATCTGCGCCCTACAGATTGTAAGTTTATTAAAAGTCCGGTTGGCTATTTTGGTTAGACACTAATTTGCTTTGGCTCGTTCCAGGCGACGACAGCCTTGCGCCAGGTGTTTGACTTCCTTGGCTTCATGTGGGTTCCCATCCTGACCAACTTCTTCAACATAATTTTCTGCATCTTCGGCTATTTCGGAGCGCATGAATACCGATATCGATATGTCCTTACGGTAATTTGATACTTTTGTTCCTTTTATTATACAACACTGATTAAACATGTAATTTTTATCCACCAGTACTGTTTATGGACCGTCCTGTGGGTGGCTTGGAATTTATTTGTGATCTGTTTTTACTTTGAAGTTGGCATCTTGGATAAAGTAAGATAATCCTAAGTTTATATTTAAAAATACATAATTAATTTTTATGAAAACAGAATGGAGATGCCTTGAATATGGGCCTTGGTAGCTACAGCTGGTGGGAAGCAAACGGTCCAGGGTGCAGACCCACCTTTCCTGTGAATGTCACTGAAGATGAGTTGATAGACGGCGAGCCCCTCAAGCCGCTCAAAGTTACTGAATGTTTTGTTGCCTACGAAATTGTTGAAGCCTCTCAAGCGGGATTTCAAGCTTTCCTTGGTGTAAGTTTAACACATATTATATTATGTATTTATTCAAACCTCGGATATCTGTTAAAATAAATCAGATTTAAATTATATCTCAATTTTTTCAATCAATAAATTAACTAATGCAATACTAAAGATTAATATTAATAACTTTAAAAAATAAATTTTACATTTTTAGTTTCTTGGTGAGATCATCGCCATTTTTGCCATCAGGTCAATGCTTGACGAAGATGACAGTTGTAAGTACAAATTTAAATTAATAATCTTTACTCTCGTCACACTTTCTACTCAATCTTTCATAAAAAAATTAACGCACAAATTGGTACATCATTGCAAAAAAACAGTTGATTTCATTGGAGGATTTGATCCCCAAAGCGTTTGGTGAGTCTCGCAATTCTTCTCTGCCCTCTCATAGGTGGAATGCTCATTCTCTTTTCATTTTCTTAGTTCGTCTTTTCTCTCTGTTCCATCTTGTGTTGCAGTCGATTTTGTTGGAGACTTTTCTCCATCTGGGTATAGGAGAACCATTTCTCCAATACCCCATTTGGCTCTGCGCGCTCTGTACGTGATAAGCATTCTTGACTGCGTGTGGATTAGTAATCAGTGTTGGTTGGTTGGGGCTTTCAAGCATGCACACTTTATTGGTCCATAAAACCAGCCTGAATGTAAAAACAAAATAAAACCTTTTGCCTATAATTATACTTGGCTTATGTTATGGTGTTCAGCTTTATTTTACTCTTGAGAGTAATTTTCTTTTCTAGAACAATGAGTTTTTTTTAATTGGTAAATGCAAAATTATAATCATTTAAATATTGGAATAGTTTTCTTCTTGGCAGCAAAATACATAAATTAGATGAACATTAACAAATAAACAATTAGTAATACTAGGAATCAAGAAACACAAATTTTTCCCTTAAAATTTTGTATCGTTATCATAAAACTAATAATTTATTACATTAAAATACTTTTTGTCACTAGTGTTTAAAAAATATTACTCCGAATAAATATTCTTGCACTCATTCCTTAGATCAAGTGCGGTGGGTAATTTAAAACTTCACGGTATTTAACTCTGAGCAATTCTTTTTTTCCTCAGCGCTATTTACCTTGAACTTAATATCATATAATTTCAAAAAACAATTTAACCTCTAGAACAACATATGGATATATTCAATTGTTCTAAATTTTTGAACATGTTGTTTTCCAATTTAAAATATGGTATCATAATGGCCTGAGTTTTATTTTTATTTTATTTAATTAAACACTCAAATCTGCATGATGATTTAGAAACCTGGATACAAATATATAATCTTCTTTCAAATGAACTTAGCTAATTCATGAAAACTTTCAGCTCAACTGGTGGGTAAAAAGAGCCGTCCGTCCTCCATCTACTCCATCGAGTACAGCCAAGAAAACCCACGAAGTGCAACACCTGACCGGCTTTCTATGGGTAGGAGCAGCGGCCACCAAAACCGAGCAGCAACGATGGACGATGAGGACGAAGATGACGAGGATGGTGCCGCAGGCGGACCCCGCACCAAACCAATGACCCCTCGCAGGGTCAAGAGGCGCAGTGGATCACGAAGTTCAACTAGATCAAAGCACGGCCAACACTCGAACCCCGTGTCCCGGCTGCTGGATCAGCAGGAGCGGCGGCTGGCGGGCCACTCGAACCCCACATACCAGAGTTCCTCGCAACAGTCGCTTGACCGACCGCCGTCCAGTTTCTCCAACTATCACGGCCAGCGGTCTTTAGGCTCCGGGCCTGGTCCTGTTTCACACAATCCTCAGCCAGGCCCCTCCACATCCACTGGGTATCGAAACAGCTACCGGAGGCACCAGCACCAAGCGCCACCCCCTTACAACGGTCACACACGACCAAACTCGTACGGCCACGCAAACTCTGAAACTGTGTTGTAGCGCACGCCAGAGACCCGATTTGAATTGAACGTTGGTGAATTGGGTCTCGCTGACTGACTGACTATTGAAAGTGCGAGTGACTAGCTTAAAAGGGCTTTTGCACAAATTTTGTGTTCAGGGCTGATCTAGGCTCGAGTTTTGACTCTTTGTTTATTGTCGGTTTCTTTTCTTCCCTGAAGAAGGTTTTCCTTGACAATTAATTTTTTTGGGCTAATCTGATTAGTCGTCGACTTTTAAATTAAATCAAAACCAGTGATTTTAATTTTGATAAGTGCTAAATTCAAAACGAACCCTTGAGCCCAGAAATATAGAACCCTGCTTTGAGAAATATTTATCATGTACAGATATGTAGCGAATGCAACGCTTCTCACTGATTAATCAGTGCTCAATTTTGAATTGCATATTAACAACAGATAATATTTATTTTATTGCTTTTGATCTAAAATGAATTGCTTTCTTCTTGCAGCTTAAAAGGTGATTTATCAAATCCAAATTTCACTGCCAAATATATTATGTAAATGTGAGTGGCTTGTTTGGTTCATTTTGTTGATCGAAACAATAAGGCTGAATTTGAACTCTCTTAAAAATTGTGAAATTGTTAATAATATTTTGCATCTCTATCACATGTACTAAGCAACAAACAGCTTCCACACTTGGAATAATAATAATAATTTTCAATGTGCTACTAATTTCTTTCAAAAGCGCTGAAAGAAAAAGACATTTTTACATTAGATTCTACAAATCCGTTAATTTGTTCTTGTTTCTGCGTCAATTGTTTTTTCAGTCTTTTTTAAGCAATTGGAACAAACTGAAAAATTTAAACCAAGAATCTCAATTTGTACTTCGAATTTATAATTCTCATTTATCTACATAGCTATTAAGATCAAATTTAGTCACTGCATGTGGATCTCTACTCTCTAATAATACATATTACAAAAATTTATTGTTTTAACTGCTGCGACATAATGTACAGTGATATTATGAATTTGAAAATTTTAATGGCGTCCTAACTCAAACAATTTTGTCTGCTTTGCATGGTGGTGCTGACAAATGTGAATGTACGTCCTAGAACATTAATCCGAGTTAAGCTTGTAAATATTTTTACCTCAACTCAGGCTCAAATTATTAAGGACTAAATTCCAGATGCACCAAATTTTTATTGGAATTTGATAGTACCGATTAATTAGTAAGTGGGCCTTATACAATAATTACACAATTAGATAAAATCGAGACAAATTTTTTTTAATTTTATATACTTAAATAATAACTTATTGACAGATGTGGCAAACGAGACAAATGCAATAGTTATTCAATATACGCAATATACATCAAGAGCAGTTTTTGTTAAATCTTCAATGATAATTATGCAATTATATATACAACGAGTAGATTAAAAACCTTTACCAAAGCTCAGATCATAATAGCAAAAAAGCAATAGATTGAATAGATGTAACTAAATATCATTTTCTTGACTGTTGATTGTAGAAATTTTGAGAGCAAAAATAGTTAAAACTGGTGGTTCTTAATATGATTTTGATGATTTTTATTTTAAAGTTGATTATAAATTTAAATTATGACGAAGAAATCTTGTATTAAATAAAATGTAATGTAATTTGCAGTACTTTAAATGTCTTTCAAACAAATAAAATTTTAAGAATTCATGAATATTCTACATAGTTTTATTTTTTTTCAAAATTCTAAGGAACATAAAAAGCTGAAGATAGTTAAGCAAAGATTAGCAAAGCATTAAACCTGATTAAATATTAAATCCTAGAGGCTATTAACCCCATCTAACAATGAGTAAAAAATTTACAAATTTCTTGCTTATTAGGGCAATTCATATTACAGGTGGTTATTTAATCGTGTGTTTTCCAAGCAACCAAAAATGATGGGTTGTTTGATTTTGGATTTTTTTTAAACGTTTGTGCCCGCGACCGCCTACTCAGACCCCACTACTTGTTAGTTTGGAGCGCGGTCTGGGTTCGGTCACATGACTTATTTCTGCTTGTGTTTTCCACCGCTAGGTGGTGCATGTATGTTATTTTTAGCGCATTTTGCATTATTTTGTTTTTTGTTTACTTTTTCTTTCGGTTTCAGCCATGTGTTGTCCAAAAAACGATGAAAATAAAGCATCTTTCATACATCCTGCTCTATGAAGTGAGGTACTTATTTGGATATTTTAATTATAATTCCATTCACTTCGCTATAAAAAATTCAACAAACCAAACATTTCATAATTACATATATTAATAAATAATTTTATTTTGTTGAAACAGGAATCTCCTTAAAATGGCATGTTCATCTATTTTAACACCACCCGCTGCCGTCCGAGGAATGAAGGTCCTAGAAAAGGCTGCTTTTGCCAAGAAAATCTGCGTGCCCTGCTTCACAATAAAAACATCAACAATGGATCTGGCGAGGAAGGCCCTGAAACCCTATCTGCTGAAGCTGGAGAAATTCCAGCCAGTCCTCGACTATCCGGGAGATCCGACCCAAAAGAAGGTTCTTCTTAATCCTGAAACCGTAAATTCATTGGAGGATCTCAAAGAGAATGATAGAAACAAAATCAAGGAACTGGGACACAAATTGGAATCAACTGAGATTGAGGTTGGCTTTGACAATTGGCGCAGTGACCAAATTCTTCGGGCTGTTCTTCCTGAAGGGGAAGAAGGTTCAAAGGGGTACACAATCATTGGACACATTCTACACTTAAATTTACGCGAACACCTCATTCCCTTCAAAGGTCTTATTGCAAAGGTACTGCTGGAGAAAACCAAGAACATTCGAACAGTGGTCAACAAAGTGGACAACATAGAAAACACTTATCGAAACTTTCAGATGGAGGTGCTTGCTGGTGACAACGACCTGGTTACCTCTGTCAAGGAAAACAACTGCCAGTTCCACTTAGACTTTGGCTTAGTCTACTGGAACTCCAGATTGTCTACAGAGCACAGCAGAATCACTGATAAAATTAAAACCACGGATGTTATTTATGACATTTTTGCTGGAATAGGTCCTTTTGCTATTCCAGCAGCTTTGAAAGGTGCCAGGGTCATGGCAAACGACCTCAATCCAGAGTCCTTCAAGTGGCTGGAGCACAATGTCAAGGTCAACAAAGCCGAACGAAGAGGAGGAAGTGTCAGGTGTTTCAATAAAGACGGCAGAGAATTTATTCTGTCGGATGTCAAGGACGATCTGGAGCAAGTGTTAAAAAGTGATGCCCCAGTCTCAAAAGTTCACATTGTGATGAATCTGCCAGCAATTGCTTCAACGTTTTTAGACGCCCTCAGAGGACTTGTGAACAATTCATGTGCAGAATCAAATATCCCAGTAATAGTTCATGTTTATTGCTTTGCAAGGGACTTTGAGCCAGAAAAATTGGCTTTAGAACTTATTGAGAAGGACGCTGGATTCAAACTGGGGGGAAATCTAATTGAACTAAAAATAGTGCGGAAAGTAGCTCCTAGTAAGCATATGGTGTGCGTTTCATTTAGCTATCCTTTGAGTAAGCTCTGTGGGGAGGGTGAAGAGGAGCCTGTTAAAAAGAAACCATGCCTTGAATAAATAAAAATCATGTTTTATAAAATATGTTCCGATTTTTTTCGCATTCATTTATTTTTTCTTAATGATCCACACGCTTATTTTTTAAAATTCAGCAAACTTTAATTTTAAATTATGTAAACATAATTTTTATGTTGGCCATTCATTTCAGTATGACATTTTCAATAAAGATGGTTGTTCAACAATAATATGTATGTTAATGATTTGTTCCGTTTTTGTGAGCTTAATTTTTTCTTCCTATTGTTTTTCAGCCTAATAGATCTTTCTTATTAATGCTCTCCACGATCTAATTTTTAAAAATGCAGCAAGCTTATTAAGCTTAACTACAAAATGTAATCACTATTTTTCCCTCAAACTCAAACGTGTTTGTTAAATGTTTGATCCCCATTTTGGAGTTTTTCGGAAATTCATACAAATTTTGGATTTTTTAACATTGATTAGTGTGAAATATGGGTAGATCTGGGATAGATGGGTTATCATGAAAAAATCATCGACCCATCAGGTATCTGCAGTTTTTGCGCGTCCTGTGCAGCAAGGCCAGAAAGCAACAGAGAAGACAGAGTAAAATACATAATTTTATACAAAATCCCCCCCTTGCCATAAAAGTATTCCGGCGATTTTCAAGCATAGTAAAATATCTCTCTCCTATACACATACATCATGCGGGATATATAAAAGGAGAGCGAGTCAGAATTCAGAATAACAACACAGAACAAGCACAGACCTGAACAGAACAGACGAACACGAACAAATCTCCATTTCTCCGACATAAACCGCGTACCGACCGAACCGAACTTTTTGAATTTTCTCACAGTCCAACGGTCAAACGGTGAAACTCCAGCTTCCAGTAATATCATCCCGATTGCGGCAGTGAGATCGACTCGGTTCTCATCAAAAGCAACACACGCGAGAATCCTTGTAATTTTTTTCTTAATTATCCAAAGATAATTCGCTCGTTTAATTGATGTTAACGTGTGATAAATTCTTATCTTGTGCTTTTCAAATTTTTGAGACTTGCTAAACAAATTTCAGCACCAAAAGACTAACTGCCCCAGAGAGACGCGGCGCTGAGCGTGTTCCGGAACACAAATTTTACTTTCAGGCCTGAAAGTAAAATTGCTCCATTGTTCAATGAGTTCAATCTAGCTGAGGTGGTGGTTCGTTTTTGACACACAGAGAAGATATCTTTAAGTAAGTTTTATTGCACAATATTTGTTTTTACTAAATAATTAGCAAATTAATAAATTATCATTATCCCACAGGATCGAAACATGAAAGACTGCAAACTCTGTTTCATAGTTTACCCTGGAACCGACTTGGCACCGGCCTTGCAGGAACAGTTTTCATGGAATCGTTGATGGAGGCAAGGCTTTGATCCACCCAAAAAGGGCTGACTGGGCGAAAAGGGGGGCAAGGAAAAATTGCTTACCCCTGACGGAGAAACAACCAATATCTTCAAAATGGTGAAGGTCAGCGTGGATGAAATAGATGGAGGAACAACCAGGAAGATCACTCATATTGGACTCCAGGGATACTACGAAGGAGCATCTGGAACCCAATCAGATATGTTCATTCCCAACTGGTATTTTACCAACCTCAACCTTCAGAAAGGTGACCAAGTTCAGCTCTCCGTAATCACGAAGCCCTTGCCACAGGCCACTCTTCTTGCATTCAACTCACAAGTTGAAGTTGAAGAGCGAGCTCGCCAGAAAGGCCATTAAGAATTTCCTGAGGAAAATCGTAGTGGTCAGCCAGGAAGATTCAATGGTCCTTGATGTCGGAGGGGTCCAATTTGAAGTGGTCGAAACTCGTCCTAAGAAATTCGTCAGGATTGGCAACTTTGCCGATGAGCCTCCGTTCGAGCTAATAGTAATTCACGTTGACGGAGGAGGTATTCAGCTGATAGAGCAAGGTGATCCCTGAGGACGAGGACAACAATGAGTCTGATGAGGTAGAAATCGAGGAGGAGGAGCAGGCAGATGACCAGCTGGTCGTCAATGAGGAGACAGATGATGACTTCGTTGCGAATGAGGAGGAAGATGTGGTTGAGGAAGAGGAACAGGCAGATGATGACTTCGTTACGAATGAGATTAAGGAAGATGTGGTCGAGGAGGAGGAACAGGCAAATGATGACTTCGTTGCGAATGAGGAGGATGTTTTTGCCAGGGTGGAGGATTCTGACGCTGATTCTGACGTGGATGAAGTTTTGCAGAAGCCAAAGGAAGTGGAAAAGGGAAACCAAGAAACGAGCCTGAAGAAGAAACGAGGAGATGAAGAGGTCCAGGAACCAGACCTTGAAATGGTTCGTGAGAAGAGGTTGACGAAGTTCATGAACTAACATTGCCAAACAGAATTTTTCGGAATTTTTGTCATTAACTACCCCATTCGCAATAACATATTTTATTTATTAAATATCGTCATGCAGTTCTTATTTTATAACTAATCAAAAGAAAAAACGGATCACAACTTAAAAAAATTTTGACAAATAATATACAAAATGACCATAATATAAAGAACCAAAATAATTGTAAATTTGAAATGAGAATTAATAAACGTTCATTTGATTTTTCTTTCTGCTAATTTCTTTATTTAAGCTTCAAATAAATTTATGTTCAATGCAGACAGTGTGAGAGCAAGTTGACTGCGACTTTTCTCAAATCAAGGTGAAAATGATGCAATAACCCACAAAAGAGAGAGAATTAAATCCTTTGCGCATAGCATGCAAAGCTATAGCAATAGAATGGTAGAAACAGATCAACTAGAAGTTGTATCAAGTAATATAATAGTATGTACTCTCTACAAATAATCAGTCTCGAGTCACTTTTTGTTGATCACTCACTGTCTCTTCGACCACAACTTCTGCCACTTCTAAGTTCACAGCAACAAAACTTTTGCTTTCCTCAGGTGTGAGTCCTAGGATGACTGGTCTTCTTGACAATGGTTCAAGCGCATTGATCGGGAGGTTTTGTTCCGTCAGAATTTCATGTTCTAACTTAGTCACTCTTTCGTCGTATGCCATCTGACACATATTCATCAGCGTCGTCGAATTGATTGGGAAGTTGTTGATCTCATTATTGTAGCACTTTGATCCATCCCTTTCTATGCGCTGCAGGGCTTCTACGAAAAAAAGGAAAATTATAATCTTTAACTTCTAAATACAAAGAGGAAGAAATTACTTATTATAGACCAGACACTAGGTTGTTTGTCAACTGAAAAGGCAGAAGATATCTTTTTGTGAAACTGGTTAACAAGTAGGTTGCTTCGGTTATGGTTCTCATGGATTGTCAACTTATGCTCCCCATAAACGTCTAACCAGTAGTCCTGGATGTATCGAATCAGAAGGACAAAAACAGGAGAACTTATCATGTCTTCCGGCAAACACTTTTCAAATTCAATAAGGACAGGCAACATGTGGTCAGCAGGTAGGAAAGGCAGGCAGATCAGTTGCTGGATGCAGCAAACAACGTGCTCCTGCTCTGGAAGTCCTAGTAAGCCAATTTCCCTGGCTTGATTCCAAACATCCTAATAATTTAATTTCATGAACTTATGCTTTGAAGAATTGAATTAAGTACTGACCTTGACAAAATACAGGTACGAGTGCTCAATAAAAGATCCAGGGAACCTCTCACTTAAGACTGACGTAATGTTCCACTTCAGATCAACATAAATTGTGTCTGGTGCTGCGTTTTGGATCACTTCCTGCTGCAGGTACATCAGAATGCCTTGGATCATTGAGGAAGATCGACTCGACGTGAATGCATAAATTGAGGGGTAGAACTATAATTTCTAGTTGAATTCTTGGCTGAGATTTATAAGAAATTAAATAATACCATTTTCTTTTTGACAAAGTGGATGCTGAACATGTATTTCATATCCGAGGGGACTTCAGGAAAGTCCTGTTTTTCAGGGAAAATATTATTTAATTTAATAATAATTATTTATTAATAGTTACGTTAAAACTGCAATCAATGTGCATTTCATCTACTGGGCCATTAAACCTCTCGCAGAGGAAAAGAGATGCAAAGATTACTGCAACTTCATTGTCCCGAGCCTTTATGCAACCAATGAAAAGTTCTCTTGGGAACTCCTCCATGTTGCACCCGTAGCGGAACCTATACTTGTCACTCACAAGTAATTTGCTCAGACTCAAAAGACTTTCTGGCATGTGTGGTTCAGTCTGGGTTCTCTTTTTTGTCAAGGTTTTCACCACAAAACCTTCACTCTTTCTTGTGATCACGTCCGGATTCCTAACAAATTTATTATTTTCAGTAAATATAAATACAATGTAAATAAGCAACTTTGTTATACTTTTCAGCCTCTTCGGCAAAGATTTGCTCTACAGGAATGGCCTCACTGATGGCCCGTTCCTCCATCTTTTTCAAGCACGCTTTCAATTTCTGCGACTCTTCTGAAGCATCGTGGTTGTGGGGGACGACTACAGAAATTTCTTCATTATCGTCTTCAACAGCTTGACCTTTGCATCTGTTCATTTGGCACTTCAAGATTGTTTCACCATTTTTTGGTTTCAATCTACGATAGAGGAACCCGTCATGAACGACAACCTTCATTTTTAAAGCATTTTCTCTGGAAAGTTTCACTTCCCTTCAAGCAAAAAATTAATTAATTTTAAATGCATGAAAATCACTTTGGACCTACTCTTGTCCAACAGGATGAGTGTGCTCTTTGACCATTTTGACGATTTGCAGGAACTGACCATCTGGAGTCATTCGCAGGAGAAAAAATGCAGGGCACCCCATTTTCAAAGAACTGCAAAATTAGAATTTCAAATATTAGAAACAGCAAATTTTTCATAATAAATTTTACGGTTTGTTTCTAATCTTCTGCTTATTAACAGGCTTCCGCCTATAATTCCGTCCTCGAATGCAACTGGCTGTAAGCGAGTAGTATTTTAGCTCAGGATTTGCATGTGCCACTCTTGCACTGTTTCTGCCCGGTTGTTTGAACCAGGTAAGAAGTTTGGTGTCGTACAGGGAAAACTTGGTGCGCGTCACCCGCTCATGCTCTTTGATTCTGGCCTTGTAGTGCTCAAAGCTGCAGAATTTTTCGCCGATTTTCATCATCAAATGTGTCAAATCGCTTTGAGGCTCCTCTTGATTTGTGGACTTGTTCAAGTGGTAAGCGCTGGTGGACGCCTCGTCTTCCATCGCCTCAGAGGGCTCAGAGTCAGACATTACGATGTATCTTCTGCGCTCGTATAATTATTTGTATCAAAGATATAATGAAACTTCGAGTAGATAAAAAGTACCTTTGTCAATCAGAGCTAGAAGATGCAAGTACATTAATAAATACAGCGAAAACTTGAAAATTGTCTCGAAAATATTTATGCAAGAACTTCTTGTGTGTAATGTGTATATATGCAAAGCATGCAAAGCAAAAGCAAAACCAAGAGCAAAACCAACAGCAAAACATTAGTGTCACGTGACACTCAGCCAATCAAATCACAAGAAAGTCTCATCGAGCGCCAAACTTAAACTTTCGGGCGCGAAAGCTGCATGCATGCTTACCATTGTAAGTAAATCAAAATAAATCGTCTCCAGTGGCTAAGTGGAGTACGCTTCCCTCCATCCTGGAGATTGTGGGTTCGATTCCCACTCCAGGTGGATTTTTCTCGGGGGAACCTGAGTGATTTCTCATGCTGGGACTGCGAGTGAAGGGTTGAAAGTCGGCCGGGGGTTGAGAAGGGTGTTTGCTTGCACCCCAGTTGTAAGCAAAAGCGTTTAATACAAAATCCTTTTTGCCTTTTTCATTGTAAATCAATATAATAATCGATAATAGTTTAGGCTGTAGACATTATGATTCAGATAATAGTAAGAATATTTCTATTTTTATTTCTTGAAGATTATATATTTTACTGTTTATTTGGGAAAAATGAACAGTAATTCATTGGGTTCATTGTTCAAAAATATTATTTGTTGTAGAATGGTGTAGATTGAAAAGAACCAAAATAGTGCCTAATAATTATTTTGAATATTTCTAAAATAAAATAGCGTAAAATAGCTCAAAAATAATTTAAATTGTCTATCAATTTATGCCGCAATGGTACTTCAGTAAAAATATACTGAAGTTTTATTTGAAATATTTAAGATAAGCTTGATACAGACGATTTAAATTTAAAAATTAAATAAATGCAGTGAAACAAAAATATATTTAATTTTAAAATTCAAAACTGAAGTCAAAGTGAAATTTATAAGCAAGAAAATATACACTTTTTTTAACGAATTATATTTCTGTAATTTTTTACACTTTGACATTGTTTATCGCGGTTTATGGTTGCATGTTTGTTTGCATTCTCCACTTAGCGTCAGCTTTGCGTGTTGCATATTTATAAAAAAAAAACTGAATTCGTGACTTAATTAAACCATAACACTGTTTGGGCGTGCGAATAAAAATAAAAAAGCCGCGCCCTTCTCTCCGCTTATTCCCATAAAAATCAAATGCTTTTCTGCCTCATCCTGAGATTGCGAGCACAATGCCTCCTCTGTTTGTCTGTTTTCTCTTGCAAAGATCTAGGTGGCCTTTGTGTGTATTGCTTATGTGACACTTCCAGCGAGGGACGCAAATAAGTATATTTTCACATCCGCTGAATTCCGCGTCACATTTGTTTAAATATATATAGAGATTTTCTTAAAATACAAAAACCTGCAAGGCTTAAAGCTTAAATCTCCTAAATGATGGAAGATCAGTTCCTCTGTAGTGGTAATCTATTCCTGAATATACATAGATATGACTATGACACATTTTCTGATAGTGAGAAAGTTGACGCAACAGCAAAACAATAAATATTTGCTCACAAACAGAATAGAGAATATGATTAGCCTCAGTGGCTGCCAACAATAAAATTAAAGTATATTGTGATTTAATGGCGGTGATATCAAGATAAATAATGCAATTAACTCCATATCGCTAACAAAATTATTGCAACAAAAACTAAATTATTCATAAAATGCACGGAAAACTTTTATAAAAGTTTTAAATTTTAAATTTTCAGATATGCATTTAGACATTTCCATACCAATTATGCAAAATGCTGCGGTCAAGCACGCGCGTCTCTGCTTTCTATTCGTGGAACTACTCGCCTATTATTTTAACCGCATTCACATATTGTAATTAAATTTTAGCAGTAGTCAAAAGGCACGCAATAAAACTCCCCAGAGAGGCGACCTAATACCAACAATAAAAGAATAAAACCGCGGTCGACGTTGAAAACTGGAAGCAGTCACACGCAGTTCAGTGAGCGCCAAATCAGAAATCAATGATATTAATGTCAAAAGTGAGGAATGCGGCTCATCTCGAGAGAAGGATCAAACAACAAACATCACTTTCCAGAACGAGCGCACCAAAGTTAAATAATCACCCAATAATAACGAACATGATGGATTCGCCTCTTCCTGAAAGTGATGCACTAAACTCTAAACTTTCTGAGCTCGATTTAGCCACTCGAGAGCTTATGTTCAAATTTCCTCGCATTTGTCACATGAGATCTCGAGTCTGCCTTTTTTCTATTTTTTTTTTCACGCTGGTGTCTCTCTTGGGACGCGGCCGCGGTCTGGGAATAAATAACACTTTCACCCGCGGCAGGGGCGCGAGGCCGGCCGCTGTGCGTTTAGAGCACCGCGCCGATATTACAAACACACTATACTTGATACGAAGCAGCTATATAATGCGAGAGGAGTGGGGTGTCGGTGGTTTCGAAGGCGCGAGATGAGACCGCGATCCTCGGCTTGCACTCGCTGATTCAGTTGGACAAAAACTTCCCATGCAGCGAGATGTGACTCACTGAAGAGTATAACAGATCCTCAAAATGCTTGGACCGGTGAATACATTATTCATTCTGTTCACCACTTTCCTCATCAGGTACGTAAAAACCGAATTGTAATAAAATATCAATATCCATTGTTTTAAATTGATTAATGAAAGTAATGCAAAAATTTTAAATTATATTCATTACTCTTTACATAGATTTTTACTTTACCACACGTTTCAGTATCTTAAAATTATTTAATTGTATTTTTTTTAGTTCTTGAAATTTGAAATTTATTATTTCATTTTTAAATATTTATGACTCACATCTGCAACAAATGCACGGTGTCTGCAAGCCGTTTATGATACCACTGGAGCAGAATGTCTGTAGATAAATGCTTTAAAAGGCATTCAAAAACTTTCGCAAATTGTTTTTTAGTGCTATATGCTATAATTAATAGCCATAACAAGAAGTTTTGCTTATGGACAAGTAAGTGTTCTTCTAGGGAATATGACATAATGAAGATAAAACTTTGCTTGCTCAACATTGCAATTTGCGAGTCATGCATGAAAAACACTCTTGAAGCCGCAAATTATAATAAATAATTGAAATGTGCCACGAACCCATGAAGAACTAAATTTAATCAAAATTTTATAATTACAATTATTAAAAACGGAATAAAATAAAAAAGCTTTTTAAGAAAACAAGAAGCAACCTATTTTTGTTTTTTAGTGGAAAAAATTAAAAAAAAAAAATATATATATATATCCTTTTTTTAAGAACTAAACTTTTGAATTTCTAATTATGTGTTTAGCTTATCAATCAGCGCTGAAGAAAATGTGAAACCCTGCTTGGTTCAGGACTCGGTCCTTATCCAAAAGTTCCACATATTCCCAAACAAGACTCTTTTGGACACAGAGCGTAAATTGACTTACGCGCCTCACCAATACTTTCGCGAGGGCAACTCTATCCGCGGGTGCGTTTGCCTCGTGAAAAAATGCATCCGGAAATGCTGTGCTGAGGACCATCACATTAAAAACGGCTCGACTGAGTGTGTGCCAAGGGACGGCGGCTTTGGCGAATTCCGCACCTCTGTTTTCCGCAACCTCCTGCCACCGAAATCGGCCAACGACGAATTTTACTTTCTGACAGGTCTCCAAAATTGTCCTCAAAGTCGTTTCAGGCTCTACCCTGACGAATCGCCAGATGACAAATTCACCCTTTTAGCAAACGGTGACTTGAAGTTTCTCGCTGAGGAGGAGCCCATCGACGTCTCCATGTACTGCGTAGAACATTTTGGAGGTTGGTGATAAAAATTTATTTTTCTACCGCATGTAGCATTAATTTTCTTAAGATACTTACATGATTCTTAATTTAACGTGAGAACGGAGGTAGTCGGATTGTTTGTGAAAAACACACGGCGCAGTTAATTATTTGAGTCTGGAGGTCAGGGAAATCCAAGTGAGTTGCGGTTGTGTTTTTATATTGTTGCATTTTATGCCGACTGATGCAGCTGGGAAAAATTAATTACGTCCTCTCTATAGTCTATGCCTAACTCTAATGATCTTTGATCTTGTGGTGACGATGCATTTCTAACTGGCTATTTATTATTTTATGATTTTTCATGGAAGATTGCTATGACAAGTACGTTTCCTCTTCGTTTTTATCAATTCGTCATTTCACCTTCTGTTTGAGCTACTCATTTTCAATGATAACTCGTAGAGGTACCCCATATCTTAGCAAAATAGCAATAAAGAAATTTAGCCAATGATATAGCTTTTGGAGCTTATATTGCAGAGATAACATTGCATAATCTTTTTTTAATAATAAATGCTCAAATTTAAAAAAAAAGTTCATTTAGAGTAATATTAAGTCTTCACAACGTGCTTAAATCGTGCAAGAAGACTTTCAGATATGAATATTGAAAACTCTTGAGTAGCTCTTTAAGAAGAAAGATAATTAATGCAGATTAGCCCTCTTCGTAACGGTACACTACTAACAATAAGAGGAGAAAAAGAAGTATTTAGGAGTTGCCAGTTCACAATGTTTAGATGTTTTCCCCTATATCTGTCCAAGTAAATTTGAGAAATTCTAAACACGCACATCATATCAAATATCTGGATATTTAAGCTTGTAGTTTTGTGTTTTATATAATCCAACGGATTATTTTAATTTATTTTTTGTAATTATTAATTATCTTTCGTGCAGCAACCAAAAAAATTTAATCGTGGTTGTTCTAATTTGTGGAAAAATACTTTGATATCCATCCAAACAAGTTTTGTGTGTGCTCTGATGTAAATTTGAGGGACAGGCAAGGTTGACAGAGAGAAAATATTTATGCTTCTAAAGGTTATAGAAAGAGCGCTTTTGGCTGATAAACAAAGTGAGATCTCGCTTTCCACGTCCTAAAAATGATCATTTCTTGAAGATTTATTATTATGAAACTCCTTCAAAATCAATTAAGTTTTGAAAAAATTTGTGGAAAAATATTAATTAAAAATCAATTCAATATAGGCAATAGAGTGTTTGATAGATATAATTATGTTAGTAAAATTTTCTACTTTTTTATTATATACATCATCTTTTTTGCTCTATAATTTTTATTTCGCAGATGTTGATTACGTCTCTGCAATTCTCTGCTTCCCTGAGGAACCTTCAAACCAAGTCGAAGGCGCCCTCATCAACGTCTACGCTGTGGGGATGCTGCTGTCGACGGTGTTCATAGCCATCACCCTTTTGGTGTATGTTCTTCTGCCGCAGCTCCGCAACCTGCACGGCAAGTGTCTAATGTGTCACGTCGGCTGCCTGCTGGCCGCTTACCTTTCGCTCTCCATCGTCCAACTTGGCACCGAGACCATTCCCGGCTGGCTCTGCACTTTCATACGTAAGAATCTGTCAAAGTTTATGGTGCCATTAATTTGTGTGTCACACTCACTATACTTGGGCCACAACGTGCCGACGAAATCGTTTTTTATGCGCGCTCAGGACTTTGTGCCGCGCGGTGGTGGGCTATAATTGCATAACATCCGTTTTACATTTTCGTATATTGCGCAGCATGTGTCAGGGTAGTTTAAAATTTGTCTTTGATATTCTGCCAAATTAGCGATTTACTGTGGTAAAGTGACGCCGGATTTATTTGTTTTGTAGCCATACAGCGATTAAAAAAATTTAAGGCGTGAAGAAAAACAAAAATTTTGTTTTAAGCTTTCTAAAATAACTTTTTTAACATATTTTTGAAACCCTAAACCATACAATGTATGTAAAATGTTAGCTGAAATGTGTTTTTTTTATTACTCTATAAAAATGATTTCATATAAATTTAGTTGCACAAGAGACACAAGCGTCGCAATATAGTGAGAGTGAAACAAAGAGTCGTTTCGTGTTCTCTCTAAAGGTGAATGTACAAGCAAATTATCCTATTACCGGGCCGGACGAAAGCCAATCAGGATAAGTCAAATATTGATTAGAGATGATTGGAGAGCCCATCTCTCCTGTAATGAGTGTAATATAGCTCAGCCAATTTCTCTTGGCACTTTCCCAGCACGTTGTTATTGTTAATTTAACAAAATGTTTATCGCGCAGCAGGACGCTTGATTAGTCCCATGCGGCGTGGTCCTGTTGCAAAAAACCCATCGACTTCTATAGTCTCTGCGCCGTCGTATAATGAAAGGCGGCAGCTGTCACTCTACAAAATAACAAACTACGCGAGGACACATTCGCTCCGTGTATCTTTTTTCGCTGGTCGTCGCGCCGCGGCACCAGCAGGATGTGCTGACTAATCGTACGACCTTTGCGAATAAATTGCAGGTGTCGATAGAGTAGTAGTTTTTAATTGTCAAACAAACCCAAAATACGCGACGTGGGATATATTAAAATTTCCAAAAAAAGGTCGAGTTTTTGGCAGTCTATAGTCCATTATATTGTGTGTTAAAAATTATTTGACAAAAAATTCAAAAGAACAATTTAAAATCTATTTCTTAATTGTTATTAATAAAACTTATTTAATATTTAAAATTATTTATTCATAAGGAATAATTTTTGATTAATCATTATGGAACTGTTAAGAAATGTGTATTTTTTTGAAAAAATCTATTTCCAACGTGTCTTTTTTCAGCGTTCGTGATCCAGTTTACTTTTTCCGCCGCCTTCTTCTGGCTGAACATCATGTGCTTCGACATCTGCTGGATGTTCAAGTGAGAAAACAAACAAATCACTTTACAATAAATCATAATGCTAAATGGGAAATAAAAAAGCGGCGCGCCTTTTTACGCGCATCGCTAGCCTGCCAGCGGCCAAAGGGAAACAAATTATAAAATAGACATGCGGGCTGCCGATTATGATTGTTTATCTAACTAAAAAACTTCCTTCTAACCCGTAACATATGATGGGATTTATCAATTATTATAAAATAACGTCAAATGGAAAACTGCACGCCTCTTTCAGACGTCAGCAATATTTCAAATAAAATTTCAATTAAAATAGTTGAAATTATTAAATATAAAATAATAGCTCTCCTCAATATGCTTCATTTGAAGGCAAAAAGAATATTATAAACTGGATAGCAAATATTTAAAAATAAATTATGGATATCATTAATTAAATATTTGAAGTTTCATCTCCCATTGTTTAACATGGCATTGAGATTTAATTAAAAATTCGTGTTTAAAATCAAGAAGCTCAATATGCTGATTCTTTGTTCAGGCTTATTACATTGTTAGAAGATCTATTCAAAATCTACCTGCGTGCATTTCACTCTTCACTTTAATTTGCAGCCGAGTGCACACCATCAGCGGCTCAAGTGCCGAGCGAGAGCGCAAAAAGCTTTGTATTTACTCAACCTACGCATGGGGCTGCCCTCTGCTCCTTCTCACCGTTTGCATCATAGCAGATCTGACGCCTGGATTGCCAAATTTTATACCCAGGCCTCGCTTCGGAGAGCATTCGTGCTGGTACAGTCCGATCGGAGGTGCGGTCAATGCAGAATTTGTTTTATAATTTCTGAATAATTAAATAAAAACTTAAATTAAATTGTAGACAAATCGCCGGTCTTGGTCTACTTCTTTGGGCCGATCAGCATTTTGCTGATCATGAATCTCATTCTCTTCATAAGGACAGCCATGCGAATCGTGTCACTGAGGAAAGGTACCGGCATGCTGAACAGGAATGACAGCCAAAGTAGCAGTGACAAGCAGCAAAAGTAAGTGCGCGGCAAATTTATATATAAAAATTCAAGTTTGAGAATATCTAATTTTAGTTGATCAACCAGAATTAAACTTAAATTTTCCTCCCGTCAAGCCGAGCAAAGTATACAATTAATAGTTGTAGCAGCTGCTTGAAGGGTATAATATGCACACAAAAAATACTTGCGATATTATTAGAACACTCATGACAGGGAGCAGGAAATCTACATTTTACATTAAAACCAATTACACACAGACTATAACCAATGAGTGATCCAATTTTTCATTTCTGCAACAATTTTTTTTTTTTGTTATTTTTTTTAAATCTGCATTTTACGATCTGTAATTTTTCTAAATTTTCAGGTTTGTTCTGTATTTGAAACTGTTCATTGTGATGGGACTTTCATGGATAATGGAGGTCATCTCGTTCCTAGTCAAAGGACCAACCTACATGTGGCTGCTTACAGACGTGTGCAACACTTTGCAAGGACTGGCAATTTTCCTCATCTTTGTCTGGAAACCCAAGGTTCGGCGCCTGCTGCGCGAACGACTTTGCCCTGGCCGTGGAATGGAGCAGCAGAACACTTTGGTAAGCGCTGGCGGCGCTAACCACTTGCGGAAAATAAGTTCCAACACCAAAGTGGAGGAGCTGAGCCAGAATTAACATAATATGCATGTGTGTGCCCTACGTGTGTATTTATCTATCCGCACAGAGTATGCGAGCAATGTGTAAACAGAAGTCGTTTTGCCGCGCCTTTAAGTATTAATTTTGAAAGCGTCAATAAACGCTTTGAGAGCCAATTTGTTTGGAACATTATAAGCTGTGTGAAGGTCAGAAATCTTTTGAACTAATTTTAGACATTTGTCTAGCTTGATCGATGTTTCACACACTCAATGGATGTCTTGTGAATTAGTTGGTGTATTCAGATTTACATCTCATACTGCATAAAGCGTTGAAATGAAATGCCAGAAATAAATTGAATTTTTTAGTGGAATGGCTTACAAAGTACCTTTCCATTACTGCTTATACTATAATTGTTTAAGTTATTCAAACCTTGGTTATTTATTTTTAACATGTTTGTTTCATTTTAAATTTAAATATTTTCATTAAAAATTTCCTATAATAATGAAAATTTTATATTAAATTTCAGTAAATCCAGACAAAAAGTGAAGATATGGAGGTTATCATTTACACACTGTTCTATTGTTCACTTTGACAGTTGAAAATATATGATTAAAAAGGATTACAATCAAAGCTGACCTTGATAAATAATTGATTTTTTTTATGATTTGGTTCCTTTTTATAATGCTTTACTCAATTGTTTACCAAACGCTTGACTGAGCCAAGATAATTATGGTTGTCTGCAGTTGTGTGGTTGGGAAAATACCAAATATTAATAATTTACTGTTAATCGACCAGCTTCAACATAGTGGGTATTTACAATATCTTATCTGATTTTAAATTTTGATCATATGCGTCAATTTGATAAGATCATTGCTTCAAATGAGGAAATCTTTAAAGACATACAAAATTAATTAAAATGAAAGATCAGATAATGGTACCATTTTAAGATTAAAAAAAATTAGTATAAGAATATAAAATTCAAAAGATGAACTAATATAACATCAGCTACGCATAAAAAGGCCATCCACAATAATGAAAACTATTTTTTGTCCACGCAGTCCACCGACTTATGAAATTTTCAATAAAAAAGATTTAAAATCCACCACAGAGAATATATTGTTATCAAATTACAACATATCTCTCGTAATAAAACAATAATATGTGTACTACATACTAATCATAGAACTCATCATCTTCATCTTCAGAATCTTCAGCAGCCAGCTCACAGAGCTCAACAATGTCTTTCTCGCTTCTCAGATACTTGTCCAAGAAGTTGAATTTGTTTTTGCAATCAGCAGGATTCATGTCCTCAAACTTGTTGAATCGTGGGTCCCAAAAGAGAGGCAATTTCTTTTTGTCCAAGTAGTACATAAGTCCCCTTGCCATCTAAAATAATGATCAAAGATTAAAAAAAAAAAATTGGACTAATTATACTTTTTCAAAGGCAAAATCCAACTTGTCATCCGGTGTCAAGTAACCGTAATCAAGGAGCCAGAGGGCCACGGTTTTCAGAGAATAGCTGTCAGGGGTTCTCCAGTCCATTATATCTCGAATCCTCTATATTTTTTTCAATTCTTCATAAAGTTTTTGGTAATTGACTGAATTTAACCTTCATGATTTTAATGGCAGGCTTGACCCAGCCTAAGTCGTAAAGGATTTCCCTTTCGTGCTCACTAAACGACAGCCTCCATGCAATTTCCAATCCATGCTGCTTCAGTGGTTTTGGGACAATAAACCAACGCTGCGGTGAACGATCAATATAAAATTTGCGATCAGATTTAATTTAGCACACTGATACCATATTTTTTCGGGGATGACAATACATAGATGGATCTTTAAATGGTGGTGGAGGACAATCTCTGGCGGGGAAGTCAAATGCTGGGACCAAGTCTACAGAAATATCTTCACTTTGGTGCCAAAGAGTCAATGCTGGACCATTTTTTGTGATTGAAATTTGCTAAATAGGAAAGAAGGAAAAGTTAAATAAATTTCCTGATAGAAATTTAATTTTTCTTACATCCTCCTCATAGAGTTCACTGTTGTACTCCGCCACGCTCTTAGCAACCAGACTCTCCATGTATTGGAGGATCTTGTTTGTTAAAAGATAACCTTGAGCATCAACCCATTTAAAAGTTGGTCTACAGAAAATAAGAGATTTTAAAATCTACAGTGAAGATGTGTGTTAAATTATTAAAAAAAAGTACCTTATGTTTTCTGAACAGCTCTTTTCAATCTTCTTTAAATACTTTGGATCCCATTTAATGGACATGTGTCCAGGCGCCTTTGGTACTTGGCAAACCTGCCACATTTTACAAATGAAAAATTGAAATTTGTAATCAAATTATTAAATATACCTCATAAGGGGTGTGAGCACCAAATGGCAATTTCATAACAATGTTCAAGTCGAATTCGTCTGCGTCAGTTATTTTCAAGCCTTCGTAGAAACTGCCCACAAAAGCAAGGTCCCGATAATGTTTTTTGAAAATCTCGCATTTTTCTTTCATGATCTTGATTAGATTGTTTTTTATCTAAATTTGTTGAACACACATGTTTAAAATACGCAATTTTCATTGTGAAAAATTTTACCAAGTCATGGATGATGGTTTTGCTATCTTGCTTGCAGTCGTCGTCAATGCGAATTGTCTGCAGCACTTGCTGGAGAGCAGGAATTGTATTTATTTTCCCTCGGCTGACAGCCAAAGTTTCCTCCAGAGGAAAAGGATGTTTTACTGGATTCCTTCCGTTGATTCGCAAAGCAGAAAACGGGTGCGCATTAGCAGGCTGTGCTACAATTTGTTTGGGCACCTTTTTGCGCCTGCCGTTTTTCCTATTAGTGGCCGGATTCTGAGATTAAAATAAAAAGGTGTTAGTTGCTGTTATAAGAGGACAAAATTAATTAATATTTTACCATTGCATAAATTTACTTTTTTATGGCTTTAAAATATATAATCAAAAGATAATTAACTTCTAAAATCGTTATAATAAATAATTAAAAGATCGAATAAGTAAATTCAGATTTTTTTTCAATCTACTGTATAAATTAATAAACATGTGTTATGCGTTATTATTATACTGTTAATATACTTGAATTTGACTAAATTTTTTGAAGAATCATATTAAATAATTTCAATTTATAACATACTATTTTAATTAAAACGTACCACCATGATGATTGCTTCTAATATAGCAGTCGCAAGATGTTCAAAAAAATAAATCAGCTCAGCAGCGTCCAAGCAGACCAATGAATGAATTAGACTGTTTACTCCAGCATTCATGCATAATTCATGAAATTCATCGTCAAAATATATAAATGGACTGTTATCATATGTTATCAAATATAGCACTGCTGCAATATCATACAATTGGAAAAATAATTTAACAATAATTTCGGAGATAAATTATGTATAACTGTAAAGAAAAATCGGAAAAATCACCTAACTCTAACTCACCAAAGAGTTTGAACAACAGTTTGAACTCAGACGGTTTTTCCTTCTGTTTCTCGTTGGCATCTCCTTCTCATCTGCCCTAGTCCAGTCCGCCGCTCTTCTTGGTGCTCAGCTCATAGTGACTTACAATTAGTCTCTATAGTAAAAATTAGTGGGTCGAAACCAAGTCGAAACTGTTAGATGCTGGTGATTCCCCTAAAACAGACACATTTGTCCCCCCCCCCCCCTCAACAATCTAAATACATAACTATGAATAAACCTGCTTTCCTGTCTACTATTTTGACAAGAGACATAAGAGTGGACAATGTGGTCACAGTCAGTCTCGCTCTACAGTTTAAGTAAAGTAAAAACGGTAAAAACACAAAAAATTCGCAAAAACAAAATTATTGCTAATTTTCAAAAGGGGTGTAAGAAAGAGAACATAATTATGTTATCAAATACAATCAACCCCATGAAAATCACATCCGATATTTAAAAAAGCATGAATACTTAATGAAAATTATTCTATTTCGTTGAAATAAAATATTTTTGTTTTAAAAATTTACTTCAAGTTTAAGTCCGTAAAACGTAAAAAACGACTCGTTCTACATAACTCTTTTCTGTACTCCCCACTTGGCCCCGAGCAGCTGTCAGCTGAGCGATCTCAACCAGCCCGTCATATCTCTCATTGGAGAATCGTTGATCACTAAGAGCTTCTCGCTCCTCCGTAGGTGGCACTGTCGGCGGAATTTGAGAATACGACTCTACGGTGCTGCCCCCAAGCGTTGCATGGCTTAATGCATGGCGATCGGCATTTCGTTTTGTGCGAATGCAATGTTTTTTAAGAACGCGTTGGTATTAATTATTCAAAATTTCAGTGTTGATAGATAATTAAACTATGTATTTTTTGATATGCTAGTTTTAAATTAATTTTGACTAGGAGTGGAGTTATTAACGTTTCCGCGAGAATTTTGTTTTTTTAATTTTAAAAATAGAGAACAATTTTAAATAATATAAATATTTACAGAAACATGTTGCCAATTAAATTTTCTACAATTTCATTCATAACCTCAATGACGTCAGAATTTTTTTTACTGAAGTAAAAAAGGTTCAAAAATAAAATATAATTTTTTTATATAGAAATAAAATTTTTATAATTTTTTCAAGATAACCAATCGATTTGAAATTTAATTTTAATCTTAAGTCTAAATTTTCATTTAAAAATATTCAGCCGTTTTAAAATTAGAAAATAATATTTGATGGCATCTCAAACTGCTGACGAAGACGAGTGGCGGCGTCAGAGCGCTTTCGAAGAAGCAAGTTGCAGCTTAAAAACGGTTGAATATTTTCCTATGAGAATTTAGGTTTAAAATCAAAATTAAATTTCCAATCGATTGGCTATCTTGAAAACATTCTAAAAATTTTATTTCTATGTAAAAAAATTATATTTTATTTTTGAACCTTTTTTACGTAAGTAAAAAAAATTTTGACGTCATTAAGCTTATGAAAGGAATTGTAGAAAATTTAATTGGCAACATTTTTCTGTTAATATTTATATTATTTGAAATTTTTCTCTATTTTTAAAATTAATAAATCAAAATTCTCGCGGAAACGTTAATAACTCCGCTCCTATTCAAAATTAATTTAAAACTAGAATATCAAAAAATACATAGTTTAATTTTCTATCAACGCTGAAATTTTGAATACTTTGAATTAACGCGTTCTATAACAAATTATTCTAAAACAAATTGCCCGTCAGATCTCTCCTGCTGTGAAATGTGGTTGGTTGAAAACGGCCAAAAACCTCCAAATAGTGCGTCGCCCCTCCATACGCGGCGCTGTTGATCAGATTTCGCTGGCACCTCTGGGCACCTCCGTCGGGCGAGAACCGCTCGTTTTGATAGACAATTCCGCGAATACAATTTGTTTTAAGAACGCGTTAATTCAAAGTATTCAAAATTTCAGCGTTGATAGATAATTAAACTATGTATTTTTTGATATTCTAGTTTTAAATTAATTTTGAATAGGAGCGGAGTTATTAACGTTTCCGCGAGAATTTTGATTTATTAATTTTAAAAATAGAGAAAAATTTCAAATAATATAAATATTAACAGAAAAATGTTGCCAATTAAATTTTCTACAATTCCTTTCATAAGCTTAATGACGTCAAAATTTTTTTTACTTACGTAAAAAAGGTTCAAAAATAAAATATAATTTTTTTACATAGAAATAAAATTTTTAGAATGTTTTCAAGATAGCCAATCGATTGGAAATTTAATTTTGATTTTAAACCTAAATTCTCATAGGAAAATATTCAACCGTTTTTAAGCTGCAACTTGCTTCTTCGAAAGCGCTCTGACGCCGCCACTCGTCTTCGTCAGCAGTTTGAGATGCCATCAAATATTATTTTCTAATTTTAAAACGGCTGAATATTTTTAAATGAAAATTTAGACTTAAGATTAAAATTAAATTTCAAATCGATTGGTTATCTTGAAAAAATTATAAAAATTTTATTTCTATATAAAAAAATTATATTTTATTTTTGAACCTTTTTTACTTCAGTAAAAAAAATTCTGACGTCATTGAGGTTATGAATGAAATTGTAGAAAATTTAATTGGCAACATGTTTCTGTAAATATTTATATTATTTAAAATTGTTCTCTATTTTTAAAATTAAAAAAACAAAATTCTTGCGGAAACGTTAATAACTCCACTCCTAGTCAAAATTAATTTAAAACTAGCATATCAAAAAATACATAGTTTAATTATCTATCAACACTGAAATTTTGAATAATTAATACCAACGCGTTCTTAAAAAACATTGCATTCGCACAAAACGAAATGCCGATCGCCATGCATTAAGCCATGCAACGCTTGGGGGCAGCACCGTAGAGTCGTATTCTCAAATTCCGCCGACAGTGCCACCTACGGAGGAGCGAGAAGCTCTTAGTGATCAACGATTCTCCAATGAGAGATATGACGGGCTGATCTCAACACGGACCACGGACGTCAAAAACACGTCAAAATTTTATCATCTCTATTCGCAATTTGTTTGTTTGTCTATAATAAGAGGTAAGGAAAGAAATTATTTCGCTTAATACTTTCCAAACTAGAAACAATGAAATGCTAGTCGGCAACATTCTCTTAGAATTTAGGCCGACAAAAACGAAGCCGATAATTTAATGTGACTTCGCCCCACATTTGTGTTCTCCAAATTTAATGCTTTTACGACTCACCGCAGTACGATATTAGATGGCAAAATCCAATTTGAGTGACGTCTTAGCCCGAAGATAATTAGTGAAGTCGCCAGACCACAGCAATAATTAAAGGCGAAATCATGTCTAGGTGAGATTTTTAACTCTTTCTTTAGCATTTTCCGTCGTAGTAAAGACGCTGTACACGATAATAATATGAATAATATGACACCGCACTACCTCCCTCTAAGCTTCTCAAGTGTCACAACTACAAATACATACTAGACCCAATCAGGTTCTTGGGCTTAAATGACTCACGCGAACATGCATTTACCTTAAAAAAATCGATGATGTCACCTAACCAAAGACATGTGATCCGCAGGTCTTCGGGTCCAGGCAGTTCGATTGAATTCAGGAACACATTCACACACTCGCCGCCAATAATGGATCCGTACGAGGACGGTGATGGACCTGCAGACAAATGCGGCTACTACAGAAATAACCATACGAGGATATTTACGTCGGTTTATGAAGGAATTCCAGAAAATTTGCTTCTCAACTTCCTGTGTTGGCTGGTGAGCTAGATATCTGTATTTGTTATTAATTAATGAATAGGGGGTTTATTTGCAAAGTTTAAAAGATAAAGCAAATAGAAATAAGAAGAACTAATAAATTTATTTATCAATGTATGATTTATAAATGTATTAATTGCTTTATTTTTTTTTTAGCTTTTAGAACTTTGTTTCATTGATTTGTATTTTTATTAGGTTTTGATGGTGCTCTTTGCCATATTAAGAAAGCGAGCTTGGAATTATGGGAGGATAGCTCTAGTGCAAAAATCAGAAGAGAGGTGGACCCAACTGTTCTATGGCAACGATGTGATTACAAGTTCCTCGGCACCTGACGCCGAGTCTGTTGCCTCGGTCGATTCAACCTTGTTTGTTGAAAAAGGCTTTGGCAGCTGGCTGTTTGCGGTCTTTAGAATCAAGTACAAAATAATTTTTTTAAGGTAATTTAATTTTTGTATTGAATTCTCTACTTTTCTCAGAGATGACGATATTCTGCGGAAAAGTGGTCCTGACGCCATCCAGTACCTGTCTTTTCAGCGGCACGTCATCTTTTACATGATCATTGTGACCTTCATCTCCTTGGCCATTGTTTTGCCCATCAATTTCCAAGGCACATTGCAGGGTGATGAGAAAACCTTTGGCCACACCACTGTCAGCAATTTAAGCCCCGAGTAAATACTTAGAAATTTAAAATTTTGTATTCCTTATAAGCTATGTTTATTTAAAAAAAGTTCCGAGTGGTTATGGGCCCATGTTGTTCTGGCTGTGCTTTACCTTCCACTTGGTATTTTTGTAATGAGGAGATTTTCCGTCTCAATGCACTTGGAGGAGGAGGATTCTCACGTATCAAGGACCTTGATGATCACAAACATTCCCAGGCAATATTGTGACAAGGATGATTTGCAGAAGCATTTCAGGTTAGTATAAACAATGTAAGAAATATTTTGTAATTACAGGTTTCAAAAAATTTAGAGAGGCGTATCCGCATATTGAGGTGATTGACATCCAGCTGGCTTACAATATTACCAAAGTCAGTCAATTAGATAAAGCCAGGTTTGTGTACACTTAATTTTAATTTATTGAGATTTAATTTAATTATGATAGAGAAACTGCTGCTCAAGCCAAGGTTTACTGCGACAACTACATAAAAAATACTGGGAAGAATCTGCACATGCGCCCCCATATTTGTGGAAATGTTTGCTGTTGTTGCAAAAAAGAGGTAATCTAATTCATAATTTTTTTCACAAATGTTAGTTGAAATGTTCCAAAGGTTGATGCTCTCGAATATTACTCTAATGAAGAAGAGCGTCTGAGCCATGCTGTTGAAGATGAGAAAGAAAAGGCTTTGAAGAAGCCTCTTGGTGTGGCTTTTGTAACCTTGTCCACTATCGAAGAAGCTCGTCAGATTTACGAAGACCACACCACCTCCTGCAAATGTGCTGCAAACCCATCGTCGTCGAGCCTGAGCAGAAACCTTCAACCACATGTGTGGACTGTTGATTTTGCTCCTATGCCACAGGACATTTATTGGTAAGTCTTTTTTAGTTTTCAACGCAAAAAGTTATCTATTTATTTTTTTAATTGCTTAAATTTCCAGGGAAAATCTCTCGGTTTCGTCAAATTTCTGGTATCTGAAAGCTACCATCATCCACCTGATTTTGTTTATTGTTCTTTTCTTCCTCACCACCCCTGCAATTGTGGTCAACATGCTCGACTCCTTGAACTTCTCCAACGAGCTCCAGAAAATGGTGAGCTTTAAAAGTGAAATAAAAAACCAATATTTTTTTTAACTATGAATTTTCAGAGCCCAGTTCTGTCCGAATTCCTGCCCACACTCCTTTTGTGGACAGTTGCTGCTCTGATGCCAGTTTTGGTTTCGTATTCAGACCAGTGGCTCTCGCACTGGACTAGATCAAAGCAGAATCATTCCATAATGAGAAAAACATTCCTGTTCCTCCTCTTCATGGTGATTATTCTACCCTCACTTGGTCTGACTAGGTATTTATTTCTAACGACCCAAAACGGTTGGTTTTTTTCTAATTATTAAATAATTCCTAGTGCCCAGGCCTTTGTGGAGTGGGCCCTTCACCAAAAGAACGAGACTTACAGATGGGAGTGTCTCTTCTTGCCTGACAAGGGTGCATTCTTTGTAAGCTATGCCACCACGTCCGCTTTCGTGGGCACTGCTCTCGAGCTTATCAGATTTCCTGAGCTTTTTATGTATGCTTTGAAAATTTGTCTTGCCAAGTGAGTTGAAGATATTTTTGGGAGAAAAATTTATCTGATAAAAAAATTTCCACAGATCTGCAGCGGAGACGGCAAGTGTGCGAAAAGCCATCCTCTGGGAATTCCCGTTCGGCGTGCAATATGCTTGGATGCTTTTGATCTTTGCCATGACCATCATGTACAGTCTTTCTTGCCCTCTGATAACTCCTTTTGGTAAAATTGATTTTAAATTTTTTCTTCCAGAGAAGTTTTGATTTGATATTTTCTAGGCCTCTTGTACCTGGTATTAAAACATTTGGTCGATCGCTACAACATCTACTTTGCATACGGCCCTTCTAAAATTAGCCAAAGCATTCACGAGACTGCAATCATCTGTGTGATCGCCTCGATAGTTCTGCTGCAACTCAGTTTCATGTGCATTTCCCTGCTTCGACTTGGCTTGAGAGGAATCACGATCTTCTCTTTAGCTGGCCTCGTTTTGACCATTCTCTTCATGCTGTCCCATATTTTCCTCAACTGCTGCAAAGGATTCAGTCCCATCACTTATACCAGGGTAAGAAGAATATTGAATGACCGCTGTTTTTAAAAATGAATCAAAATTTAATTAGATGTCTAGCTGTGATGCATGTTTTTATTTTATTCAGTCCAGTTGCCATGCTGTAAGTTACTGTTCAGTGTGCTGCTAATTTATTTTTATGGTTCACTTTTTTTTTGCTGTTTGTGCACATTGTTATTTCCTAATTTTGTCTTCAAAATGAAACTGACAAACGAATTGAAAATATGTAATTATTAGCAGAAATCAAGGCGCAGACAAAACCATGAACTGGCTAACTCTCAGCCAACCACTCCATCCAGACACTTTGTCCCTTCGGTGCTGCAACCGCCAGCTTTGAGTGCATCCAGAAACACGCCAGGCTACGGCACACAGTCTGCTGACTCAGTGCCTTCTTCTCCTTTAGATAGAGACCCTGAAGAGACTTTGAGGTTTTACCAAAACATGGAGAGCAGGTATGAGCAGGTCTAGTCATGGACAATTTTACACCTCTTTCCCTACTATGACTTTTTTCTTTCTTACATGTAATAATTTATTCATCTAATCTCAAGCCAAAGCACTTCTTCTCTTGTAGTGTTAAATTCGACTCTAGCATTTTCTTGTCAATATTCATTCTAGGTGTTTTTATTTTTTTATTGCTCTGTTTAATATAATCAGGTTGGTGAGAAACATCTCATTTTTGTTTATGGTTAACATTAATTGTTAAGTGATGAGTTATTATTGCAACATATTGGAACCTTGCCACCGTTGTTTGATTAATTTTGTTGGCTGTTGGCTCATTTTGTACTATTAAATATTAGTAATTGTTGATTAGTTTTGCACTTTGTGCTGTTAGTCTCTGGAAAATTAGTCTGTTTATAAATTATACACCACTTATAGCCGATAATAACAAATGATATAGTTAAATATCCTCCTATTTATTATATAATATATTTGAGCTGATATTCTCGTAACCATCATGAGCAAAATGACTATGTAACTGATTTGAAATGTCTGATAACTGAGGCTCTAATCATTGTTATGATATGTGATGTGAAACCAAATTTTAAAATAAAAAAATCCGCCATGCAATGAATTAAAACAATGACGTAATTGTTTAATTATTTTGAAAACTTAACATTTATTAAAAGCTTACAAGCTATCACATTAATCACATTTTTTTACTAGTATTTTTGTTTACTTAACTATTACATTTTGTTTGCACATTTGAGTTCAAATTTTGTTTTGTTCACTTTTGAGATTCAATGAGCTGTTCTTCCTTAATGAGAGCAGCCAACCTCTGCATGGCCTTCTCGATGTCGTCCATGGGCACCAGTGAATAAGACAGTCTAATGTACGGGCAGGGTTTCAAAGGGTCGGCCATGAACGCGTGTCCTGGTATGAGCATCACATTCTTTTTCAGTCCCCTTTCCATCACCATCGCCAACACGTCCTCCACTCCTTTCACTTTAACCCAGAGGAACATTCCGCCACCTGGCACGTCCCATTCAGCTAAACCTGGAGTGGCCAAACAAAAATTTATTTAAAAAATAAATTCAACAAATTTTAAGCTGCAATTAATTACCTGTAAGGTATTTCTCAGCAAGAGCTATCATTTGGTTCCTGCGTACCCTGTAAAACTCTTTCACATTCATGGTGTACTTTTTGAATCCGTCCCAGCCCATCTGGTTTAGAAGTTGCAAAACTATCATCTAGTAAAAACGAATGTATTATTTTGTAAATTAATTTCAATTAAATTTTACTTGTGCAAGGGAGGAAGTGTGAAGGACGGACGCTTGCATGTGCATTTCAATAACGCGAACGATTTCCTTTGGCCCCGTCATGCAGCCTGCCCTCAATCCACCTCCAAAGATTTTGGAGAAAGAGTCAAAGCGCACAACTCGATTTTCCGTGTCAATGGATAGGAAGCTTTTGGGAAGTTCCTGTACATCAAGTAAAATTAATATTGATCTCTAAAAAAGTGGGAAAAAATACTAACCTCTTGGAAGCTGAGGAAATAGTAAGGGTCGTCTTCGAGAATGAGCAAATTGAATTCGCAAGCAATGTCGTAAATCTCCTGCTTTTGCTCATCACTTATCACATGTCCACTAGGGTTGTTTGCGACAGGGTTCAAATATAGCAACTTTAAAAAGATCAAATCATTTATAGAGCATTTTTTGTTTTAATTTTAATTACTTTTGGAATTTTTACGTCTCTTGATCGTGACGCCCAAATTGCAGTGAGTTTTTCTTTCATTTCCACTGTGTCGACACCATTCCTACCGAAAGCCGCAGAAATGAGATTTGCTTGGTACGGACGAACCTGCAGAAAAATAGCTGTGCTTATTTTTGTCTCGTGTGCGTCAATGGATGACGTTGCAAACATGCTGTACGGCTTCCAACAATAATACACGTACATTGCATATAAGTCCCGAGTACACTGGGTCGGCGACGACCATCGAGTCGCCTTTTCGAAAACTCATCTCGATGACCTTGCTCAGGCCGTCCTGCGAGCCGACGGTTGCAATCACATCGCGTTCCTCCCATCGAGGAGGCGAATGGTACTCCAAAATGAACTCTTGTAGCTTTTTAACAAACGCGGGGTTTCTAATATATTGGGTTTGAATTAAAAACAAATTCAAAAATATTGATCATTATTACCCCTGGGTTGGAAGGTAGTTTATAGCAGTGACGAGTTCGGAGCCTTGAAGAACGGTTTTGGTTCCATCCTTGAGGGTGAAGGAAATATCTTGAAAGGGCATGGTTTCAGGGTGAGGCAAACCTTCACCAATGAAGACAACCTCTTTTGAAGCGGTAGCATGATTTTTCACTGAAATTTTATTTCCATTAAAACAGCTTTTTAATAAAGATTATAACAAAATAATTACTTAGTTCGCGCAGCACAGACGGCTTTCTGGACAAAGCCACCTCGTTCATGAAATTTGTATAATCGATGGGAATGCTTTTGGGCTGCAACTTAGGCAGGGCCTTGCTGAAATTTGAATAGGATACGCTCGGTTATTTTTTAAGTTTTGAATTATATTTCAGTATAACGTATAATTAAGAAAATCAAATATCAGGTTTGGCGAGGTGAACAAGTTCAATAAAAAGGCGCTCTAAGAAATAAATTATTAGTTAAATTTTTTTAAAGCACCTCTGAGGTGCCTGCAATTATTTAAGTCACCGATGAAAGTACGATTTAACGAAATCGTTCTTATGCAATACGCAATGCAGACAAACAAATTATGCTTGTCATTGTGAGCACAAATTATCGTCTCGCAAATTTGTCGTTGCCGCCACTCTTCATCCGAACGCTTTAATTTGAATGTCCTTGACCATCTATCTGCATACAACAAAGCCGCTAACAATCAGAATAATATTTATAATGAATGCAGAGCGGTCGCCCGCTCACTTCCGCGTATTTTGAACCGGCTCAATCTGGTTTATAATGACACAGAAATACTTAATTTTACTTACTTTGTTTACATTTGAGAGTTTACAAGAGTGATTAGAAACAAACCGTATTACTTTTACAATAAATTCGATGAATTATCACAAATTTTTGTGAAACAGATTAAATTTGGGGAATCAATCACCTGTATGTAAAGAAAAAATTTATTTTGATTTTGATAGAATAGATAGAATTATTATTGATGAATTTTCTCTAAAGTCTGGATCATTGCATGATGCTAAAAAATGAAAAAATAAAATGTTGCATTTACGGGGAACTAAACACAAGTGACGCACATCATTATGATAAGAGATAAAATAATATTGCATAATATGCTCGTGCAGATGCTCGATTGTGTTGGTGGAATTAAAACAGCGCTGATGAAAATTGATCGTACGATGTTGCGATGACACACAAGATAAAAATTTTGGAAAATCCAAAATTTGCGATAGTAATATGCAGTGCAGGAGAATTGCGATTCAAATTCTTAAATATTTTTTCAATTTCTACATGGATATTGAACCTTAAATTAATTATACTGTTTGAAATAATGACAAGTGTGATTAAAATATGAAGATTATTGTTTAACAGGATTAAAATTGTAATAAAAATTCAAATTTTAATGATAAAATAAATATAAAATAGATTTGAAAATTCAAAAATAATGTTAGAAATAATTCTCTAACGCGATTTAAAATGTACTAAATTTTTATGCAACAGACTGCAACGTGAACCAAATAATAAAAAATTGTAATAATAATAACTGTTTAATTACTTTTAATCTGCTTTTAATAATCCCTCTAATGAGATAAAACGAAAATTATATGAGAAAAATCTTATGTTAAAAACGGAATAAGCGAAAACCGAGATTAGAAAGTAAAACGATAATTGCAGTGCACAAAATAGGCAGAAAACAAGTTCCACCGTAGCTACCTGAGAAGGCCAAACTTTCTCATGGTGAAACGCGCCGACGAAGACACAACCTACTAGCTTGGACACCGGGTCAAAACTGATGGCGCCTCGGGTTTGCACTGCAATCTCTTACGCGGCTTCTCGGAGGCTGGTGGCCAATCAGCGACCGTCGCTCGTGGGCACCGTCGTCCGCAACACACCACTTGACTCACGCAAATTGGACACAATTGAAATGATCTTTGCGGTTATAAATCACACGCACCCTCTTTTGCAGACGACACACAGCGGCCACCTCATTATTTGCAACAACGAATAAACATTTAATTTTTTACTATGGTTAAATTTTGTAGATTTCAACCATTTTAACTATAATTTGGAAAAAAAATAGTAATAATCACTAGTCAGAAGTTATTGTGAAATTAATTCTATCACTTAAAATGAAAATTTAAATGTTATTTAGCATTTATAAAACTCAAGTTGCGCCAACCAAATTTCTCAAGTTAACTTATTCAAAAGTAAGTTATTTTTATATTATTAATTAAGTCAGAGATTATGCTCTTGTTAACGGCAGATAATTACTGTCCAGTGAAATAATACTAATGCGACTGCGACACGATTATTCAATTTTTAAAATTGCAATAAATTTATGTAATAAAAACAACAACAAATAATGTGTGTGTATATAGCACAACTTAATTGTAATGAATACAAAATACTGGGCATGTATTGCTCATCTAAAATATCTAGCTTTTCAAAATAAACTAATAATATCCTTTTATAAAAAATATAATTTATTGTACATTGACCTCATTATATAAATACAAATGTTGAACAGAGCTTTTAAAAGCTATTATAAAACAAGATTTGCATTAAATATAATGGTGCTTGCCTTCTGCAATTAAACTCAATTAAGAGCACAGGACGATGAGAAATAAAAATAAATGAGTGGTCAAAGTTATAAAGGTGAGTTTAAATGTGTGTAAAAATAGCCCGTTAAAAGTGAATTATGTTTATATTTTACAATAGCCTGCATACAGTCGTCAAATATACATCTTAAAATTCTCAAAAAGTCAATTAAGTCAATTTCACCTATACGTTTATTATGAGAGCGCAGCGAGAACACGGCAAAACTTGATTATGCTGATATCGAGCTGTCAAATTTCATCAGCCACTTCGCTTTTTGCCTCTCAGCTACATAATATGCATGCTTGCTGCGCGTGATTTAGCTTTCCGATGGCGCCTCCCAAAACAAGTAAATATTAATTGGGAAATCCTTTCTACGCGTAAATTTTCACTACGATAAATTTTCCTGCTATGGAAATTGGGAGATCGTCTGCTGCGCAATTCCTTTTAATGGGTCCATCAAATTGCGCACTTAAAAATTTAAGCAACAGACGTCACGGCAGGATAACTCCACACCCTCAATGTACCACTTAACCGAATGCGTTGCAAGCTTGCTTATTATTGAAAGTAGTGAAACCAACACAAAATATATTCCTTTTTTTAATAAAAAATTCATTACAAGTTGGTATTATTTTATTCATTTTCACATGCATTTTGCTTGTCTCCAACCTTCTTTCAATTAAAAAAAATAATATATTAATTTTACATGCAGTGGCAATTGTCGCCATTGATAAATTGCCCTCTCACAATTACTCTGCACTTTACACTTCCCTATTGAAGTGATAGTTTATGTAACCGCGTGATTTTCAAGGGGCAGCAGCACCATTATAAGCTGTGTTGTGCTAGATAGAGTCAATGACCGACCTTAATATACATTCAGAAATGACGTTCTGGAAACACTTTCAATTTTAATTTAAAGCAAAAGCAAACCTGTCTGAGTCTGAATTGAAATAGTGAGCTGTGAACTTGTAGTGGAAATCTCAGTTTCCTTTCAATCTAGTTTTACAATATTTTTTTTTTAATAAAACAATAATTGGAGCTTTTAATTTATAAAATTTTATTTGGAATTATGCTTTAAACACTAATTACAATGAAGTGCAGTAAAATTAACCTAAAAGTGTGCAAAAACACTGAACTTTTGGCTCATTAGGAATACAGTGTTGTAAAAAGAGAGCAATGAAGGAAGCAGGTGCAAAACACCCGAAAAATTTAATGACTAGCAACTTTCTTTGAGCTACTGAGGACTTAATTTTACATTGGAGATCCTGACTGAGAGGAGCTGCTTAAAAAAATGAGATAAATAAATGCGTAAAAAATCAGTACTGGTAGTTTTCGATGAGGACTGCTTGTGAGGTTGCGTAGGCTGACATATTGTTGGTGCAGTTGGAGCAATTGTTGCAGTCGCCCCAACAGCAGGCGGTACTGGAGGACACGTTACCTGACGACAGGGAGGCGCCGTCACTTGCAAGAGAGTCGTGCAAACTTGAGTTTGGAGTATAATTCTAATAAAACATAACAAATTTTAGTTTGAATTGATAATTACTTTGAGGGAAAAATTCACCTGACTGGTTGGCGCGGTTGTTTCATTGGCCGACTCTAGCATGTCCTGCAGTATGTAGATGTAGTCGATTGCACGCTGCAGGGTTTTTACTTTGCTCACTCTCTTCCCTCTTTATAGAAAACAAATTAATAAGTTTATATCACAATTTTACTGTTTAAAAAAATGTTTTCCATAAATAATTTGTATTGTTAGAAGTAAAATTATGTTTCATTATAATTTTATTATTATTTTTTTTTAATTTAGAGATAATAAATACCACATCTATCTACTATTTTTTTATTAATTTGATATTTCTATTTGTTACAAATTGCTCTTCTGTTTGCTGAAAAATGTACGTTTAGATAATAAAGATATAAAATTTGCTTATTGATTTTGTTCCATTTATGAGCAATTCAGTAAAATAAAAATTAGTTTATCAATAAATCAATCATTCATCAAGGAACAGCAACAAATTCATTAAAAAGTTAACCAGATTGCCAAAACCTAATAGCAGTTTGTGCATTCTTTGAAACAAAATGTAGCCTAAAAAAGTATACCTTGAAGCAGCCGTGTCGCCAGGTACTGCCTGTCGCAGCCGGTAAAAGGCAGTGTTGACGGCCTGAACCCTTCTGCGCTCCCTGGCGTTCCTCCTAGCCACCATCTGGGGCGGCTTGTCCTTGTGTGGCACGTGTCGGTAGCCACCCTTCTTAATGCGTTGTCCGCGGACGGCCCTAGAGGATGATGGGAGCTGTTTTGTTGTTGCGCGACAATTTCGATCGGAGGGAAAAGCACCTGTAGGCTGTTCGTCGTCGCAAGGTGGGAACAGGCACTTCAGGTAGTCCACTGGTGGCGGAGACATCTTTGAACCTCAAATATGTGATTTCTAAAATAAAAATCAAAATAATTTTATTTATTTAAAAGTGATGTTATAATTAACTTCATTTTATTAACCCAATCAGGCAAAATTTTCAAACTTATACAAATCCAAATTTGGGTTTTGAAAAGAGTAAAAGCATGAATAATAAAAATTTTATTTTATTGTAAAAATATTAAAAAAAAAATATCATGTGGTGTTTGAATTGAATCAACCCCCGATCACGAATTCTTCTATAAAGAATTATCTAGTCTATGGGCATGGATTGGTCGCTCTTTCATTTTTATTTGGCAATAACAAGATATTGAAAGTTTTAAATTAAATTCAACAATATTTTTTAGCTTTCAAATCAAAATAAAAAATTAATTTAGTTTAGATTTCAATAATTTCTGTCTATCTCAAAAAAAGCACACAGATAAATTTGATTTACAATAATAAAAAAGTTGGCCAATGAAAATTTTGTCTGTAAAATGATAAATAAATATGTCATTACCTGGATTTTTAGACAACTTTGCTCCAAAGCCCTTAATCCATGACTTGGGCTGTGCGTGTGTTTCACGTGCGAGTGCCTGATCAACATTGAGGTGGTTTGGCGCGTGCCACCGATAAAATAAGCGGCCCGGCGATCATTTTCATTGCTGGCTGCTCCTTGGGCCCGCATAACAAAATACATAATAAAGTATCACCTGCCGAGAGATCGGCGCGAGGAGGAGAGAGAAAGAGAGACGGTTTTTTTCTACCCGCCGCCGCCGTACTATAATCAGTAATTAGCGCGCGCTGCAGATCATCGCGGCTGCATTTGGCCATTTTTCAGGGCTCCTCGGCAGCTGCCCTTCCAGCCGCTCCCGCTTCAGCTGCCCATTCTTACATATTCCAGCCTGAATTTTACAATATCTCTCTTTTCCATCTCTCTTTCTCCACAACGATCGTTTTTTGGCCGCACGCGCCGGGCTGATTGTTTTATTATTTTCCACTTCGGCCGTGTGTGCGAGTCTTCTCTCCCACACAAAATAACGCGCCTCATGCTAAAGCCGACCATGGTTTTGAATTGATTCATTTGGCCCCAGACATATGGTCCGGAAAACTGATTCCTGGTTAGTGCGTCAGTTGGCTGGCCGACGATTGTTGTTTGCTTGGGAAAGATTTTATTCTGATTTAGTGATTTAAAATGAGAGACAAGATAATAATGTCATTAGAAATTTTAAGAATGAAATTTATATAAGTTGAAAAATAATTTAAAATAATTTTAATTTACAAAAATTTAGAAATTATGATGCTTAGTTAATTGATCACTCATGATAAACCAAAAATCTAATTAAAAGCCATAAAATCTTCAGTAATTAAATTATATTAATCTAAGTGATAGTAACAATGAACGAGTGAATTTTAACGCTTACCATGTTTTGTTAGAAAAACAGTTAAAATAATATAACAATAATGAAACAACTCGCAAAGATGCAGAAGAGCAGAAAGAGAAGATTAAAAAAGCGACTTTATCTTGCTTGCGCTGGAGTCCCACTCTGTACAAAGAATTTGCGATTTAAGCGCAGGATAGAAAAGTGTTTTGACTTCTTCATTGCCCTGCAATGGACCCTTAACACGCACAAGAGGCTGCCTGCCACTTCCAAGAGATGCAAATGATTATGAAAACGATAACATTGTACACGGCTTATCACGCACTCGATTGGCCAACCCCAGCCGCAGATATATGGGGAGTGCGAATTGCATTTACGTTATTTTTATTGGAAGGGAATCAAGGTGAGTTGTGCCGAGCTTATCGTTTCTATTGCCAAATATCGCTCCTACGCAGCGTAATTCAGCAAAGAATCTAGGCCTCTTCGATAAATTTTTTTTCTTTTTTTTTTAAATTAAATTTAAATTCAAAGAAATTCTTACGCATCAATTAAATTCATCCGTTTGAAATTTGGTTCAGAAATTCTAAACGTAGAAAAGCTACGTAGAAAGCTTCTCTTTAAATTTGCAATTTTATACATGCATTTTTGAAAAATGCATGTATTAAATTAAATGATTTTTCTAAATTGATGTTTTATTTTATCAATTATTTATTTCAGATGCGCGTTTTGACAATTTTGTTCTTTTTGAGCGCTGCGTTTTTTGCAAACGCGGCTGTCAATCCCGCCAGCGAACTGGATTGGAATTCGCTTGGCGAAATTTTGAACATTGATGGAGCTAAGTTGGAAAAGCTGCAGATGATGCAGAAACATTTTGCAGATTCGAGGGCGAGCGATCTTCCTGACGTGGGTTTGCCGACAGTAGGGACGAAATTATAAAATCGGGCATAAAGGATTAATTCATTTTCTCAAATTAGCCTGACATGATCAAACGCCAGGGCTACCCTGCCGAGATCCATTACGTCACCACTGAGGATGGATATATTTTGCAAATGCACCGAATCCCCAACCCGGGAAAGCCAGTCATTTTCCTGCAGCACGGTCTTTTATGCAGTTCGGCCGATTGGGTCATGATGGGACCTGATTTGGGGCTTGGTAACCAAATTTTTTACTTCAGATTGCGTAACCGTGCGCTTATTTCTTTCGATAACGTCCCATATTTTCGATACTTGAAAAAAAATGATATAACTACTTATGCGGTAAATATTATCTGCACTCTCCGGCCGTTATATAAAAAAGCAATTGAAAAACTGCGATAAAATATTTTTACAACTCAATTTTGTTATTCAAAACAGCCTATCTGCTTTTCCACCGAGGCTATGACATCTGGATGGGCAACTGTCGTGGAAATACTTATTCCAGAAACCACACCACCCTGAATCCGGACACAGATTCGGAATTCTGGAATTTCTCGTGAGATTTTAATTTCAATTTTGGAAATTAGTTTATTTAAAATTTTGACCCAATTTTAGTTGGCACGAAATGGGTCACTTCGACATCACGGCCGAAATTGACTATGTGCTTGGCCAGACGGGCGAAACGCAGCTGGTCTATATGGGACACTCTATGGGCACGACGCAGTTCTTTGTCATGGTCTCCGAGAGGCCCGAGTACAACGCTAAAATCAGGCAGATGCACGCTCTCGCACCTGTAGCTTTCATGGGCGGAGTGCGCAGTCCCCTTGCTCTGCTCGCACCTTTTGTCGATCAACTCGAGGTTGGCAATTTTTAAACTTGATTAAATTGACGTAAATTTTGATTATTCCTTCAAATTTAAAGTGGGTTTTGAACATGTTTGGCGTCGATGAGTTTTTCCCCAGCACCGAATTTCTGGAATTTATCGGAGCGAGTTTGTGCCGCGATGGAGCTTTTACTCAGGCCATCTGCAGTAACGTCCTCTTCTTGCTCTGCGGTTTTGACTCAAAGCAGCTGAACGAGGTAAAAAATATATGCGAATGTAGAGAATTTCCTATAAATGCAAACGATTATCCCGCAGACTACCATGCCAATAATTATCAGCCACACGCCTGCCGGCGCCTCCTCCAAGACTGTTCTGCACTACACTCAGGAAATTAATTCTGGTTAGAAAATTATTATTATTATTAATTTTCAGATTGTAATCTAATCAAATCCACAGATAAATTCAGGCAGTATGACTATGGCTATTTTGACAACATGGACCATTACGGCCAGCACGCGCCCCCGCAGTACGACTTGTCGAAAATCACGGCGAATATTTATTTGCACTACAGTGAGAACGATTGGATGTCACATCCCAATGTATGTTTGAACTGAAAATTGTGAACCATTAATAATTTTTTTCCTCAGGACGTGACTCAACTGTATAATCAGTTGGCAAGCTGCCAGGGAAAGTTCAGGGTGCCACTGCCTGAATTCAACCACCTTGACTTCCTTTGGGCCATTGATGTTAAAACGCTCCTGTACAACACAATTTTCTCACTATTGAACAGACCTTAATTATTTACAAACGTGTAATTGTTTACAAAGTTGAATATATTTTTACAAAAAAAACCTATTGCTCCACAAGAATTTTGTTTTATTTTTCCCTTTTTCTACATTTTCAACCTCAATTTATGGAAAATTTATTGAATAGATAACCAGTTCTAGACGCACCTTGGTCTTGACCTCTTGGCCTATATTTTTAAAAACGCTGCGATCCTTACTAAATTCCATGTCAGCAAAATTAACGCGCACAAAAGCTGACGTGAAGAAAGACAATCTTGCAAAAAAATCAAAGTGCTTGATGGCGCCGCTTACAAGTGTAGTAATTTGTCTGCTGGTCAGCTTTTTGTCGCCAGTGACCTTTGGCCTCAGTGTCATGGATCGCAAGCACCGACAGATATTAGCGGCATTCAATATTTCTCAAAACAGAACCACCGGACAAACGCCAGTAGTTAATTTTCTTCCTGACTCTAATCCCCGAAAAAAACGTGAGTTTTGAATGCTAAAAAAAATCCACGAGATTTTAAATAATTTTGGCTAAAAAGCTGGCGTGAAACAAAATAAGCGCTACCCCGGCCGCCGTCGATGTGGCCCAGACACCCCAAACGAGCTCCAAACTACAGTGGACCTGCCATTGCCCCTGAAATCAATAAGAATCTCGGGCGACATGATTTTTCTAGATGATGTCTGTTATTATGACATTGACATGGATTTGACTACGGTATTTTTTTTAATTCAATTTAATAATTTAATTACTCTATACAATAAACGAATAAAAAATATATTTCTTCAAGCCGCAAATGATACGAAGGAGAGGCTACCCTGCTGAATCTCACTCAGTGAAAACCGAGGACGGTTATATTTTGGGTTTGCATAGAATTCCCAATCCGGGAAAGCCCCCGATTTTACTGCAACACGGAATTGTATCCAGTTCAGCAGTATGGGTTTTAACAGGGCCTGAAAAAAGTTTGGGTATATATTTAATTTTTCTTTTTAACTAATTGATGTCAAATTAAAAAAAAAGGTTTAAAGTTTTGTTTTTATTATTCAATATTTTTAATTTTGAAGGTAGTGTACATATTTTTATGTTCAGGGTTTTATTTGAAATACCAATATTTTTAATTAATAGGTTATATTCATTAAATTTTAAACTGCAGCCTACATATTGTGGAGGGAAGGCTATGACGTTTGGATGGGAAATTACAGGGGCACCGAATACTCAAGAGCACACATATCAATTACATCTTCCGACGAAAAATTTTGGGATTTCAGGTGATTAAATACAAACTACATAATATTTTTCTTTTCATTCTTAAAATTTGTATAGCTGTCATGAACTTGGAATATATGATCTCCCAGCCTTCATTGATTACATCTTAAAGTGGACCTTTAGCACAGAGTTGGACTACATTGGTCACTCATTGGGGACAACAGGGTTTTTTATAATGACCGCCGAGCGCCCAGAATACAATAATAAAATTCGACAAATGCACGCTTTTGCGCCGGTTGCATTTGTGTGGAAACTGATGAACCCGCCCCTTCAAGCTCTGCAACTTTTGAGTAAACTGAATGTGAGCTGAAAATAAGATTATACTGTATATAAATAATTTTGATCAAACTCCCTTCAGGCAACAGAGGTAGAGCTGAATACAAATTTACTAACGACCCTAGGACAAAGGATGTGTGCTGGAGATGAATTTTTTCCGCAGGCACTTTGTTCGTCTTTGCTTTTTCTCTTCATCGGTTTTGAACCGGGGCACTTTGACAAAGTACTTTTTACATTTACAGAATTCAAGTTTTAATTTCTTGAGTTCATTTCTTAAGTGTTCATAAGTACACGCACGAGGTTAATGAGAACTTTTTTTAATAGAAACTGATTCCCTTGATAGTGGCTCACACTCAGTCCGGCACTCCTATGAAAATTTTGCGTCACTATGGACAAATTTACACTTCAGGTATTAAAAAAAAGAAATTTGAATAAAATAAGTAAATTTTTATTTCTAGGCAAATTTGCACAATACAATTATGGAATACGGGAGAATATGGAAAGATACAAATCCCCATTTCCACCGAATTATGATTTAAGAAAAATAACAGCCCCTACATATTTGTATTACGGTAATAATGACCGGATTGTGCCAATCGCAGTAAGTTTTATTTTTTCCTCGTCATTTTTTTCCAAAAAAAAAAAATTGAATAAAATTACAGGACGTAATAAAATTGAGCAATTTGCTGCCCAATGATTATTTGTACAAAGTGCCTGACGCCAAATTCAACCATCTTGACTTTCTCTGGTCTGACGACGTGCAGGAGCTACTGTACGACAGGCTTTTGGACAATCTCAGTCATCGACCAAAGAGGCACCGCCGTTTGAACCGACGACGTACCCTCAAGGATATCTATGTGAATTATTCCAATTAGCGATAAGCGTTGACACAAAACAATAAACAAGTTCTTATAAAATTTCAATTGCTTTTTTGATTTGATTCCAATTCACGATACGAGACCTCTTGAGAGTTCAATCTCGGAAAGTGTTCACATGCAAAGGTTTTCATTCGCCACCAGATAAGCAGCTTTTTTACGTATAAAAGAAATCCAGGGGCCACGACCGAGTCACGTTAGAGCCAAGCCCCTATGCAATGGTTAAAGGTTGTCGCAAAATCCTCCTAGCGCTCGGGACCCTCGCTCTCTTGCAAGCTTCGTGTGGGTTTTCCTTAGAAAACCGCGAATATGTGCCTCACCCAGATATTGGCGCTACGCCGGTTAGTAATTTTAATTATAATATAAAAACCAACTAAGGATTAATTTGATTTTAAAATTCATTACAATTCTACAGCCCGAGATGATCGTTAGACGCGGCTATCCAGCTGAAACTCACTTCGTAACTACAGTCGATGGCTATATTCTGCAAATGCACAGAATACCCCAGCCCGGAAAGCCGGTGGTCTTTTTGCAGCATGGATCCCTTTCTAGCTCTGCTGATTGGCTTCTGATGGGACCTGAGAGCTCACTTGGTAAAAAAATTTAATGCATTTATATTTAAAATTAAATATTTTGAAATTTAGAATATTTAGTGACATAGTGACATTCAAATTGTATTTTGTAGCTTATTTCTTGTTCGACAATGGCTATGATATTTGGATGGGCAACGCTAGAGGCAACACCTATTCCAAGAACCACACCTATTTGTCCGTCGAAAGCAACTCTAAATTCTGGGATTTCACGTAACAAAAAATAAATTGAATTAATAATTTTTGGAAATTATTTTAATTTCTGGTGTAGATTCCATGAAATGGGTATTTACGACTTGCCGGCTGAAATTGATTATGTATTGGAAAATACCGGTCAGGCTCAGCTCAATTACGTTGGGCACTCGATGGGCACAACGCAGTTTTTCGTCCTCGGCTCCGAGCGGCCCGAGTACAACGCCAAGATTAGACAGATGCACGCTTTGGCTCCGGTGGCCTTCATGGGCAGGGTCAGGTCGCCCCTGCTGTGGGCCCTTGTACCCTGGGTTTGGCAATTTGAGGCAATAAATTTTACATGGTGGTTTTTCAAATTATTTATTTAATATTTATTTCAGTGGTGGAGTGGTGTTCTGGGTAACGGCGAATACATGCCCAGCCCCGAGTTCAGCGAGTCGGTCGCAAATGATATGTGCGCTGACGGCTCATACTTGCAAGAAATTTGCATGATGCAACTTTTCATGCTTTGCGGATTTGACGCGGAACAGTTCAATGAGGTAAGATAATAATAAATTATATATAAATAAAAAATGGTAGCATTTAATTAAAAAACAAAATGCTGCGAAATATTCAGGTTATAGTTAGTTATTTTACTGTGACAACTTGACCAGTGTATTTTTATGAAAAGAAATTCAAGAAATAAAATTTCTTTTGACAAAAATAGCAAATTAACTTGATTAAATTTTTTAAGGATAATTAAATTTATCCTTTTTCTTATTATTGTTGTTTATGTGTCTAAACAATGTGATGTATCAATTTGGACAAATGAACAATAACGATAATAATAACAATAACAATAATAATAAGGATAAAGTTAATTAACCCTAATAATTTTAATCAAGATAATTTGAAAATTTTGTTAAAAGTTAATTTCTTGGTTTTTTTATAAGTAAGAATATAATTGTCTAGTTATTACGGAAAAATAACTAATAAAAAAACTGAAAATGAAATTTACCTGTGTTATTTTATGGTTATCATAGTTTAATTTAAAATATTACTTAAATTAGGATACGAATATTAAAAACTTATTAATATATTTTCTAGACCGCTTTGCCCTTAATGCAAGCTCATTCCCCTGCTGGCACCTCAACCAAAACAATCATCCACTTCGCCAAGCACGTAGCTTCATGTACTATTCCATGCAAATATTCGCTCTCCGATACTAATAAGAACCGTATTTTTTATATAGGGGAATTCCAGCAATATGACTATGGTTGGGTCGAAAACATGATTGTCTATGGACAAATGCTGCCCCCTAACTACCACCTCAACAAGGTCATCGCCCCTGTATACTTGCACTACGCCGACAACGACTGGCTGGCGCATCCCCTGGATGTGCAGAGAATTGAGAACAACATTGGTAACCTGAAGGCCATGGTCAGAATGGCACCTCCTTCGTTCAATCACATCGATTTCATTTGGGGAATCGACGCGACCACTCTTGTCTACGAGCCTCTTCTCGCTTTCCTTCTTCAAGAATAAAATGAAGAAGGGAAAAAACTAAATTTTGAGTGAAATTGCACATATCAAAATAAAACACAAAACGTGACTTTTATCTGCTGCACCTAGTTGACTTACGAGAATCGCATCAAGCTGATAAAGAGCATACTTGAAACTTAAAACGTTGTAACGTAACACATTTTATCTCCTACATTGTTTTCATATCTCTGATTAAAGCATATTACGTAAAGTTGTAAATATATAATTTAATTTATAAACAAATATGCACTCGATCGCAGCGGAGTCCACAAATGAGTCAGTTTGCGGGTGAATCACAATAAAAGAAGCCAATAATAGCACCCTCGTGCGTGGTCAAACAGAGGATGTGTAATTAGATTAACGGCTTTTGTCACACATCCATATTATGTACAAACGCGTGCCACTTCCTTTGTCTTTGCGCAGGATCGTCGATAAATTTATAACGAACAGAGCAGCGACCTTGTCTGCAGTGAACCGAATATCAAGAGTTCATATTGATAATTGAGCGTTTATTGGTGCTAGTGTCTGCGTGGAAAATATGAGCCCTTTGGAGAGAAGTGCGACGCAGATCGGCTGCTTTGTCCTGCTGCTCGCATTAGCAAATCGAATTGGAGCTTTGCACGTGTTTGATGCTGGTGATGAGGCTATAAAAGGTCACCGAGTAGGAAATGACACTGCCACACAAGATGAATATGTCGATTTGAACCCGGTAATGATTACATACAATTTTAATAGGCCGCATGAAATAAAAATAATATTTAAAGAATAAGAAAACAACCGTACAATTTTCTTTAGTTTAAATTATATGCTTATTTTTATGTCATTATTATTAAACAGGCCCAGATGATTGCTAGAGCAGGCTACCCTGCTGAGTCGTACATAGTGACCACCGACGACGGCTATCTCTTAACTCTGGACAGAATTCCTCCCATAAAAGATGGACCTGGTCAAAAGCACCCAGTTTTCCTGCAACACGGCCTTGTGTCGTCGTCAGCAGATTGGCTCATTCTAGGGCCAAGAAAATCTCTTGGTAAAATTTGTAACTAAAATTTTTGAAAATTTTCACCCCAATCTTTTTTTTTTTAAATTCTCAGCATACTTATTGGCGGATGAGGGATTTGACGTGTGGCTTGGAAACGTACGAGGCAACACATACTCAAGAGCCCACCTCAATTATTCTACTTCAAGTTCTAAATTTTGGAACTTTTCGTTAGTAAAATCTTGTAAAAAATATTTTAATATATAATTTTTTAATTAGATTCCATGAAATGGGCTATTATGACCTGCCAGCGGTAACAAGTTTTATTTTACAAAAATCTGGCCAGCCTCAGCTTAGTTACGTGGGCCACTCAATGGGCACAACTATGTTTTGGGTATTTTGTTCCACCAGACCAGAGTTACAGCACAGGGTGCGCCAAATGCACGCCCTGGCCCCAGTAGCCTACATGTCACAAATGCAAAGTCCACTTAGAAATTTGGCTCCGTTTGAGAGAGAATTACAGGTTTGTACTGGAACTTAATTTTATTAGATGGAAAATTAAAAAAAGGGAATAAGTGTAATTTTTTAAAATATTTTTTTAGGTTTCGCTAGCGCTTCTCGGAGAATATGAATTTTTAAGACATGGAGCTCTGACTGGGTATCTGGAAGAGGAATTTTTGAAAATCAATCACATTGGTTCAAAAGGAGCGGAATATGTGTTTTTCTACATTTGCGGATTTGATCCAGCTCAATTTAACAAAGTATAAAAAAAAAATTTTTAAGAATTATTTCAATGTCTCCCCTCCCCTTTTAAAAACAAAGATTTGGATTTAAAATCAAATTATTGTTGAATTTTTGACACAGAAAAAGACGGTTATTACTATTGGAAATTAAATTATTCTTGCATAGATTTGATTGTTGAAAGGATCGATTCTTGTGCACAAGCCGTGATTTTGAAAGCAGAGTTCACAAGAATTTTTCAAATCTGCAGAAAAATCATGTCGTTCACCAAATACTTTCTGCTTCAGCCAAAGCTGAAGGTTTTTTTGCATCAAACTTCCAATCCAGTTGTGTCTCTAATCAATTTTCCAGACTCTGCTACCAGACATTTTGGGCCACACTCCTGCTGGTGCCTCGACGCAGACAGTTCTGCACTACCTGCAGGAGGTGAAATCGGCCAAGTTCCGGCAATACGACGAGGGAACCGCTGCCGGGAATGAGCGGAAATACGGCACGCCGGAACCACCGGAATACGACCTGAGTCTGATTGAAGTGCCCATTTTCATGCACTACAGCCTCAACGATTACCTCGCAGGAACAGAGGCAAAGAAAAAATAATTAGAAAGATAAATTGTCAAAAAAAATCTTAGGACGTGAAGGAGTTTTATGCAAAGTTGAAGGGAGGCACGGTGAAGTTGCTGCAAGTGCCTCTCAAGACCTTCAACCACCTTGACTTCATGTGGGCCAACGAAGCCAAAAAATACGTTTATGACCCAGTGATCTTGGCCCTGAAAAAGGGCACCTTGATGGCCAAGGAGAAGGCTGAGGAGCGACTAACCAAGGAAAGACTGAGTCAGGACATGCAGAATTTGTCTGCCTCGGCGACCGCGCAGAAAGAGATGGTGACCCAGAAATACAAGGAACATGTTCAGCCAACCATTAGTCTCCTTGTGCGACAGCTCCAGCAGGTGATTTTTTTTCAAAATTATAATAATCAAGATTTTTACAAATGATATTGTTTAAAATTTATATATTAAAATTTTCATTTAAATTTTATCTAATAAACTGCAATTTTTTGTAAATTTATTTTAAATATAAATTAATTAGTACATTTTGTAAACATGATTCTTTCACGCAGTTGAATGAGCGCCAAGTGAGTGCCGAGTTGACCTACCGCTGGGCCCCAGACCTCATTGGGCAACTTAAAAAACTGAAGCGGCGTGTGGCGACAGTTGAACGAGACAGGAGCTCCAAAATAGAGGCTCTCGAGAGCGAGAGAGCTGGACAGCAGCAAGAATGGTACCATTCAGCCATCAGCAGGGTCAAAAGGTACCCAGACCTGCTGGTGGTCAAATCGGCGCCGCTGCTCGATAGGATGCTCTCAACACTAGCGCATAAAGTGAACGAGACGGCTGCACAGGCTAAGCAAAGTCCTGCAAAACGGGAGGAGCAGGCGGCCAAAAAGTAGAAGACAAGAAACGGACATTGAATTTACTATGCTAAAGATTTTGAAACTTAAATAATACGTTAATTCTGAATCTGGCTAAGCTAATTATATTAAAATATTTAATGAAAACAAGAATTAAATGAAAGCGCAAATAAATTTGAAAAAATGTGTGCATATTTTCCTGCACTTTATTTTTTTTTTTAATTTTTTTCTGGATCTCATATTGTTCTTAAACAATTATTTCATGGCCACCAATGAGCTTTTGTGTTCCAAGCACTAAAAACTATCACAAAATTGTTCAAATTTTTTTTTTCAATTTAAAATTTTGCTAATTATAATGTTTTTTAATCTGGCGTAGGGCAAAGTTTGATCGAGTTTTATAATTTCAAAATTTTAATAAGTCATTTAAATAGTGGCGTTAAAATAATTTTGTTTTATTGCCTGCAAATATGGAGCATTTTTAATCGCACTACCAGAGAGTACCGCAACCTGCGCTGCATGACTGCTTAGCGGTGCAGCATTTCTTTCATTGCCAGTTAAAGACATAAAGTGGTAATAATTTATATTTGACAAAGATTCTAAACCCGGCCTCAACATCGTTGAAAAGAATGAAAACAAAAAATAAAAAAAGGCAAGGCTGCTGGTATTTTGAATAAAAATACAAAATACAGAAACTCTTTTAGCAAATGAGTCAAACAACATTTTCATATAATGTGATTTATCCAATAAATTCATGGGCTATGAGCCCAAAGATTTTTTCAGCACATTCAAAGCAACCTGCCAAATTTTCTTGCACTTTTAATATAGAATAACAATACATATTATTTAAGTTATAATAAAACAACAAAATACAATTTTATGACACTGCGGCTTTCATCATTTCCGATATTTGACAAATCAGTTCAGCCGCGTGCGTGAGCGCTACAGTCACGCTCTCATCGGAACTGTCCTGAATTCAGCCAAAAACTAGCTCGCTGTGCGACCACCACAGCGGCATTGCATTATATTCAGGATGCGCAAAGCCATCATTTAAAAAGTTTCATTCGTGCCCAACGCAAATATTTGAGCCACGACTACCTGATCCATAGTGCCATAAACTTAAGTACAGGCCATCACCATGAGTATTTTTTCCTCGGAAAAAGCCATTTTCCTTTTGGGAATTATGATTGGAAGTTTCACATCAACTGCTTTTTACACAAACTGTTTCTGGCTGTTTGGTGAAAACGAGAGGTTTATATTATTTTGTTTTAAAAAGTGATGAAAATTTAATCTTTTCTGTCTCATATTAGAATGTTAAACAAGTTAAAAACTGACAAACAAAAGGTTGCAACGATCGCTCGCAAAGATGTTGAAGTTAATCTTAAAAAATTGGAACATGCGGCCACAAATATTAAAGTTCAGCAACTGAGCAATCACCAGCGACTTTTCTGTTGGGTCATGACACATCAAAATAATCATCAAACTAAAGCATCAACTGTAAGAGCCACGTGGGGGCGATTCTGCGACACAATTTTGTTTATCAGTGATGGCCCTCAAGGTAAATTTTTTTTGTCAACTATTAGCAGCAAATAATTGAAAGTGATAAAAATTTCACTTCGCAGATATAAATTTTCCAATTGTTCATGTTGATGCTCCAAATGGCCGTTCGGGTCTTTGGCACAAAGTTCGAGCCGCTTTCAGACTCATCCATGAGAAGCATGCGAATAAGTTTGACTGGGTTTTGAAGGCCGACGATGACACGTAAATTATTTTACTATTAATTTTTTTGGTCAAATTTTAAAATAAAATTTAAGATTTGTAAACGTTAATTCGCTGAAACAGCTGCTGGCATCGTACAACCCTGAACACGCTCTCTTTTTTGGGGAGCCTTTAATTGGACATGGTTCAGAAAGCGAGTACATGGGTGGAGGAAGCGGATATATCCTGAGCAAGGAGACTTTAAAACGATTCATTCGTCTGTTGGATGATCCCAGAAGTGACGGTCAAGTTGGTTGCGACCGAAATTCAGCTACCTCAGGCGAAGACCCTTTAATTGGTTATAGCTCCCCAGATTAAAATTTTTTTTGCTAATCTCCTTTTTAAGATACCTTTAAATAATAATTATGTAGACTAAAATTTTTAAATTACCAATAATTTAATAACAAAATCCCAAACCTGGCAAACCGTGGCTTAAGTTCTAATTAAATTCTCGTTAATGTAGATTTAAAAAAATATAATGATACGTAGTACTCACCGCGTCTTCATTTCTTAGCCAGGTGCCTTTACATGCTGAACGTCACCGGCGTTGATGGACGGGACTGGACGGGAATGAATAGGTTTTCGCAGCATTCTGGTCCCACAAGAGGCGGCGGCTGGATCCAGGAAGATTTCTGGTACAAGAGATTTCAAAAATACACATCCACAATGAAAGTGCGCAATTTTTGAATTCCAAATTATATTTTACGAACGTAATAATTATTTTATACAGAATTACAATCTGGGCTGCTGTTCTAGTGTGTATATTTCATATCACTATGTACAACCGCCAATGATGCACCAGTTCCAGTACCTGACTTTCAAAGTCAACCCAATCGACACAAGCTCAGTTGTAAGGAGAGCGTAAAATGATGGAAAGCACAAAATAAAGATAATTATTTAATACTTTTTATGTTATTGGGTAGGAGTAAAAAATGAAATAGTGTAAATAATTTAACTAGATTATTCACATGCACTTCTCAAGTCGTTTGGAGTCTCAAATTTTGATTTTTTAACTGGATATTCCCAAATTTCAAGCATGATTAGAAATTTTATTAATAAAAAAAAATAATAAATAAAAATCTCAATGCAGAGAAATCAAGAATCAACTTTGATGTTTTGACCAGTTTTGACCTTTACGGATTCAAACTCATTGTAAAATTCCAAAGCGCAAAATGGAACTTCCTCTCTTCTGGCTGCATTTTATACTTTTTCTATTTTTTTTTAGTTTCACCTTCAAGCGCATTTTTCACTTAAAAACTGTAATGGGGAATACCCAATAATTATACTGTCGACCCTAATTAAATGAATCTAACGTGTCGGTATTCTCAATGTCAATACCATAAAAAAAACTCTGATTATGTTGTGCAAAGATGATCTTCTGATAATATATGTTCTCCTTGGTTAAGGTTAATAATTGCATTCTATTTATTAAATTATGGTGTGCTGACTGTTTCTAAGTCAATAATTATGCAACTGTTTCACTGTTTTGAGCTGTTTGAATTTAAAAGGTGCGTATGAAAGAAAAATAATTTTCATTAATTAATTTCATCTTTAGCGACAAAGATCTGCATGCCTATTATTTAACTTATATAATTCAATACAATTTGAAAAGTCAACCCAAATGAATATCTTGAGTGAGTAAATAAATAGAAAAATTAAAAAAAAAAAAAAAAAAAAAAACTGCTTCATAATTCTTAAATGCGTTCCTGTAATTTCTATACATATTAAGATTAACTGTGATCTAAATAAGATATATGTTCTAGTCAGAAATTTAAAAAAAATTTCACCTAATATTAACAAAACAATTTACGACTTTTTCTGTTATTAACCTTTTTATAATCGCCAATCTATATCACAAGAAGATATTGGGAGTATCTCATAAACAGGTAAAAATTTAGTGGTGCGTCGCTTGAAAGGGATTACTCTAAATTATAGTACGCACTTAAGAGATACAAATTAAAATTGTTGAATTGTTCTGCTCAGTGTCAACATTGTGAATGATGCGACACAGTGTGCAATCAAGTGCATCAGTTAGTATGACCAGACAACAAGAAGATATTGTGCGACGCGATGGGAGTGTCGGGAAACAAACGCTTTCAAACAAAAGTCACCGATTTCTTGAATGCTGGGCATAAAACTATTAAAAGATGCAATAAAATGAACAATTGTTTTGCTATAGTGCTGTGATTAAGCTTTTAAAAAACAATATAATTAATTGCTGAGAGTGCCGCTATCGGTGAGCAACGCACGCGTTGATTACAAAAACTATACGACAAGAGGAGTTTTCCGTTAAATAAACACCAAATAAACATGCGTAATTTTGTATCTCTATTTCGCAATAAAAATTCACGTGAAAAAGAAGAGATCAAAAGCTTTTCAAAAGGGCTTTATTGCGATTATGAAAATCTTTAATTACTTTGACGTGAATTGGGTTCGCCTATCGGATTTGCAGGGGAAATGCCTGGTAACTTATACACTTGTAGGCTATTATCAACTTATATGACTCAATAATTTCATTTTAGTTCGAGGAAAAATAAAATGGGGTCACCTGTGTATCTGCTCGCTTCTTTATATAAATGCGCAGATCTTGCAGAACAAAATAATTGTACTTTTGCCGCCTAAAGGCGACAACTTGCAAACATGGTCGTCTGGAAGAGTTGTCTACTAGCATCCTTGTGGGTCTGCTTGATTTTTAATAAGGTATTAATTTATTTAGAAAAGTTAAATTCAATTTTATTAAATATTTACTAAGAGAGTTATTTGTTAGAATTTGAAAATAATAATTAAATTACAGGCTCAAGCTGATGAGCTGGAGAGTCTAGAGAACTTTTTAGAAGAGACGGTTATGTACGAAGAAGACGATGGAAAAGTTTTGGTCAACCTTTTCGACACACCAAGAGGCGTTCGAAACTTAGCACCAGTTTTCGGCAATTTCAACCCCAATCTGCGGCTTGATACGTGCAAACTTCTGGGGGAGGGCCGCTTTCCAGTATACGGCGACTGCTCGAAATACCTTGAATGCGCCAAAAACGAAAACTCCTCATCCTACACAAGGCGGATAGTGCAATGCGACTACGAAATGTGGTTTAAGTATGAAAATCTGAAGAAAAAAATTTATTTTTTTCGCATCCAACTTATATTTTTATTTATTAAACGCAGCGTGCAAGAGAAAGTGTGTAATTTGCGGAGATCTGAAAACTGCCCGTTGGGTCGTTTGGTACCGAACGCGATGGTGATCCACGACCAAAATCCAGCGCAAAGCACCGAGAGAAGCGCATCTCAAGATGTTTGCAAAGCACCAGGATTCTTTCCACAACCAGGATGCCGAGGTTTCATTCATTGCCGAGCGACCACTTCAGGCTTTGAGAGATCCGAGTACTTCTGCAGCGGACAAGGCTTTCTTTGGAACGAAAAAAATTACACTTGCGCTCCAGAGTCAGAAGTTACTTGTTCTGTTCCTTGTGAGTAAATTTAAGTAATTAAAAAAAAATCATTTTTTGCTCACAATCATATAAGTAAATGAAGAAACGTGCCTTCGAGAGTGCGTCGTGGGAGACAACAGGACTTGCCGTTACAATTTCATTGTGCACGAGTTTGTTAGCATGAGCAGTGTCCACTGCGGCAACTGCCCGCGCAACCTGGATGATTGCAACTTGCCAGGTTGCATCACCGCAGGTGGTCTATCAAAGCCCTTGATTGCCATTAATCAGAAAGTTCCTGGACCCACAATTCAAGTAAAAAAAAAACAAAACATAAAGATTAAATATATTAAAAAAAAAAAAAATACATAGAAATAATCGGAAATTTAATTGTGGCTAATTTTTAATGCTTCTGTTTATTAACAAAGATTTTATTTCATTTTAATATTCCAGGCCTGCAAAGGTGACACTTTGGTGATTACCGTGCAAAACAGGCTGCCAAGTTCAGCGGTAACAATTCACTGGCACGGTTTGCACCAACGCAAAACCCCTTTCATGGACGGCGTGCCGTACATCACACAATGCCCAATCCACCCCGGCAACACTTTCCGCTACAGCATGGAGGCTGACGTGTCCGGAACCCATTTGTACCATTCTCACATTGGTAATTTCTATATATTTTAATTTTCTTAAATAAAAACTAGTTAATTGAAATAAAAAAGGGCATTTGGAGACGGACGGCCTTTTCGGCGCAATGATAATCAGAGAGCCAAAGAAGTTGGAGCCAGGCTTGACTGGTCGGTACCAAGAAGATTTGCCGCAACACCAAATGCTTGTTTGGCATTGGTTTGAAAGGGCGGCCGACACGGAGAGTTTGGACACGAGGCTGTTGAGTCGGCGTCGAGAAGGTTTTGGTCTGATAATCAATGGCAAAGGTGTGGTTGGACGCAGATTTAATGAATTTGGAAACCCTCTGATATCTCCAATTGAAACGTACCACGTCAAATCTGTAAGTGAAAATTTATTCTCAAAAGTTATTTCTAGCTGTCTATTATAAATAATGTGACCTAAAAAATAATATTAATTAGCCATTTTATTTTAATGCGAGTTATGCGAATATGAGTCAAAATTTCTGACAGTGCGTGAAGAATAGAGCACGTGAGAAAAATTCATGGAGTTGAAAAACTTCGAATCTTGTTGATAATTTCAATTTTATGAGTATAATTATATGGTATAATTTTTTTTTAATAGAAAAAATTTCATGAAAATATCTTTTACATTCATTCTTTGTTCAAAATATCTGATTTTCATAAAATTTATAGGGAGTAAAGTACCGTTTCCGAGCAATTTACAATTCTGCCTTGAACTGTCCTGTGCAAATATCAATCGATGGCCACACACTAGATATTCTTGCAGTTGACGGTCGCCCCATTCACGCAACTGCAACTAGACGTAATAAAAAATTAACGAAATAATAAGTTGCTAATTTTTTTTCGCATTTCTAGCCCAGTCTTTCATATTAAGTGCCGGAGAGCGAGTAGATTTTGTCCCTCGTCCTATTGGGCAAACTAAAAACGCAGCATTTTACGTCCGAGCTCGCGGGCTGAACGACTGCGATGACCAAAAGAACGCGGTTAACCAGTTTGCAATTTTACGGTACGATAACTACAATGGAAAAGTCGAAAACTATCCACCCCCTTCGTACACCAACGCCATTCGATCCGGAATTGTAAGGAAATTCATATAATTATTAGCATGATTAATGTCAAATAAATAAATAAAAAATCAAATTAGACGTTCAACCTGAACCGAGACATTATAAACCCCGTCACCAATTCAAGGATGGTCTCCAGAACGGTTGCCGACCACTATGATGCCAGACCGGGAATTGATCTGAGTCTGAGTGGTACTCCCAATTACAGATTTTACATCGAAGCCAGTTTCAATTTATTCACAGGTAAAGAACTTTTCAATGGAATTTAAATTAGAGTTAAATATATAATGTAAATCAATCAACAGCGGCGGAGGGAATACAGACGGTTTTGCCGCAGCTGAACGGAATTAGCTGGAGCAGCCCTTCTTTCCCGCTTTTGACGCAATCTGAGTTGGTCAACAATGCAACCGTTTGCACCCAATACAACCGCCCTAGTAATTGCCAAAGTCGACTGTGTCAGTGCACGCACACGGTAGAAATTAAAAACGGAGACTTGGTTGAGCTCGTCATTGTGGACCCTCGTAAGTTCAAAACTTTTGATTTGAGCAATTTTTTCATTGCAACTTAAAATTTTCAGTCAAAATTTTATTTAATGTAAAGGCAAGCAATTTAATTAATTTTTTTACGAGCTCTATGAAAGTAGAGCAATGAACAATGATAGAAAAACATTAGTAAAAAAATATTTTTTTAATACTTTATTTATCATGTAAAAAGCAGCCCTTAAAATTATATTTAATTTAAATTTTTGTTTCAATTGTTTGGTTTAACATTAATTAATATTTTTTTAATAACAGGTGGTTTAAGTGACATTGGGCACCCTTTCCACCTGCACGGTTTCGCCTTCCAAGTGGTCTCCCAGTACGCTTTCCAGCAAGCGATTACAATGGATGAAGTTCGCAATCTTGTGGAAAGAAACAGAATCCCCCGAAACCGCGACGGCCCACTGAAAGACACGGTGCTTGTTGCAGGAAGAGGACTTGCCATTGTCAGATTTGTAGCCAACAACCCTGGTAAGAAATTTTGCCTAGTTCGATTAATTTAAGCTAATTAATTTCTATTCTTCAGGTTATTGGCTGTTCCATTGTCACATTTCCGAGCACATGGCCTTGGGTATGGCGCTCAACTTTAAAGTAGGAGAAAACAAAGATATGGTGCCGCCACCAAAGAACTTCCCAAGGTGTGGGAATTATTAGCAATATATATGCGCTCAAATGCTAGAAATAAAATGTAGCTCTGCGCCTCTCACATTATGTGTCTAGCATGTGTTCCAAGTTCAAGGATTTCTATAAAAATTTAATTTTTGTGGAATTATTAAATTTATAGATGAATAGTGAATAATTGTGATTTAAAAAAAAAACTGTGATCAACATTTTGTTACGCTAATAGTGAATGGGAGAAACAATAAAAATGAAATTAATAGAAATTCATACATATATTAATTTCTTTTCCTAGAACACAAAAAAATCACGAGATTGTAATTTTTAGACAATATAAACCTATAGTTTCATTAAACTTCAAAGATTGAAAAAAAATAGAGTTAAAATTAGTTTTGTGTTTAAGTGTCTTTATATTACTTTTTCCTGCTTCAAGTTTAGAGATAACCTTTACTGGCTTACTTTATTTATTCCCTGATTTGCATTATTGTCAAATTCGTTTTTAATTATGTGAACTCCACGTCTCATCTCTTTTTCTCTTCTATAATAATTTCTGTCCATTTGAACATTTTTGTCATCAATTCCATACCATCTAAGAAAAAATAACTAAATATTAAAGAGCCAATTAATTTAAAATTTGTCTTACGTAACTATCTTGTTCTAAAACAATGTGAGGAAATATTTTTATATTTGTCAAAAATGATTAGACCTGACATTTTTTGGACGCGCGCATCAACATTAATAATGTTGCTAATAAACGGCCCAATTAAACGATACAAAAGAGCAATACATTATTTTAATTGTTTTAAAAGACTAAAAATAAGTAATGATGCGCTTTGTACTTACCTTAAAACAAGGCATGCCTCCTACTGGAAACCACTGCAAAATAATTATGCGGTCTGATGGTCATGATATATGATTGTCGCACGATGAAGAAATTTCCGGATTGTGCATTGAGCGTTTACATCGATGGACTTTTTGAAATGTGATGAGATCTCTAGTGCAGACAAATTACGGTCGGAAGTCAAAATTACTATGATCTACTTATCCACTTCGATCGTTTTGACCGGTTTCGACTATGATTAACAGCTGGATCGAGCAACTAGGAGAGGGGATTTTGTACTGAGTGCCCGAAAACGCGGGTGTATCCTGATCCATTATAAGTTGTAAAAATGCATTTCTGCAGATTTTTCATCCCCGCCCTCTGTTTGTGATTTTTATTTGCATATAATAGCATAATAAAACGCAACATTATAGTATTAGGAAGAAGCAACATTTTTTGCATTTTTTGGATTCAGACAAATGATTTTCAATAATTTTGTTTGCTCTTTTGGAACTTTTCTTAAATGAAAAAATTCAATTTTGCAAACCTTCAGTAGTTTTATTTTAACTTGAAAACTCTATTTATTGAATAAATATTTTTCATTTAAGTTCCTTGCATATTTTTTTACAGGAAATAATTTCTATGAATTTTAATTTGAAATTCACGAGCACTCAGCAATACTGCGCACATAATAGAAATTGTTGATATAAATAATTTCAAATGGATAAAAAAAATGGATAAAATTTACTTTTCTTTTTGTTTTACTCGGTTTTACTGTTGGCAATCCTGGAGAGTCACAGGAGTCACTGGAGGTTGGTGGTTGGTCGCACTGGGCGAGAAGAGACAAGAGACGCCATCGTTCATCATTGATTCTTCTTTCCCGAAGCCGATTTCTCGCCAATTCATCCTCCTCACAGCTTTATAACTCGGTAAATACGCTTTTATGATTGAAATTATGAAACGTTTTACACTCTAGAATGTTTAAATCACTCTTACAAGCCTGAAAATCATGTATTTTCCCGTAAAATCAGATTTTAAGTGACCGTATGTACACCGGGCCTGCTAACACATTGCACAAAATTTAAAAGATTTTGTTGATTTTCTCGTTATATTTTCTATTTACTTACTGGATTATTTCTCTGCAGGAAATGGGTGACAGCGACGACGAGTACGATAGGAAGCGAAGGGATAAGTTTCGTGGAGAACGCACCGAGAGGTCGACAACCGACAGATCGGAGAATTTCAGAGGCGGCGGGGGAGGAGGTGGCGGTGACCGGCGTGGCCCATCTAGAGACGATTGGGGAGACAAGTGAGTTTTCGTCTGCAAATAATTTAATTTATACATCACCATACACGCAATTCAAATAAGCTGAGCTTTGTCCAATTTTCGATCAGCTTGCCGTCTGCAAGAAAAATGGACAAGGGCAACTTCCCAGAGTTCGACCTTTACGAGGCCAAGCGTTTCAAAGAGAGAATCAACTTTCAATATCAAAACAAGTATGGCCGAGGGACTCTGTGTTTTTCAACCTATCAGTTTTTGTGTGAATGACTAGACTAGATGTATTGAAAATATTAACTTTTATTAGCACACTTTTCAAAGTTTTCCCAGCAAGTTTGGCCTCTGTTTTTTTTTCACATGTTAATATTTAATTATGTTTACACATTTTTTAGATCTGGGCGCTGATTTGGTTATTTTTCTGCCATTTTCCCCTCATTTTTACCTATTGAGAGCTCGTTGAGACTTAAATTTGTTTTTTTATTTGCCCATTTCTAGTGACTGGCAGAGTAGTCGAGGTCGAGGCCCTCCTAATTACGGAGAGTATCGACAGTCAGGTGGACGAGGCGGAGGACGAGGAGGCGATCGTTTCAGCCCTCCTTCAAGATCACACGACATGGGTCAACCACCTGTAAAGAGAAGCAGAAATGACTGGTAATAATTTTTTCCAGTTTATCTTGTCATTAGTCTTAACTGAAGTTTTTGTGTGGCACAGTTTCTTTTAATTGAATTAATATAAAACAATCTATTTTTAGGGGTGAAGAAAGACGATTTGTGCCTGACTCAGGGTATGGAGGTTATCAAAACAATCCTTGGGGTCCAGGAAATCAGGAGAGCCACTTTTCTCACCACGGGGGTGGTGGTGGAGGAGGAGGTGGTGGTGGTGGATCAAGGTAAAAGTAACATTTACTTTGGTTAAGACTAGATGTTAATTGCTCTCTTGATTATAGCAGGGATTCTGACGGCTTGACACAGCCACCAATGATGTCCTTTAAGGCATTTTTGCAAACCCAGGATGACAACATATCTGACGAGGAAGCCATCCAGAAATTCAACGAATACAAGCTTGAGTTTAAGCGGCAACAACTCAATGACTTCTTTGTCAACCACAAGGATGAAGAGTGGTAGGTTTCCTTATTTAGCCTTCCTTTTCCTCCTGCATGCAGTCGATAGTTTGAACTAGTTTCGAATTTGGACTGCAGCTGGAAAATACAACCCTAATCCAGCAAAACATGATCAAATCTCTTGCAGGAATATGACCATCACAAAGAAAATTTTTGCTTGGTGTTTCGTTCAATCCTACTTAATTTCACGTGTGACGACATGAAAGAAATATGCATAGTTTATAATGTGATATAAGTGAAACGACGAAATTAGGGAATGTTAGGGACTGCTGTGCGCAATGCAGCAGACTATTAGCTTAGATTTACCGCCGCCATGACTGGCGACTGAGTACAGGTGAGATCCTTTTGGGAGCTGTAAAATGATTCTGCCATTTTTGTGTAAATTTGCATTTTGGCATCACATGGAATTTTTTCAAAGAGTATAACAGCCATAACGACAATATTAAATGCTTATTGGGTTTCAAATTTTCAAAGTATTTGTTCTTACCATGGCTGTTTTTTTACATCTGACAGGTTCAAGATTAAATACCATCCTGAGGAGTCTGTTAAGCGGAAAGAAGAACTGAAGGCAGCATTAAATGTACTATTAAAAATTTATTCTTCACTTATTACTAATGATAAAAATGTAGAATCGTGTGAAAGTTTTCTTGGACTGCTTGGAAAAGGATTGGTTTGCCAAGATTTCTGTTGACAGCGATCAGTCTGAGCAACTGGTCAAGTTGCTGGACTCGATTGTAATCAAGCTCGAAGGTGGCACTGACTTAGACCTGAAGGTGCTGGAAGAAGCTGAGAATGCTGCAAAAGAGTATGAAAAGAAAAAAGCTGAGGCTGCAAAAATCGAAGTTTTGAGGAGGAAGTCCGAAGAAAAGTAACTATTTAAATATTAGGGAATACCTAATTTAACTGTAAAATTGCAGTGAAAAGAGCAAAGAAGCTGAAGAGAAAAGCACTGGAGAGCCGAAAGAAGAGGGAGAAGAAACCAAGAAAAAGGATGAAGCAGTCGAAATTAAGAAAGAACCCGGAGAGGCAACTGAAAAAAAAGAAGAAGGTATAAAGATTCTTTACATTTAGAAAGTATAAAGTCTTATACTTTTTTAAAGTGGTTGAGAGCAAGCCTAGTAGAAAGCGCAAGCGGGAGTATCATTCTGACAGTGGCAGTGAGAGTGAAAATGAAGATGCATTATCTCAACATTGTAAGATTTTTAATCATTTCATTATTTTTATTTTGAATAAAAATATTTTTTTTTAGCGGCTGCCGAAGAAATATCAAAGGACACCTCCATGGAAGATTGTGAGGCAAAGGAAACTGTGAAGAATGGGAAAGACGAAAAGGAATCTGATGGTGAAGCAGAAGAAGATAAGAAAGAGGATGACGCTGAAAAAGAACAGAAAAAGCCAAACGAAGAAGAGCCTAAAGAGGAGATTGTGAAGCCCCGTTGCCTTCACAAAACTGCTTCCATCTTCCTGAGGAACTTGGCTCCAACCATCACTAAACAAGAAGTTGAAGCGGTAAAAAAAGATATTCTGTCACATTACGAATCTTACAAAGAAAAATAAACATTTGCTTTTAGATGTGCAAGCGTTATCCTGGCTTCCTTAGAGTGGCCATAGCAGATCCACAACATGACCGCCGTTGGTTCCGCCGTGGATGGGTTACTTTTGAAAGGAACGTCAACATCAAGGAAATTTGCTGGAATTTGAACAATATCAGAGTGAGCATTGAAAAACATTCTTAAAGACACTTTTCAAACAACCAAATCTCAGCTCCGTGATTGCGAATTGGGAGCCATAGTTAATCGTGACTTGAGTCGTCGAGTGCGCACTGTCAATGGAATCACGTCCCACAAGCAAGTTGTTCGCAACGATATTAAATTGGCTGCAAAGATCATCCAAAACCTGGACAAGAAAGCCTCCCTTTGGGAAGATGAAAATGATAAGGATTCCAAAGCTGAAACACCAGTATGATTTAGGTTTATCAATAAAAAAAGTAATTTTTTAATTTCCTATATCATTTGCAGAGCTTCGGATTGGTGTCCAAGAATCCGGTCATGAAAAATATAACGGATTACTTGATTGAGGAAGCCTCGGCTGAGGAAGAGGAGTTACTTGGCCAGTCATCTGGCGATGGTGAGGCTGGTGGGGAGGGTGACGAGTCCACATGCACCATCGACAGAGATGAAACTTTGCTCAAGGTGTTGGACCGACTTTTGTTCTACTTGCGCGTTGTCCACTCGGTTGACTATTACAACCACTGCGAGTATCCGAATGAAGATGAAATGCCCAACCGCTGTGGGATTATGCATGCTAGAGGAACTCCCCCTTCCTCTAAAGTAAGCTTTCAATTAAGCAAGTGACAAGCGAATTAAATTTTAAAAATTAACTATGCCAGGTGGTACAGCAGGAAATATCTGATTACTGTCAAACTTTCGAGACAAAAATCGCCTCATTCCTGCAGCCAGTCGTAAAATTGTCTGACGAAGAGTTAAATAAACTGGGCGCTAAAGCCCCTGATTCCGAGGTTGAAAAATTTGTCGTCTCCAATACCCAGGAGCTGTCAAAGGATAAGTGGCTCTGCCCCCTTTCGGGAAAAAAATTCAAGGGTCCCGAGTTTGTAAGGAAACACATTTTCAACAAGCATGGAGAGAAAATTGACGAAGTCAAGAAAGAGGTGCTGATTTGAAACAAAATTTTCCAGTGGCTCACGTTCATTTTTTTATTACGGCTTAGGTTGAGTATTTTAACAACTACCTTAAAGATCCAAAGAGGCCTCAGCTGCCTGAGCATCCAGGCAATAGAGCTCAGAAGCGTGAGCATCCAGGAGATAGAGAGTCTTTCGGAGGGGGATCTGGAGGATTTGTGCCACAGTAAGCTTCAGTTTTATGAATTTTGTTTTGATATTTTCTATATCCAATTTTTCAGACGCTTTGGAGGAGGCTTTGGTGGCGGTGGATACAATAATTACGGTGGCGGCCGTAACTTTGGAGGAGGTGGCGGTTACCACCGCGAGCCTTACCGTGAAGCTTATTCACGTCCGCCTCGTGGACACTTCAATCGAGGTGGAGGCAACAGGTGAGGAAATTTATAAAATTAAAACGAAAGATATCTAGCAGTCTGTTTTTAAAATCCCTATCCATTTAGTATGTAATTTGGAGAGACACGGATCTCACTGATTTTTTCAGGGTGCCCCTTCTGGACGATAAAGTTATCAATAGACCAGTCATTGAGTATCAGGACCTTGACTTTCACGAAGACAAGGAATTCTTCTAAAATATTTTTTTTTTTTACTTTACGCCGTTGTCACTTTCATCTTTTAAATTATTATTTTCCTTTTCGTGTGGCGCAGCCTAGATAATTCTTTATTTTGTCCTATTGAATGTGTGGCAACTTGATGGTGTTTGGTTGCAGAGGGGGGGACTACCGACCTGTTGTCAACTACAGAGACTTGGATGCCCCTCGTGAACCAGAAGAATTTTAAATGTTTGATTGTTCAACTGCAGCTTCAACCCACAGCTTTCTGCAGTTAGCTTTGTCTTCATGTTACACAATTGTATTATTCTTTGTTCCTAAATTTTAATTTTTTCGGAACATAAATTATAACCTTTGATCAATAAAAAAGCTCTTAGAACTCTCCAATTTGTTCAAAATTTTTTTCTATGTCGTGTTCAAAAGTTAATATTATGTAGTTCTCAACCGGTTCACACAATTAAAAAAAAAAGAACTAACATGAAAAATGCTTTTATATTCAATATTTAATGTAATATATAAAAAAGGTGAAATTAATGTCAGAATCAGTCAAAATGCAGCTTTTTTGTTAATGTTTGTTATTTCTCCGGTGGTGACCATTCAGCTAGATAAATTTTTTAACATCAAAATGATTAAAAAATGTGGAATGTCGCTTGTTCATACGCTGCTAATTTTTTTTTTAGGAAAATTTTTAAAAGTGGCCGCGAATTATAACCGTACATACACTACGCAGCTCAAATGAGTGTGCTGCAGGGTGTGTGCAGTGCAACGACCTCAGCAGTGCCTGGCAGTGCCAAATCGACAACACGTCTGGCTTGTTGTGTGATGGGTTGGCTAGCTTCCCCTCCCTTTTTAGCCGGAGCGAGGACCGCGAGTGAAAGAAGTTGAGCGAGTCAGTCAATCAAGTACCGTTGTGTTGTGAGCGGTGCACGGTCAGAAGCATAGTCGCACCTCAAGTTGTAAGTCACGTCGGCCGGTCTCTCAGCCAGCCAGCTCTCAACGATGACCCTGAAGAAGAAGACCTCAACCAAGAACCCTCCGATCCTGAGCCACGAGTTCGTCATTCAGAACCATGGCGACATCGTGTCCTGCGTCGCGATGCTTTTCGTCGTTGGGCTCATGGTGCAGGTATGTTGGCATATGGCTAAAGTGCCACATGGACACCCTTCTGACTTAACCTAATGTTGGTGTTCCGCAGGTCACTTCGCCTCTGGCCTACATGTTCATCGCTCTGCACCACAATGTGACCAGCACAGTTCAGGACACCAGCTACGGAGTGCCCATCGAGGTCCTTCGCTACACCTACGGCGCCAAGGATGCTTGCGCTGTCTTCTTCTATTTCCTCATCTGCATTGTTATGCACGCAATAATTCAGGAGTACATTCTTGATGTGAGATATTTTTTCTTTTATTGATTATTTTGATGATCAATGTTCTATAAAAATTTTTGCGTAGAAATTCAGCAAGAGGCTTCACCTTTCAAAGTCAAAGCAGAGCAAATTCAATGAATCTGGACAGCTGTTGTTCTTCTACGTCATCTCTTTCCTCTGGGCTGGAGATATCATGTTCAGGTATTACTTTTTCCATAATTTATAAAATTTTATTGACCTAAAAACCATACTTTCCATTTTCATCACAACATTAAATTAATCAATTTCAGGGAAAATCTGCTACTGAATTTGTCGTCCTTGTGGCTCAACTATCCACATAACAGCATGGTTTTCACCCTGAAATTCTTCTACATCATCCAGATTGCGTACTGGCTTCACTGCTATCCTGAGCTTTACTTCCAGAAGGTGAAAAGGGAGGAAATTATCTCTAAAACTCTGTATCCTACCCTACACCTTGTGTTCATTATTGGAGCCTACCTGCTCAAGTAAGACCGAATTTCCACACAAAGGATTGCAGTTAAATCAAATATGTTTTTTTCTTAGCTTCACTCGTGTTGGAGTTGTTCTTTTGAGTTTGCAATATCTTGCTGAGACTTTCTTCCACGCCGCCAGACTGATCTACTTCTCTGATAAATCTGAGAATGGAAGAAAAGGTATCAATCGTGCTGCATGTTTTTTTTTTAGATATGAACTAAAAAAATAATGTTCACAGGTGGATATACCCTGGCCAACATTGCTTTTGTGGTTGCTCGACTGCTCACTGTGACCATCACTGTCCTCACTTTCTGGTACGGACTGGCCCTTAGCACTGCCACTGCCCTTGATTTTGAGACCGGCAACTTCAATACTGAGGTTATTCGGTAAGTTTTGAAAGAAAAGTGTTTGACAGAGAATAATCCTATTTGTTTTTTTCAGGATTGGCAGCTTGACCATCATTTCAATTCTGCAAGCTTGGCTCATGTGGAACTTCCTCACATTCTACCTGCGTTATATTAAGGAGAAGTCGTCTGGTAAGCAGAGGCCCAAACCCACTGCAACTCGCAAGTCGAACAAGACCGTGCAGGATAGAATCACAAAAGCCAAGAAGAAGAGGGAAGAACGTAAGTGTATTTTCTTATTTGTTTTTTATAAATTCATTTTAATCCCATAAAATTAGATTAAAAATTAATGATCTACTAACATGATTGCAGAGAAACAAAAGGAAGACGATGATCTGCCTGAGGTTGATCAGAACACCAAGAAAAACCTGCGTTCCCGCCCTGCCGCTGCTGCACAAAAGGCAAAGTAAGCACCATGTCTCATCCCGTCCGACGTTCTCATGAAACTTTCACGCTCTCCATATTTTTCAAAGTGAGCTCAAACTATCAACAAAATGGACTGAACGCGTTGTCATTTTGTTAAACCGTTCAATTTTTTATGCTAATAATTTGGTAAAGAGCTCTCTTTTCCTCTCATCAATGGTGCGCAATTTGACCGAGATAGTTGATTATTTTTTATTTTTATACTTGCGATATGTTGACTTTCCAAAGTCTTTAAGTTGCAATTAATGAACAATTTTCTTATTAAATGCTTGCAGGGTAATGTGGGAAAATTCAATTGATTAAAAGTCGTGAGACTGAAACGCTAAATTATTTTTGAACTAAATATGAGATATAATTTTGTTGAATACTTGTAAACATTGTTGTGTAAAAAGTTCTGATTTTTCTTCAAACATTTAAAAAAATATCAATCCATTATTACAGCTGTGCTTGAGTATATGTTAAATTTCTTTTAAAAAGAAATGTGCGTGGATTTGATCAGATTCACTTTGAAACTTGTCTTTGTGCATTATGAAAGCAAATGGAATAATAAACGAAGTGAAAAAACTCGTAATATACACAAACACTTTTATTTCTTGCGTGTAAAAATGTAGACGCAGGTGCTGTTAACGCACTCAAGTGGAACCGTTTCCATTGCAACGCACCTGTTGTGAACCAATAGTCGTGCTTGCATGCCGCATTCCTAATTCAAACCAATCCGTCTTCACAAGGGCGCGAAAACAGCAGTCCCAAAGCAGATTTTGATTCTGTCTTATAAAATGTGTTGTGATGGCAGAAGTCCATGTGCTGGGTCAAATCAAGGGCGCCAGGGACTTTGATAAACCCTCCCTTTTTTGCAGGTGGGAATTGCGAACTGGTAAAGTTTCAGTGTATTTGGTCTAAGCATGTTAATATTTATAAATATTTATAGGCACTGGTTGGAAGGTAGTGACAGGTCTGAAAGAGGGACAGACTCAAAGCGACACCCCTTCCTGCAGTAATAGTTGTATTTGGGCTCACCCCATTGACATTCACTTACATACAAAGGGTCTTCAGGGTAACTGGTGCAAATAATTTCACTTTTTAATCACTTTCGTGTATTTTCTTAGATTGGCCAAAATTATTATTTGAAGTTCACCAAGTGGACAAATACGGGCGAAGTGAACTTGCTGGTTACGGCTTTTGCAATATTCCTTCATCACCAGGTCTCCACAACCTAGTTGTGCCTACGTGGAGACCTAGAGGTTTCCTAGAATTATATTTTCTTAAATCTATATGAAAAAAAATTTTAATCAGGGTCGGCCAGAGATCGATTCCGTCAGTTTTTTCTTGGCGGGAGCACACAGTTAACTGAACCTAACCTAGTGTGCACCAGCGAAGACCGATACCAGTTGTCTACAGAATCTATGGGCAACGTTCTTCTAGAGCTTGGAATTGTCTTAAGAAACTTTAAGAACCAAGGAGTTGAAATATGAAAATGCGCCGTACTTTATTTTCTTCCACGATTTTTCTCTTGCTATTAGTGGTGCCATTTGTGCTAAGCCAAAATGGAACAGAATTTGCTGAAGATGAAGAAGAGACCACGGAGGAAATCTATGACGAAGCAGAATTCAATGCCACTGAAGCTGTTGTTGAAAACGGTACAACGTATATTGATGTTAATATAACTGAAACACCTCCAGCAAATATTACTGAAACAACCAGCTCACCAAATACCACATTAAATGGAACGTATTTATCTGCAACGCCAGTTCCAACGACCACAAGCACTATTCCACCCATTCACTTTCCTGAGCGGGCTGTTGGGCAGTGGTTTTGCGCCTGTGACCTTCAGGTGGAAATAAATTTTAAAAATGTTTGCAAAAATTTGAAAGTGCCCTTTAATTAGGTTGGAGTTTGTGATGCAAACTGCTGTTGTGACCGAGATTGCTCCAGATTTGATTTGACTGCGTTTCCTTGGTGTGACAGAGTGAAGGAACATCCTGAGGAAAAATGTAAAACAAATGGGTTTCTGTGTATCTTCAAAGACAATGCGCCAGAAAGACTTTGGCTGAAAAATCCAAAGGTATAGTTTAAAACAAATTATAGTTGACTTTTTTGAACTTATAATTACTTGTCGATTTTATTCAGATTTCTCAAACCATAAAAGAATTTGATTCATTGGCTGCCATAGCTCCTAAGTGGAGTTGGCCTGAGCAAGAGGCTCTTACAAGCAAGCCAAAATTCTATGCCACTAGAAAATATAAGGCTGGAGACGTTATTTGGTCCACTCGAGACAATAAAACCATCGAAACATTTGGTAGGTGTATCAGCAGCGTTTGCAAATCGGTCACATTTAATAAAAAAACTTTAGCGCTACCTTTGATTGGAAGGCAGTGCTTTCAAAACAAAACTGTACGGTACCTCAACGACATATCAAACTCGTGCGCTACAAATAAAAACAACAAAATCCTCTTGAGCGACTATTTCAAAGGACTGGCATTACTTGCTGACACATCTGTGCCCATTGAGAACCAGACAGAGTCTTGGGTGCAAGTAAAGCAGTACATCTGTATAAATGATTCTATTGAAAACTGCACGGAGAATGCAAGCAATGTGAAGGTTCAAAGAATTTTATTCCATATTTTCCATAACGGGACTCAAGGAATTGCAAGTGCCAAATTATACATGTGGAAAGCTGATGAAGAGGCTGACACAGTCAGAAATATTCAAATGGTATTAAAATGCTTCAAAAATTTAAGAGCTTTAATTTGAAGTACTCATTTTTTAGAATGCAAGGATCACATTTCTTTGGAATGATGTTCAACCACCCGCCAGGGTCAGAAGCGGTTCTCCAGGTTACGTTCCTGGTCTACCAATTCTGACGGGTATATTGAGCAACAACAGGACCACAGTAATAGCTTTGGGTCACTTTAACTTGGCATCTGCTGACAGTAGCGGTAAATGCGATCAAAAAAAGAAGCTTTTGTTTGGGGAGGATATATTAATGACTTGTGACATGCCTCTGAACTGGACGAGCTGCATTGCCGCAGACGCAACGGCAACCCTAGCAGGTCGGTACTTGAATTCAGTGGTCGGCGCGTTTGGTGATTCAGAGGAGGGTACTTTAAACGACTGGATGTCCATCTTAGTCAAGGAACAACCACCAAATGTACCAACCAACTGTCAAATGGCTCCAACAAATCTGGTTATACAAATTCTTTGGGCCAAGGTTGGCGCAGTTCAGAGACCGCAGAACAAAATTGTGGGAATGATGATTTCATTTGGTGGGCATAGAGTTTTAACAGGTGTATCTGCACGACTGACAACTTCAGTTACATTTAAAGAGGTAACTACTGGACTCAAAGGCTTATTTGCGCCACCACCAAAGTACGAAATTCGTTTGCCAAGTGACTTTTTCTATCCTCTTTTTAGCGCAGTTGGTGTTAAACAAGCCAATATGTTAATATTGTGCTTTAGTGCTGTTTTTACATTTAAATTGATTTAGTCACATTGAATATTTTAACTAAGAGTGTCTTGTAATTTTGTAACACAATTGTCTATAACGTCAAAAACGAATAAAATCTTTTATATAAACATGTGAATTGTGAAACGTAAAAGGAGATTTTCCTTTCCTTTCCTTTTTTTTTTTTTTTTTTTTTTTTTTTTCAAGTTTACCAATCATAATTTCAAATTATTTGAAAAAAAAAAAAAAATAACAATCATTGTAGTTTACTAACTCAAACTGTTGTCTCAAGCTGTCTCATGTTCAGCAAAACAGCACCTTTTAGAGTTCCTTTTTCAGTCCTCGTCTTAAATAAGCATTGTGCCCTCGGAGACCAAGGCAGTGTATCTTTATATTCATTGGTCAACAGAGAATCTCTGCCTGGTTTCTTGAAACTTTAACATAAATAAACTGTAATTATCACATAGGGATTTAAAAATAATTAAAATAATTACTCTTTGAGGAGTAAAGACGACAGCACCACAGATACGGAGCTCAAAGCCATAGCTGCAGATGCCATCCATGGCTGCAGTAAGAATCCAAATGGACTGAAGACTCCGGCAGCGATTGGGATTCCAACCAAGTTATAAATGCTGGCAAAAGCAAAGTTGATCCAAATTCTTCTTACGGTTGTCTTCGAAAGTTTTAAAAAGCCAATAATGTCCAACAAATCATCCTATGAAATTCAACTTTTAGAAAAACACTCTTGTTATATAAAATTAATCTAACCCTCATCAGCACAACATCAGCAGCTTCCACAGCAACGTCAGTACCACTAGCAACCGCTATGCCAACGTTGGCTTGGGACAAAGCAGGTGAATCGTTCACGCCATCACCAATCATTGCAACTCTCCTGCCATTCTCCTGGAGCTCTCTGATCTTTGAAACCTGTCCATGAATACATTATTTAATAATACTTTAGGCAGTGTTTTAAATAAAATTTAACCTTTTGGGATGGAAGAACCTCAGATATAACTTCATCAATGCCAGCTTGATGTGCAACAGATTTTGCTGTACGATGGTTGTCTCCGGTCAGCAGAATGACGTCAATCCCCATCTTCTTTAGTGAAAATACAGCCAAGTGGGCCTCTTCTTTAATTTGGTCAGATATACAAATTATGGCCGATACAGAACCTAACATGTATATTAATAACTAGCTCAATCTGCAAAATGACAAGATCGGATCATTACCATTAATAGCAAATAAGACAACAATGTGTCCCTTTTCTTCCTCTTGTTTCATTTTGAAATCTACTATCTCCGAAACTGTGATGTTGTTAAGACCCATCCACTCTCTATTTCCTAGGTGCACTTCATAAGAGAAAAAACCATCTTTGTAGACGCTTTCAAATAATTGGTCAATAACTTCAGAGTTAAGAGAACCATTGAGATAAGTTACATCAGTTCCTCCAATTTTCCTAGGAAAATTTTAAAACCATATTTTATAATAGTTTATTTTTTGTTAAAATTATGCTTCTCTATACCTGTCTTGGTTACTGAATTTCAACATGGAAAGATTCAGTGTAATTTTTCTTGCTAAATTGTCCACCCCGGAAACAACGCATTTCAATCCTTGCCCAGGTATTATCACAAACGCCTCCGCCAACCCTAGATGATCCACTTCACTCACTAGACGTTTGATGTAGTTTGTTATGGCTAAAAAATAAAGATAATGCACACTCTGGCACAGTAATTTATAATGCTAATACCTTTTCCAATTGGGTGCTCGCTTCCGCTTTCAGCCGTTCCGAGGATGGCCATCAATTGCGCAAATGAAAGAACAGACTCTTTGGCGCAAAGATAGATTGCAGACACAGCAGCTTTACCACAAGTGATTGTACCAGTTTTGTCAAAAACAATTGTGTCAACCTATTCAAAATCTTTATTGCAGTCCATTAAATCTTAAAAACGTACCTTCTTTGCTTTTTCAAGCGTTTCAGCGCCTTTGACTAGAATTCCGTTTTTTGCGCCGACGCCAGTGCTGACCATTACAGCAGTTGGAGTTGCAAGACCAAGAGCACAAGGACATGCAATAGCCAAAACGCTCAATGCACACTGAAATGCATACTGGACGATTGCTTCGTTCTTGTTGCCCAAAATCTGGATTAGAAAATAAAATAAATTAGAAAATTTTGAAACAGGTTTAAAATAAAATTTAAACATATACCTTAATTGGAAGATATGAAATGTCTAGGTACCCGACTGCAATCCATCCAACCAAAGTTGTAATTGACACAACCAGTACAAATGGGACGAAAAATCTTGCAATCCTGTCTGCTATCTTCTGAATGGGAGCCTTTGACGTCTGCGCTTCTTCTACCAGTTGGACAATTTGCGAAAGCATTGTCATTTCTCCAGTATGTGTGGCTTTGATGATCAGTAGTCCATTACCATTGATAGATCCACCAATCACACAGGATGCTTAGAATGTTTTTATTTTATTTTTTGTCATACGAGCTGCAATTTCAGTAGTTTATTTACAACACCAACCTTCAGACTTTGAGACAGGCATGGACTCTCCAGTTATGAGTGACTCGTCAACTTTGGAAGTCCCACGCAGAACAACTCCATCCACCGGCACTTTTTCCCCTGGAAGCACCTTCAGTACATCTCCCTCGATGATAAAGTCCACAAATATGATCCTTTCCGAAGTTATTTCTAGGTTCTGTCCTAGGGTAATAAGATGAGCCTCTTTAGGAGCCATCATGAGTAGTTTTGACAAGGCCTCTGACGTTTTGCCCTAAAATGTCACATGAAGTTTAATTTAAAAAAAAAAAGATGCAATACCTTAGCAATGCTCTCCAACCAACGACCAAGTGCAACAAAAATGAAAAGCATTGGAGGCACATCAAAGAACGTCATCGGACTTGTTTGCTTCTGCAGGTACATGTAAATGGACACTACAATAACTGAGTAAGTGTAAGAAATGAGAGTGGCCATTGTAATCAGCAGGTCCATGTTGGATGAACAATGTGCAAGCGCCTTCCAAGCTCTTACGTAGAAATATCTTCCTCCAAGAAACTGTCAAATAAAAATTTTAAAGCAGGAAGAATTAATCTAGGTTTTAATTTTACCTGAGTGGGCGTTGAAAAGATGAACAAAAGAAGGTTTTCCAGTGAGAGTCCAGGCATAATCATGTATGGATGGTGGTGGTCAGAAAACCACATGAAGTACATCATAATCAGCATTGTCGGAACTCCAAATATCAAGCAGATCAGGAATGACTTTCTCCACTTGGCACTCTCCTTCATTTTTTTTAAATTAGCTGATTGCAGATTTTTGTAAGACTAATACTGCACCATTTGCTGAGAAACATGCTTGGTTGTTTTAATGACTGGCTCAACAGTGTAGCCCACCGCCTCCAAAGCATCTGCAATTTGACGATTGTTGCTATGGTCACGGCTGAACTCAAACCTTCCAACATTGCTTTCAGGGTCAAATATGGCACTTGACACACCAGGAATGGATAGAGCTGACCTCTCAATAAGGTTTGCATCAAGTGGGCCGTCTTGCTTAGAGATCTATTTTAAAATGCGTCATGATCAAGATAAAAAAGTTTTCAAAATTTTAAACCTTAAGCTCAAGACACATTCTCTTTTTACTTGATTTTTCAATAACATTAGCTTCATATCCAATATTAGAAATCGCTTCAGCTATCTTCTCAGGACATGTGACTTTTGGATCATATACGGCCTCAGCACGTCCAGCCAGTAGTGCAACCAAAACTTTTTCTACACCTAATGCCAAATTTAAAATAAAATCTTGAAGAATTTTATAAAAAATAAGAACTTGCCTTCCAGCTTTTGTGCATGGTTCTCAATGGCTAATACACACGACGCGCAGGTCATTCCTTCAACATTCAGGTAACACTTTTCCATCTTTCCTTGACGACGCTAAGGAATGAAAATTATATCTCGATATTTCAACTATTAAACAGACCATAACAGCCAACTTACTTTGTGATCCCTCCACGACAAACCACTTTTCAAGAATGAACTCTATTTCTGAGAGCCAACAATCAACAAGCTCTTTGACATTTTTGAATCGATGCATTGATCAGTCATTGTTTAAATAAAACATTATATTTGTTTGTGTCTTGAAAAACATAAACAATGACATCATAAATACACCACTTCAAATAGAGTGAATCAAACATTGGTACTTATCATTGAGTATGCTATTATCAGGATAAGTGGAAACTAAGTTTTTTTAGACATTAAGATTTTTTTTGCAATTTATTGTAAATTGAAATGCTTCTCAAGCACAGCGAAATTATGTGTGAATGTCTTAGATAGTTGCAGAATTTACTTTTTGGAAGAACCAAACCCAGAAAAGCCCATAATTGCAGCCATGTCCTCATCAACCTCCTGGTCGTCTTCATGCTTTCTCTTGCGCTCCTTTCTCTTCTCTTTTCTGTATTCCTTCAGTTTTTCCTCCTATATTCATAATTATGTGAGTTAAGAACAATTTTAATAGCACCTTACCTCTTCCCCAAGTTCTTTCAACTTTTGCTCAATATCATACTCCTTCTTCTTCTCTTCCTTCTTCTTCTTTAGCATTTCCAAACGACCCTTGACTTGATCAACAGTGGATCGTTCAACTTTCATTGACATTCCCAAATTGCGCTGATCTGAAAAATAAATGTATTATTATGTTTAAATTTGTTTAAACTTATAATCAGCTAATAGGCTTACGCTTTTTTCCATTAATGTGATCCAGGAAATTAATCGAATCCTTGACGACACAGTCACACACATTGCAGTAGTACCTGCAGAAATTAAAAAAAAATAATTTAAAGAATTTACAAAAATCTACCAAGTGAAACTTACCCTCCAGATTGAGACGCCGGGGTATTTTTTGTGATAACGACACTCTTCCCCAATTTAGAGTCCAAGTCGACTTTGTACTCTCTTCGTTTTAGCAGCGCCCTGTGCACTGGCTCATTTAGTTTGTCATTTTCTTCAGCAGAAATTTCCTCCCGAAGGCGTTCCAAGGCCAGTCTCTCATATTCCTCTCGGTCCCATTTTCGCCTGTGGTCATCAGGTCTCATCTAAAAAAATGGAAAAGGTTAATTTTGCTCTCCTCGAATTTTTAATTCCTCCTCAATTTACACAATATTATGCAAAATATTGTTGCTGCATTGGAGGTAAAAAATATGTTATGAGCTAATGTAATAAATTTCTTTTTGCAGCATTTTATTTAATCTTCTTTTTTTGGCCATGTATTTATGAATTATGAATGACATGAATAGAATAATACCTTCATGAGTATGAGTATATGGTATAGTATATTACGGTATATTATGCATATTTATCATGAATATTCTTTGTACATACCGAAGCAGATGATGATCCACTGCTTCCGGCACCGTGATGAGCCATTTTTGGAATTTTAATTAACAGAAATAAAGGGTTTTTCGGGTTTTTCCTTTCAGTTCAAGAGTCGATCGTCGATCGACTGTCGAGTGTCGACTGACCGAAATCGTACAAATCGTAAATAAACACAAAAACTGACGAATACCAACCCTACAAAACTTCAGCTGTAAAAACAACAAAATGTAAAAAGTTTTCGAATACAATGTTGCCTTATTAGAATCATAGAATCTTTAATATTGTTCGAATAATTGAAAATTATCAGCAAAATTCATCAAAGTCTCTAATTTTAGTAGATCGGAAACTATTTATAGAATTTAATGTAATTTAAGCACATAAATGATGCAAAGAGAATTAAATTTTTGTTAATTTTTATGTGGCAACAGCGCGCGCACCAGTACTAGCAGTAGCAGTGATTTGTAAACATGGCTGCCAAAGTGGGTGTGTAATTCAGATGTTGTGACAGATTTTTTCCGAATTATTACTTTAACTGCATTGTAAATACCACGGAAAAGCACATTAATTTGATTTTTGACGCTGAGGTGAGTAAAATATTGAAAAACATATTTTTCTATCTGCTCTAAATAAGTGACGAGGATAATTAAAATTAGTTGAGCAGCTCTAATTCGTTCATTTCATTTCGCTTATCTTTTTTTCCTTGTCTGCAGGTTTTTTTTCCCACGATGAATTGGCTGAGGAACAGTCCCATTAGGGTCTCCCTAAGAGGACGAGGCCCTAGTTCTTCGCCACCTAAGGAATGCGATCCAGCAGCATGTTTTGAAAGTTTTAAACATCATTGGCAACAGGCCCTCAGTATAATCAACAAAATTCAGGTGAAATAGATATTAACTTTAATATCTATATGATTTTGATACATACATAAATGATATTTTATTTCTTTTTTTTTTATAAAAAGGAGAGTTTTTTTAGTGGATTTTTTTAACTTTATATATGAAACTGTAGTACTTATAATCCAGTTGTGGAAACTATTTTAACCACTCTCAACGTTACCCTTCAGGGTGGAACCGAGGGCCCAACTCAGGACGATATCCTTGCCGTGGTCAACAACCTTGACCAAATGCAGGGACTGCTGGTGCTGGAGCAAAAAACTCCCAACAGCAGAAATATGCACGAGTGCCTCGATTTTCTGCTGAGCCAAAATATTCTTGATCAACTGCTGACCTCCAGCTCGCTAACCGGACTTTACAGCAACATTCTGAAGTTGGAGCAGTTAAAAATGTATGAAATGCTGCTAAGTAACGCACCACAACAGCAACTGCTCACACACGAGCCTTTTCTTCGACCTCTGCTTCGGCTTCTAACTTCGTGCATCAATGAGTGCTTTCCAGCCGACATTGAGAAACGGCTCATTTTACTGTTGAACCAGTTGTGTGTGTGCTTAACTCAACATCCAAATTACCTTGACCTTTTCTTCACTGAGAGCCAGGGACCAGGAAGGTTGTGTTTCATCTATTAAAAATGAGTTTTGTCTTACAACTTAGGTTTTTCAGATTTGTGATATTCTCTTTGCTGATTCCGTATGTCCACCGAGAAGGTGGCATCGGCCACCAGGCCAGGGATGCTATGCTGCTGTGTATGACTCTATCTAAGAACCATGACGTCCTCGGAGCGTATATAGCAGAAAAATCAAATGTTTGTCCAGTAAGTTAGACAATATTATATATTTATTAAATAATTTGAAATTATTTTATCTCAAAGGTTCTTGCAACTGGCTTGAGTGGATTGTACTCTCGTCTTCCACGAAAAATTCAAATTGAGACTGACGATTGGCACTGCTTCACACCTGATGACGTTATCGAAATGCCCGAGCTAACGTTGTTTCTGAGCTTGCTCGAGTTCTGCAATGCTGTTGTCCAAGTCGCGCATCCCTTGGTGCATGCACAAATGCTGGAGTTTGTGCATCATGGCTTTTTGGTACCAGTTGTGGGTCCGGCCCTGCTTCAGGTGAGCCACTGATGTGACATAATTTTCAGCGTAATTTAACTCACAAAAGCGTAATCATTCTTTTCTACTCAGGAAATCCACTTTGAAATCATGAGTGAGTTCCTATGCTAAATTAGTATCATGTTAGGGTATAATGCTGGACATAAACCTCCGCTAATTTATAATGATTGTAATTGCGTTTTCATTTGTTGTGCCTTTAAAGGACTCGGAAGCCTTCTCAATAGCCAGTTCAGATCCCACCGTCCAGAGGGTTAGTCTGCATGGATGGTTTCAGGCGTTTCAGCATGGTTTTTTTTTATGACTTTCTGGTTGAGAGATTCACTTAATCCCAACATTTTGTACAGTACTTATCCAAGTGCATGGTTCATTTTTTGTACCTTTAAACCTCCATGCTGAATTATTACAGGGCTTGAGGATTTTCCAAAACTTGAATATCTGTCAAATAGGATAGAAATACTGGAAAAAAATGGAAATAAACCATCTTTTATTATTTTAACAAGATCCTAGTGATCCTGCATGTGGATTTTGGAAAAAAATCTTGTGTGGGTTGTCCCTGTCACTCCTTTGTAAATTTTTCTGGAAGACATTTTTATTCTCATTATGTAATAATTAAGACGATTCGCTGACTTATTTGTTAATTCAATTTCAGAATATGACTGAAGAGCTGCTCGTGTCTACTGCGTACCTTGAACTTTTTCTGAGGAGCATCACAGAGCCTGGACTTCTTAAAATCTTCCTCCGCTTTTTAATTGTTGACCACTATGATGGAGAGCGAGTCATAGATAAGCTGATCTCCAGACTGGGCACCAAAGACCAAGTAAGGGAAATAATTTCCGATAATTTCAGTTTTTTTTTATACTTTTGCAGAATAAATTTCAAATTTTTTTGATCAAAGTTAAATACTTTAGTGTGTTTAACAATTGTTTGAAAAATTGGTTTTTTGAAATATTCCAGTTGTGTTTGGCCACAATAGCCCTTTTCAACACCTTGGTCAGCCTCAACTGCGAAGATGTGATGTTGGAGCTTATCTTCAAGTACCTGATTTCCTGCTCCCATGTGATGCTGTCTCAGCGCAAGAGGATCAAGGATATTGATGTGTACTGTAAGAGTGCCGAAAAGTTTCTCTCCCTGTCTCCGTCCTGCATCACAAATCCCGGAGAGAAGCGCCGGAAAAGCAGTGGCTCCTCCTCTCACAGCGAGTCAAAATCTTTACCCACATCTTCCACCTCTTCAAGCAGGACCTCTGACAGCCTGCATGGTAACTTCAGCGCCTACCTAATATCAGCTCGGAAAAACATCACATCGTGCTCCGAAGCATGCAAATCGTGGACGCACCTTTACGATGGAGAAAGTCCCTTACCATGTAAGGCCGTGGCAATTGACAGTAACAGAAACTTCACCAAGCCAAAAGATGAGAGTCTTCCATCCATTAGTAGTGGCTACGAGAGCTTCCCACTGCCACGGTCAAGAGACTCGTCGCCTGAGCCGAAAGAAAGCTTGTCTAATGAGAATAATCTAGTCAGTAGAGACAGCGGCTTTTCTGGTACAGTGGCCAAGCCACTCTCATTTACCAATTCCTTCCACACTACACCTGATATTGGTATTAATCATATAAAAAATATCAAATATTTAATATGTATATTAAAAATGAATATTTATAGGTCCTTTTCTGGATTTGCTTTTGAGGCAACTTGAGAACATGATGACCAATAGCTTGTACCTGAATCTACAGTTGACTGGGCTTATTTCGAGGCTGGCTGCTTATTCTCAGCCACTCCTGTTGTCACTTCTTCTCAACCACTCTCTCGTCTTCCAACCTAGCGTCCGTTCCCTTTTCCAAGTATTAGTTTATTGATCCATGCTGAGCAGAAGTTTTAATTTTAATTCTGTAGGTTCTGGGATCATTGAAGCAACGCCTAGATTCTTATTTGAGCAGGCATGACAATGTTGACAGGGTTTTACGAGATGCCAAAAGTTTCCTTGTTCATCGCGAGGAAAGTATAGTCAATATCAAGAAGGTTCCTCAGGATAGTGTTACAAATTATGCGCCAAGCACAGTCAATGGAGGGAGCAGAAAAGGGGGCTCAATCGCCGACTCCTCATATAAAGGTAATAAAAGAAGTTAGACCTGTTTATTGGGTTAATTTAAAGACAATTTTCCATCAGGAGAGGGAAGGAGGCTGAGTTTTTCCTCTGCGTTCTCTGTTCTCAAAGGTGCATTCTCTCCTGTTCGTGAACAACCTGCTATTGAATACAGTGCTAATGGATTTAGGTTTGTAAATTGAAATTAAATGAATTATTTTATGTTAAATATGGTTGATTTCTAGGTTTACCAAAAAAGTAGAGAAAGAAAATACGGAGCTGAGAAACGTTGTGATGTGTGCGTTAGTTTTTGACGAGTGGTTGAAAGAATTGGCAGCTTTGGCATTGGAGCATGTTGCCTGCTATGAGGTTCCAATGCCAAAAAAGTAACCGAATTTACTTTTCAGTCAAACATATTTGCTTCCGAAGTATTAACATGTGCCATCGAGTAATTTTTAATTGACTATTTATCTGTTAATTTTATCAAAGTATTTTAATACTTACAACTAGTTAAAGCAATAGGACTGTTAACAATTTGTCAATAAAAGTTTCTGCATCTAAATTAGTATCATTTTAATTTTTGGATCCTTCATGATTTTTTATTCAAAAATTTAGAAATAATAAACCAGTTTAATTCTGGAGAGTAATATTTGATCATGTTATAGAAGTTTCAAACCATATCCTTAAAGAAATCTCCTGCATTGTGTACATTTGAGGAAGGCAAATTATGATTCAATACTTTTTTGTCATTCTTTTCTCTTTCGGAGATTTTCAATCCTTCAAAGTACTTGATGTTCCAAAATTTAATTGTGTTATCAAATCCACTTGATGCAAGTAATTCACCATCACAAGAAACGTCCATGCTCTCCACAGATGATGAATGTGTGCCGACAACGCCCAACAGCTTGTGTGGAAATAGATGAGTTGCCCTAATGAAATCAATTTTACCATCATGTTTTTTGACAATAAGCTGCAATTATATACAAACCTCAGAACGCCATCCTCCATGCCAGTCACAACAATGTTCTGAGTGACACCTTTCATAGTATTGATAGATTGTTTGGGTCCTGGGAATTCGTCCGAATGGTAACCGAAAGAGCCCCAGTCGAAGAAATAAAATATGCCTTTCCCACTTCCAACAACCAATTTCCTGTCTTGCTTCACAAGGGCCAAACTCGTAAGCTCGGAATCATACACTTCTGACTAAATTTGGATTAAAAGATCAATAACCAAGAATCTATTGAAGCATCAAAAGACAACTAACCTGCACATGCAGTTTTCGACTGTTAAGATCAATGGAAGTAATAGTTCCTTCTCCTGCAGAACAAACAAGGAATCGCTTGGCCTCTGTGGTGATCATATCATTCACAGTATCCTCCATTTCTTTCAGTGAGAAGATTGCATCCTTTTGCCTTAAATCCCAAACTAAGAAAAATATTTGAGAAAAATATATTTTTACTCTTTTATTGTAAAAAAATTACTTTTCACTGTTCCATTCTCATCTCCTGTGGCAAATCGATTCTCATCAATTATTTTTAGGATGTAAAGTGGATCACTAAATTTAAAGGAATGTATGAATATTTTAAAAGTTTCATTTTGTTTAAAACATTGAAAGTACCTGTGAGCTTCTTCATTGAACCGTTTCATTTTTCCAGTTGCACAGTCGCTGACAACGATGGACTTGTCTTTGGAGATGGAGAACAGGGAGTCTCCGTCCTCACTAAACTCAATACACCGGCAGGCCTGAGTGTGGACTTCGATTGTCTCCTGCAGATCGCAGCTTTCATTGCTATACGAGTATCTAAAAAAGAAAAAGAGCAGCGAAATAATTATAGGCCCGCCTATAATAGCTTAAATTTATATGTACTACATACAGTAGAATGTCTCCCTCCAGAGTGGCAGCGGCAATTACATCTCGTCCTGGGTGAAAGCTGAGGTCGGCGACTGGATCATCGCATGTGATGTCCGGCGGTTTGTCTCTCTTGACCTCTCGGGCCTTTCTAAAGGCCTTGATTATGTCGTCGTCTTCATCGCCATCATCTTCTTCCACTCCTTTGTTACCTTCAGAATCGTCGTCGCTGTCTGAGTCAATCGACCCATCATCACTGTCCTGCTCGATTTCGTCGTTGGAAGAGTCGTCCGAAGAGTCTTCTTCTTCTTTGAACTCTGAAAGTGTGCGTTGTAAAAAATAACAGAATCAAAATATTTTCAATAAAAACCTTCATTGGCTGACTTTCCTGTGCATCCCTTCATTTGGAGAAACTTAAATTATTCCTGGCAGGGGAGTAAATTCTGCAAAAATTTTGATGGAAGAAAGTATTAAACGTGTAACTTGTTAGAACATTTGCGCTGCAGCAAAAAGAAAACGAAACGAAAAGCGTGGATTTGTTTACAATTCCAATCACTGCAGCCTTGCACTGCAGACTGCACCACCGCTCCCCCTCAATTGAGCAAAGTGAATAACGCGTTTAAATATTTCTGGCGCGAATCTCACGTGTCTAGTCTTGATCTTCGTCTTTTACTTTGCAGCACCGAAATTTTTTCTTTAGAGAAATGTAAAAAATGTCTGATAGAAATATGAATAAAATGACATTTTTTTGCTTTTGATGCGTCAGCACAATGAGCTCTTTTTTGATGCAAAAATAAAAAAAAATTAAAAAAAAATTGAAGGACATGATTAAATTTTTTCACCATTTTTCACTAAAATTAATTTTTGGATTTTATCTTCTCTGTATAAATAAATAATGTCACTGCAGTTGCTCTAGTAACAAATTTGTTAATTAATGTTATTATTGAGGTTGAAAAAATAACACGCAATAATTTTTAACAATCATTATACCCTGTACATATTTTATTCAAAAAACGTCGCCCAATCACAGGGGCATTTTAAGTTGATCGTATTTTTTTCATCATTTTACCATACAAGTGTGTGTTTTTGTGAGTTTCCATCTTTTATTTGTCTTTGGTCACGCTACTTAAAACAGAAAGACAAGTGTTCATCTTTTATCATCTGCATATTAAAAAGACAATGAGATTTCTCACGCATTAATCGCTGCAGCATTTTGTGTCGATCGGTTCAGTGTCATTTCAATTTATCGTCCGCAAAAGCGCTCCGCTCATTTTGAATTTTTCCTCACTTTGAATATTATATTTTCATCTTGAGCAACTAGCTGATGCTTCAATCGATTTTCAGGACGGTCGTTCAAGAATTCGCTGGCAGCTTTTTCGCAGTGTGTGCAACCACACGCGTCAGTTTATCACTCGCACTCGCACAAATAAATAAAACAGAAAATCGAGATTTGTTCTTTATTTTCAATACACATCAACGACGTAGTGGAGAACTAAAAATTCAATGTACAAAAATCACTGACTCTTGTCGCATATGATGTCCCATATTCCGAGCCGGTAGCTTTTTCAAAATGTATTATTACACTAGTGAACAATAGTGAAAATGTTCAGTTCATTTTCGCAGATCTTTACACCTATCATCATCTTGCTTTGAGTTTTGTGTAACAATAGAAGCACTTGATTCTCGCAAAAGTCCTTTTGCGCGTTTTAGTGTGTTTGTCATAACCGTTTGTGGTATATATTCGTTCTTCGTCTTCTTGAGATCCATTTGAGCACTTTTATAATCGTTTTTTTTTTTTTTTTTTTTTTTTTTAAATCGCGGTTGTCAAGGTGTGGGAACAAATTAGATTAAATGTCTATGCTTAAAAAAAAAAAAAATAAAAAATCAAACAAAATTCAAAAGCCGTCATTACAAAAATAATAATGTTTTCTGAAGTGGAAGTTCAAAAAATTTTGTTTCCAAGAAATGCGTTCGGAATTATGCCAGTGTTGAGCCTTTTGATGGCTTCCCTGTTGATGCATTTAAATTGGTCAAAGAATCAATTTACAAAATATTGTTCCATAAATTACACTAACACGTCATAACTTAGCTTACACAAATTATAAAAGAAACAAAGTACACTCAAGCCAAACTTTGATTCTCGTGACTAAAACAAAAACTCTTCGATTAGCTGAGGAAACTAGAGAAACGGAGAGAGCAGACCCTCGTGAGATTCACCATTAATAGAGTTCATCCCATAACTTTTTAACTGGAGTAGAGCATTGTATGTGTTTGCAATTAAACATAAATTCTATTTGGTTTTTTCGGCACCGCAAGAGAGTTTCACACTTTGAATTTCAAAGTGTCCAAATCCCTGCGAAGTTCTCAGAGTTCAATTCCAGCACTTAAGCCGGAAACTAGACGAGGTGGCCTTCAGTCTCAAGGCTGCGCCCCTCGGCCGCCTGGTGAGGGGTGAAGGTAGTCAGGTGCGACGTCGGCGTCGAGGGCACTTTGGGCGGCACTCGAGGCACCACAGGGCCGTTGGCCGCGTGCACCAACATGGTGACGTCAGGCGGCGGCACCACGTGACGGTGGGCCATGCCGTTGCTCAAGGGAGGTCGGCTGAAGGGGCCTGGTGGCGGGGGGTAGTAGCGCTCCTGGGGGTAGTAGGCAGAGGGGTCCATCTCCGGGGGAGGTGCAGGGTGATAGCCCTTGTGCTCCCCTGAAAGATTTAAAAGTTTGTTGGTTAGAACAAAATGCTTTAAGGAAAAGGAAATTTTACATATTATCTTTTATTTTGAAGAGCATAAACATGATATGAGTTAATTTCTTGTTTATTTTATACTTTTAAATTTATATTCATGATAAAACAACAATTATTAGTCTGCAAAAATCTGTATTTTAAATAAGAAACACAAATACACTTACCAATGGAGTGGTTGTAAGCGTTTCTGCGAAGTGAGTCGACGTAGACAGCCTCCTGGTCGAGCTCTTGGTTGGGCGCGACGGGTTTGTGCTGCCTGGTTAGGGTGCTCTGCCGGCTTCCGGGGTGCATGTAGCCCGCATACTGCGCCGGCGGCTCCACCTGGTCAATCAGGTAAGTGCTGGCTGCACGCTTCGAGCCTTGTTCCTGACACACACAACACCAACGCTATTTCATGCGGGGTTTGTGACTTGGGGTCTACTTGTGAATGGGGGCAGGACACATCAACATGCAGTTTACAAAAAAAAAAAAATAATAATAATTAAAGAAACAAAATTTAATGCTCTGCTCGGATTATTAATTGATAAAAGGGACTTCTTAAAGGAGGGAGGGCAACTTGAGATTACTCAAGCACATGCTTAAAGTTAAATAAAAGCCAACTAATTTATAAAAAATAATTACAAAAATTGGAAAGTAATTTATCAATTGAATTGAAAAATAAAAAATAATAAAATACAGCTTTTTTGTCAAAACAGTTTTGTAATTGAGCAGGCTTAACTAAATCTGATTTTTTGCTAAAACTGCATAATAGCCATAATATATTTATTCAAAGAAAATGTTGAATTAAACATCTAACGAGGGATTAAAAGTGACTAGGAAAAATACATAAAATTGGAGTCAAGAACTTACGATGAATTCTTCAACAGCCTCTCCAGAGTAAGTCTCACTTTTCTCAGAAATAGAGCTCAGAGTCTCTCCAGTCACAGTCTCGTTGAAACTGCTTGGGGCATACATCTCTATGTTGCCACTCTTGTTGCTCCCTTGCTCGCTTGCACCTGCAAACGATTGTGTAAGTTAGAAACTTTGAAAAGATAATATATGCACATTGATTTGAACAGCATTGTTAACACATTCCTTAAAGATCAGGTGATTTAATTTTTTAAATATCATAAAAGTACAAAGAAACAGGAAATCGATTTTTAAATTATTGCATGTAAATTTGCATCTAGGGAAAAAAATTATGAAAGATCTCTTAATACAAATATTTTTTTTCTTCAAATAATGAGAAATTAACTTTGAATGTTTAAAAGATAATTTTCTGTCTTCATCCTCCACCGTTGGCCCAAGGGAAAAATTTAGTTCATTGTCAACCTGATGGTTTGCGCTGTTTCTTGCTCTGGCGGTGCCTGAGCACGCAGATCACCACCAGAATGTTGACAAAAACAAGCACGGCCGCCGTGGAGGCGACGGCTGTGATGACGAGACGAGGCAGCGCGCCCTGCTCGCGCAGCACTTCTTGCAGACGGCGCTCGTGCTCGGCGCTCGGACTTTCCCCTGGGAACAAGAACAGAGAAACTCACCTGTGAGCAATCGGTTGTTCTTTCTCCTGCGCCGCGACACGCAGTAGCAAAGACCCACCACCAAGGGTAGCACCAGCAGCACGGCGCACAGAGCCACCCCTGCGACCAGGGCTGGCGGAGGCGCCGAGGGAGAGGAGGGGGAGGGGGCGCCGTGCCCTGGCGCCGACGAGGGAGGCGGCGCCGGAGTGGCAGGCGCCACGTCTACGCAGACAGGACAGACAGAGAGGCAAGCGTCAATGTACAGGAGCCGTCACCAATGGGAGGTTGGGGTGGCCAACCACAAAAATCTACTTTTCATCTACTCATGCATTAAAAAAAATCGTGTTTTTTGTGCAAGGGAGTTGGAGGGATCTTGAGCTCAAATGAAGGGATGACTTTTTATGTTTTAATTTACGTGATAATTGTGATTTTCTTACTAAGTACTGTACATGTTTAAAAAAATTCAAAATATTGGAATCAATTAGAGGCAAAAAGAAACGAGAAAAGAAAAAAAGCAAAGCAAAAAAAGCATAAAGCCAATTTAAGCCCCCTTTACCAAAAATGAACTTTCTATAGCAGAGAATCCACTTTCCCACAAACCATAATTAATTTAACTCACTCAGTGTCATGCCTCTGACTGGATTCTGCAGGTATGGACTTTCACCCAGCCTGTTTTTGGCTTTCACTGTAATCTCATACTCAGTTCCAAGGTGCAATCCTCGAATTATGTATCTGGTGCTATTAGACGGAGTCACGTCAACCGTGTGAGACCTATTTGAAATTAAAAAAAGCAACTTCAGTAAGGCTAGAATTTATTATAAAATTCTGACTTACGCTTCAGTTCCAACCCTTCTAAAGTTGAGCCTGAAAGCTTGTGGAAGACCTCCATTGAATCCAGGCACCCAGCTGACTGTGATCGAGTCATGCGTGATGTTCATGATCGAAATGGAAATAGGAGGGTCAGGCCTAGATGTGATCTCAAGCTTGATGTTGTGGACAGCAGGTCCCATGGAGTTCTTGGCCACACAATCATAGGTGCCAAAGTCATTCTGCTTAACCGCTTTGATAACCAGAATGCTTTCATATGTCAGCTCATCCAACTAAAATTTAAGAAAAATTAAAACTTTTCATTTTGCATATATTTTTCCAATTACCTTGTTAACAGCTGTAATGTACCTATCCGAGGTGTTTCCATTTATGTTTGAGTTTCCCTTTCTCCACTCAAAGTTCACTTGAGGCGCACCTTTTGCCCTGCAGACAAGTCTGGCTTCGTTTCCAGAATTTGCGGCTGCTTTTGAGATTTCCGGACTGATATCAAACTCAGGCTTGTGCTTGATAAGCATGGTAGCATTGGCCTTGGCAACGGCACCGATGCCATTGTTCACAATGCACTCATATTGTCCCATGTCCTCCTTGGTAGGTGCGTGGATCCTGAGGAAGGATGTGCCATTGGCGTAGGTGACGGTGGCCCTTTCTTTCACATTAAAACCAGCTCGTTTCCAGGTGAAGTGTTCCATAGCCAGAGGTTCACCATCTGCACTGCAAGTAAGGGTTGCATCTTCCTTGTCAGCAACAATCACAACTCGAGGCACAGAAGTGATTTTAGGCGAGAATTTGACAATGAACTGGACCTTGACCGAAGAAGTGCCCTCGGAGTTAGAAGCGTCCAGGGCATAAATTCCAGCATCCTCTCGCTTGACTGTGGAGAAGTTGAGGGTAGATTGACTCACAGTGACCAAAGGTGATGCTCTGTACGGCAGGTTGTCCTTGAACCAGGTCAACTTCAAGTCAGGAGGGTTTCCTCTAGGACTTATGGCCAACTGGCCCTGCTCGCCTTCGATGGCCGTCACTTGGCGAATGCCTGAAGTTGGTTCTCCATCAAAGACTGGTTTGTCTGAAGATAAGAGATTAAATTTTTGTCTAACATCAAAATTATTTTTGTCAACTTACAGACAATGTTGAGTTTCATCATTTGGTTGACATCGATGCGCATCTGCGTGTTAGTGGCTTGGCAAGTGTAGGTGAGGCCATCAGAGTCAGGGGCAACGTTGATCGAGAGAGTGCTGGTAGAGGTTTTGCCTCCATACAGTCCAGGGCCAGTTGCATTTGTGATGTCACCAGGGGCAGTGCTAATGGGAATTCCTGCCCTCCACCAAGTGATAACAGCCGGGGGGTTACTGGCACTACTCTCGCAGGTCAGGGTAGCTTTTTGTCCAGGCTTCAGTTTAGGAGGGTCTTGGCGGATCACAACGTGCTCAGGAGGATCTGCATTAAAATTATGAAATATTGGATAAAAATTTTAATGCACAAATTTTTACTTACAATAAACATGCATGGTCACCGTGTCAACCAAGGGCACTTCAGTGGCTGCGTTGGAGGCCTCGCATTTGTAACGCGCCTCATTGTCTGTCTGGTTGATTGCCACTGTGATTTCAGAAATCATGGTCTTGTTCACCTCTTTAGCCGTTGAAGGAATCTAAAAATTTCAACCCGTTAGAATTAATCACGTCAGATAATTGATTTCTTTTTGCAAACCTTTTTATCATTCTTGTACCATGTCAAAGTGGCCAAAGGGTGACCGCCTTCAGATCTGCAAGAGAGTTTCTTTGTGGAGCCAGCGGTCACATAGGAGTCAGGGTGGTAGCCAACAATCAATGGTTCTCCAGGGGGATCTGTAATAAAAGAAATTAAATGTTATAAAAAATATAATTTACAAAAAAAAAAAATATTCATACACAAAATATTGATGCTGTGGGTTCTGAGAATGGTCTCCGAGAGGTGCTGATTGTTTCCATGGCAAACGACGGCCAATGACCGCTGCCCACCCGTCGGAATAGTGACACTAAGGTTGCTAGAAGTGATAGATCCGCCGTCTGGTGAGTCAAGCTTAATGCTGGGCACGTTGAGGCGTTTCTTTCCATTCACAGCCCACATAATCTCAGCTGGTGGGTTTGAATTAGCCGTGATGCAAGTGAGGTGCAGAGTGTCTCCCACTTTGCCCTCGGTTGGGCCGGAGATAGTCACCTGCGCTGGTGCGACTGCAATTTGAAACCACGTGCATTAGCAGGGCGGTAATTGGTATTACGGCGAAGCGGGTATTATTTTTTTTAGAGGGGCCGTTGCGTAAAACCACTTGGCGAAATTGAGGAAGGAAGAGAAGATGCAACTCATCTTCCTCTTAGCTAATTGACAAAATTGATTATCGACCGAAAAGAAGACGCACCCGCTTCTTGCGAACCACCAGAGGGAAATGAAACTTTCTTTGCGATATTCAGATAAAGAAACTTACAGAATACGGTGAGTTTGACCTCGGCCTTGAGAGGTTTAACGCTGCGGACGTTGCTTGCCTCGCATCGGAATCGTGCGCCGTTGTCCGAGGCCTTAGCTGTAAACTTGTAGAAATTTTCCGAGTAGCGTCCCTTTGAGTGATACATCATGTTGACCTGGAGGTCGTTGCGGTACCACACAAGTTGGGCAGGAGGGTTTCCGCCTCTAGACCGGCAAGAAAGCTCCACCTGCTGGCCTCTGCGGATGGTCTCTCCTTCGGTGTAGCCCTCAATATGAGGCTCACCGGGCGGGTCTGCAAATGGTAAGATCACAAGATATAATGTAGAACGTGAAACGCGATAGGGGGTTGAAGGCTAATTTTTCCACTTACACAACACTGACAGCTGCACGGCGGTGCGCAGCGGGTACTCCTTGGCAAGCGCCTCGTGTCGCGCCTCGCACGTGTAGTCGGTGTAATCGTCTTCCTTTGACGGCTGCAACGGACAACATGTTACTCTTCCAATTTTCTGCTAGGGTTGCTCAATTTATAAAAGTTGGGAGTGATTCGAACATAGAGCAAGACCATTTTTTAGACAGATCAACAAGGCAATTTTTAGTTTTTTTTTCATTCAAGCTATTGAATCTAATTTTGAAAATTAAAATTGTTTACCACGGTGATTTTTAAAATAAATATTCACAACATTCCCTTTAATTTTTTCCGGGGATGCCTCTATTTAAGAAATAGCCCTTATTGAGAGTTCTCTACAGTAGGCAAATTCAAAGAGCCCTTTAAGTTGTTAAAAAATAATGGGATATTCCAAAATTAATCAAGCCATGCGGGCTGCTGGTGCAAGCAGCTTGTGAACATCCCCCCAACAACTATTTTTCTTGACAAATGCAATAAAAGATTCTTTAAATTTATTTGTTTTGAACTTACGCTCAGGGTGATGCGGCTCTTGACGTTGTATCTCTTGGCGTGGCTGGCGTCTGGTACTTCGTTGGCGATCTGATTTTGCTCTACACCTGCGACAGAATCGACCCTATTAGTAAGGGCGACGTTGTTTTGATATTCAAGCAAACCTTGCAGTTCCACTTTGTTGCGATACCACACGATGGTCGGCGGTGGTTTCGCGTTGTACGCCACGCACTCAAGTGTCAGCGACTGGTTCTCGTTCACTTCGATCTTGGAGTTACGCGGGTGGCCTACAATTTCCACCTCGGTTGGTGGAGCTGAAACAAAATTAAAACCCGTAAATTAATTAGGAAAGTTTTGAGCGGTATTTGAGGGATAAAAATCAACTTGTATCGGAGTTATAAGCAAATTAATTAGAGGCACAACAAGTTAATAAAAAGCTTGTGTTCGCCGCAGCCCATATTTCGCCGATATAAAACAGATCGAGGGGGAACGAGAGGCGAGCATTGTTTTTCAGCGAGAAACGGTGGAGCAGTGGCAGCTGGTGGGAAAGTCAATTAAAAGGAAATCACGTCTGGCCGGCAGCAAAAGCAGTTCCCAATAAAGCGGCGGCGTGGCAGTTAAGGGCTATGAATTAACTGCTGCGCGCCCGCTACTCGCTTGCTCGCCCGCCAGCCCAGCCTCTATTGGAAATAATCCACGTCCCGCCATTAAGGAAAGGCTCGATAACGCAGCAGCAGCAGCAACAACAACAAGAAACAGCAACAATAAAGGCCCGAATTTATAAGCGCAATAAAAAATTACTGCCACCCCACACGGAGGAATAAAAAGATAAAAAAAGTTCGCGGCGAGGAAGAAATTCAAGCTGCTTCTGGAGAAGCTAACGCGAAAATGATTGCTGGTTTTTCACATTTGTTCACAATATGAGAAAAAAATTAATAATAATTACAGGAGATATACGATCTTAAAAAGATAAAAGTAGATTTAGATTTCGGCAAAATGCATTTATCAGAAAATAAATTCAAATACTGCTGTGCCGGTTGCATAATTTAAAAGTTTGCAGGCGAATAAAACTTCACTCCTGATTCAAGTTGGCTTTGTGTTTTTGTTTTCGTCCATCTGGTAGTTTTAGCCACTCGAGCTTGCGAGACTAAATTCAGTCTCGAGAGTGGGTTTTCGTTTATCTAGTACGCGGAATAGAAAATTAGATGATATAAATAAAATGCGTGCGTAATATTCATGGTCGCATCTGCCCGCGATACGCAATCTGCACGGAATAAACTGGGCGGGGGCCGCTTAGCTGGCTGCACGTTCACTTCCACTGATAACATTGATTCGGGCGGCGCATCACGTTTTACGATTCTCGCAGAAATTCCACCGCCGAGAGAGACACTTTACATGCTTAACTTGCAGCGATGAATTATTATATCAGCCATCGTTGCCATAGATGTGCGCGTCATCAAAGTTTCATTTCATTAGCCAAAGCGTGACTGTACATTTGCATGTATTTACGCGCGGAATTGCGAATGGAATTGCGAATATTTTACACGGCACTACTTTTTGTTGAATTTTGTGATTATGACTTGCTAACGCGACTTGATTAATTAGTGAAAGCCGCCGGCAACTTGTCGAGCGAGCGCATTTATAATTGCAGCTAATGCAATCCGGCTGCGTAATTTATCAGAACAAAGCCCACGTCCGCTATATAGAATTCCGCTCCAATTCGACGAAAGTTTTCCTTCTCTATGCAAAGAAGTTTGCTAAGTAAACTGCGGGAATTAAGTTCTTGAAACAATAATAATTTCGTAGTCCGCTGTTATTGTAACTAAATACAAACACAACAGACATGGATTTTTTCCAATTTGAAAAATTTAGAAACTGCGGATTGACCATTCGAAGTGTAGAAAATGGGGAAAAGGCTATACAATTTTTGTTTTGGTCTGTCCAAGAATTCAAATATACAACAACTAAAAATAATAATTAGACTGAGAAGATTGCATAAATATTATTTAAAATATGTACATATTTTTTGGTGTATTTATTTATTAAATCATTTTAAGTGATTTCAAGCAGTAAAACTAATTGACGTTTCAATTAGCAACACATTCCATTTCATCGCTTGTTTGGAATCTTTTGAATTTATCTGATTGCAACTAAGAATTCAATTCTAATTTGAAATTTTCTGTTGCGTTCCGCTTTTCTCTCTGACAGCGGGATTTACAGAAATTCAATATTTTGGTATAACGAAGCACTCAATTAAACTCGTGACAGATGAAATTTGAGCCAGTGAAGATGAGGTGGCTGGCGCAGGTAAAAATTAATGAACACGCCTCCATTCAGGCAGCCCCAGGGCGGAATTTGCAATTCAGATGCGGCGCAAATCGGAAATATCCTGCAACCGTTGAATAAATTCATGCGAAACGCGCCGCTTTTGCAAATGAACTGGCAAACCGAGCAGACGGATGGACGGACGGACGCCGGTGGCAACAACGCAATTGCCGCTCGCGTTTTAATGCATAGATGAAATGGCGATTTTTCGCACGCTTGCGAAAAGGAAGAAAGTGCACGGTCGGGTGTGGCGTGAATAAATAACAAATATTGCACACACGCGCACGTGGGAGAGAAAACGCGGCACTTTAAATGAGAGAGCGAGCGAGAGGGAACTCTTCCGTGCACAGCTCGCAGCGCTGCCGGTTGCATAATTCAGGGCGCGGGGAGTGAATATTAACCCGGCATAAATCAAGGAGGTGAAATATTCAACGCTGCACACCAGCCAGGTGACAAATAAAACGACTCTCCGCATGGAAGCAATATGAAAATTTGATTGCCACTTGAAACTTTTATCGCGAAACTTTGTCGGCGGCGCCGCGCCCAACTTGACGATTTCCTTAAAACACGAACGCCAGGGCGCTTTTCTTCCAAAGAAACAGACTTTTCATTCCGTTCGATTTTATTATGAACGAGCAGGGGTGCGAATGTTGTTGCGAAGAAGCTGCGCGAGATTGGACTGTAAAAGATACACCGACACACATACACCTAGGCTCGTAACGCGCAAAGTTTATTCGATTTCGAGCAGTAAACACTATAGTATCCAGTTACTTCAGGACGAGCAAAGAGAGCGATAAGCTTCATGAATATCGGTATAAAAAATATAAACTCTGGATTTTTATCTCAAAATCTCATTTGAGAGATTCAATCTACTTCAGAAAGGGTCATTGTGAATAGTCAAAATCAACCGTTCTGTCAAAAAATGAATAAAGACTACCAACCAGAAATTAAAAAATAGTAATCATATGAAAGTTCATGATTATTATATTAAAATTTTGTTTTACAATATATTTGTAAGTAAAACTACTAAAAAAATTTAAATTTAATTGTGGAATTGTGTATTTTTCTTCTTCAAATTTTTTTAGGTTGAAATATGACTTTAGAAGGAAACCAATTTTCTCTTCTAATATTAGCTGCAGGATTTGTATGACGTGAAACTTTTAAGCCCCTAAAAAGTAGCACCGCGCACGAAGAGAATGTTTCCTTTTTTTTCTTACACCAGCTCGTGTAAAGTACAGACTGTGTGTGCTTTAGGTGAGGGCGGCGAATTCCAATCTCGCGTGTAAATACACCTGGCCCTCGCACTTTTGAGCAATATCCGCGCTCATATATGATTCAAAGGCAGGTAGATGAGCCGGCGGAAGCGGGAGAGGATTTGCCGACGACGAACTCGAGAGACAATCGGCACAAAAAGCGGCACCGCGATGAAAAGGAAACAGCAATTTGCGCCCAAATCAAATCTCGGGCCGAACGCAAGCACTCTCGCCTACACTGTAGGACGCAGAGAAGGAGCAGAAAGAGGCCCAATTTAAAAATCTCGCCGCTTTACCGATGAAGAGTGGTGCAAAAGGGCTATCGACCGGGCAATGCAAGAAGGTAAAAAGTTTAAAAAAATTATGGAAGCTAATGTCAAAAACAACATTTTTGCTGAAATATTAATTTCAAATTTTTTTGAAAAGTACTTTCTATCATTTTATTTTTATTTTCGTTACATTGAAACAGATTGAATGCTAAAGAGGAAGTAAAAGTGTTAACTTAATTACTATTTATTCACCAATAGTAGAATGCAAATGTAAATGAGAATTAAAAAAAAATTTAGCAAGATTTGGATTTTTCTTAACCTATTGTTTCAAGTCAAAACCTTCTTGCTAAAAAAAAACTTTGTTTTTCACTTCCCTGCACTCACAAAAACGCTCCACAGAGCAGGAAAATATTGAATTTGGGGAGGCAATTTCCTCCTGGTTGGCGCGCGAGATGAGACTTTCTTCAGCCACCGAGTCGACGGCTGAAGAAACAGGCGGCGAATTATTGCGAGAGCTTCTTCTCGCGGGCGGTGAACAGCATGTATATTTATGGTGTTTGTTGCGGGCGTTAGCAGTACGCGGTATATTGTTGTAAGCAAATGCCGCGCGTCTCCGCGGGGAGTTCGCTTCGGCCGCAAAATGCATAGCGGCCGGCGCAGCGAAAACCAACAAAACCGAATTGCTCGGGCGGCGGCGTGATTCGTGATTAATGCCGCGCCAAGAAACACACAATTCATGTGCCGGCGGCTTCTGCGCGATGCCCACTGCAGGTGCCCGTCTGCCAATTACTTATTCACACGATCACGTTGAGCGTCGGTGCTAAAATTTATTTACCACCACAACGAAGAAGCTATAAAGTGAATAAACCTTACACTTCACCAAGACGGTCAGTGAATTTAAAAATTTTATTACATAGAAATTGTTCATTTTATCTAGCTGATTAAATTATGTTTGAAGAAATAGACACTTGAGGAGATGATTGAGTTCTTAATTTTGATTAAATATTTTTTATTCATTAATATGGCGTTGACCAATGCTTTTTAAGGAAAAATTAAAATAAATTTTTTACTTCCAAAGTTATTCATTATTCTTTAAAAATTAACAATTCCACACTTCACTTTTGTGTTTAATAATAATACTTAATTTTGAAATCAATTGAAATGTAATTATACTTTTAACTTCTGGCTGAACATTTCCAATTCATGTTACAGTTGATCTACTTGGAGTTTCCGCGGACAAATTAGCCGAGTCGAAAGCGCCCGAGGCCAGAATTAGATGTTCACTGCTGCCACGCTTACTGTATTTCCCCTAACATTTTCGCAGAGAACTGCAGTGTTTGCGCTGATCGAGCTTCCATTTCGGTGGGATTCTTGCTGATTTACGGCACCGCAATCAAACTAGTAATGAACCCCCGGTCTGATAAGTTTGAACCATTAAATTGGTACTTGAAAGTTTCTCGCATCACG